TTGCATAGCAAGATCTTATATCTTCTTTCACCTTTATTGTTACCTCGGAATCGTTGTAAACATTTCCGGTCAATTGATTTGTTTTATACATATTGAAATAACAACAGCCTCTGTATAAACATCTACATACGGCATTAGAAGATTGATCACTAAATACGCGATTACAATAATTGCATAAATGATGATAAAAACAAAGAAAGATAAAATCAATGAAATCAATACAAAAATTAAATGTAAAAGCAAGGATATTGTTACCTAAAAGCTGGCTTTTGTAGTACTGAATTCTTCCATAAGGCTGTTGTGTTGATCATAAACACTGTTGAATTTCACTGATCCAGTTGCTCGTAATGTTTACGTAAGGAACAGTTTGAGTTTAACAGTTAATTCGGGTGATTCTTTTAGGTACATGAATCGAACCCGGAAAGTGGTGTCTGCAGTCCGTCACTTATACCACTACGCCCCTGAGGTTTAACTGGCGACAAATGGTTTGACTCTGAAGCTATGTAGCAACAACCCTAACCCTAAATAGAAGCTAACCGCTTCGAGTTATTGCTTAACCCTAATCACTATTTCCAGGGCTTTACCCTAGTCACCATAGTCAGTGTTTAACCCTAATGACAATTTTCAGTGCTTAACCCTTACCAGTATTGCTTAACCCTTATCACTATGGGACCCTATAGCAAAGCCATAAGCAATACTAGGTTGTGTAAACTTCATAAGGTGTCCAAGGGGGTTTAGGCCAATGTGGACTAATGTTAACCTGATTGGTAAGCCATACAGTCAAGGGATTACTTTATAGTCAAGTTGGCGGACACTTACTCCCCTCTGATCCCCCAGCGCATCTCCGACGAAGCAAATTCAAATCCATATTTCCTTCCGAATAGCTTCAAGTAAGGATAGACTGGTGAAGACTGAAGAAAATAGGCCATTGTTTATTGAGCCAAAAGCGAGAATTGGTTTCCCCGCTAGTAGGTCGAGGTCTCTTTGGGCATTGCGGCTCTGACATTCGCGTACAGTTGGCTTTTTTACTTCACCCGAGAGAAAGTAAAACAAGCAAACTACTCGGTTAGGGACAAGAAGTCGTTCGCGTCGTTAAAAAAACATACCGGAAAGAACTCTCTGGTAGAATTAGTAAGACGCGATCAGTAACATATGACATACGAATTAAGACTAAATAATTTTTCGGGTCGCGCTTGCCTCGCTACCATCTACATCTAATTGATTCCGAGACAATTTTCCCATCTAGTCTCGATTGCAGGTGTGCGGGACAACTGAGAGAAACGTATAAGACGCCTAACGGAACTAGAAGATGTGAAAATAAGCACTTATGCGCAGAGGACAAGTCTTATTGCAGGCTTACAGAAGTTTTCTGCTTCGCCAATATTTTTCGCACCATATTTTAGTTTTTGCGTAGCCTACTTGGCTGGATAGTTGTTGGGCAAAAAATGGAAGGTTCCCACTTAGGCTCAGATAAAATTAAAGAAGTTCTCCAGTTCTAACTCTGGGAGTTTTTTTTTTTTTTTGGAGCGATTTCACTTCCACACTATCGACAGTCTCAGTCTGATGTTGCCTAGTCCCTGTACGGCGTCTTCCCAGGCCTTCTCGGTCAATGCATTTTGGTGACGTATCCGAGACGAACGAACCATGTTTCCGCGACTACCACGATACATAGCATGACCCGATTGGCCTGCATATCACATTACGTCCGAGGACATATTCACAACATAGGACATAACCACGGTACACACGTCAGACCCGAAACACGTACGCCGCGCGGAATAATGATGCCTAGGGACTGGGCAAAGTCTGACAACAAGACAATAACAAGAAGGGAGAGAGCCATGTACCATCAGCGATAAGTAAGTTTCTTTCCTGAGCTGTATCCGTGAAGGTTGAGCTGATGAAAACACGGATGATCCGAATATCGGAAGCCTAAAACAAAGTTAGAACGATATCCTTACAACACAACTGAGTGCAACACCAAGAGATACATTAAGAATACTAAATTAAAAGATGACAGTTCAAACAGGGAAACTTTTTTTACCTTAGTTTGTAGTGTTTTTCCTCGCAGCAATGTATTCACCAAATTTTTATCGAGAGGTACAGGTTTAAAGTCCACAAAGTTCTTCTCCAAGAGTTCTTTCCACTTGCCGCGTTCATGTCTTGGCTCCTTCCACAACGTTTCGATTGTTGTTCTTTTCTGTATTCCCGGCGCTAAAAAAGAGAAGCGTAAGGTAAAACTTGGCCGGTGTGCTAATTTGATACCTCTACTTTTGGCCTTTTTACAGACCGAAATAACAGATTTCCCTACCCTGTCATATACTTCAACTCGTGAAATTCCTACCCTTTCATATGACCTGAAGCCTGAAAAACTGTACCCCTTTCGGGCGAAGCCTCCCCATATAGGTTATTAAAGGGAGTAACCCCCTTGGGGTCAAAGTACTACTTTGTTACAGGGTGTGTTTAGAAAAAGGCAGCTGAATTCGCGCTTACGGTAGCCATGCTTTATTAAATCCGTTATTCGCAACTTTGTCCTATGTTTCTTCTTGCTAACACATTTGCGGGATTGCTTTATTGATCTTCACACTTCGTTGTACAACCAATTTTCACTGTCGCCTCAGAGTTTAAAGCTCCCTATCAGTGACGTCACTGAAAACTGGGAAAAAGGCAATCATTTACAAAGCACACAAACCTGAAACTGCGCCTGGCTTTGCCAAGGCTACCGCTGCCATGAGCTTACTGCGTGCAGGCTTGAGTTGTTTATTTTCCACTTTCGGCTTTTTGACGCACCAGTGCCCATGTTTGGTTTTAATGAGCCGTCGATGAAAAATTCAAGTTTTATCTTTCTGGCATTAAAAGCGATGCTTTATCAACTTTGGGCAAGAATCGCTGCAATAACAAACAGACGGAGAATATCAGTGATATATATGAAAAAAAGTCAGCTTTATCTTCCACCACCCTCATCCCTAGAATGACCATGCGCCACAGACGCGCGGGCAAATAGGGCACAAGGTGTTCCAAGGTACGACGTGTGTTGAAGACCCGCGCTAAGTTGAAGCAAGGAACAAGATCTACGATAGGTCGGCATGGGAACTATAGTATTTCTTCGAATTAGCGCCCAGGCGCTTATTAAAAATTTCGGTTAAAAAGGGGAGCGCTTAGTGACAGGAGGGCGGTTAAACAAGTTAAGTTCTCCCGGTTGGTAATCAAGTGACTACCTTAGTCCCATTATACGATTTACACTCAGAGTTATCAATAAAGTGGCAATAGAAACAGGTTTTCCTCTCTGCATTTGGGAGAGTAGCGAGAAGTCACGGGACAGCCGCAGGCGATAGGAGACATGAATACAAGGGGCGCGTTCTCTCGCAGCTTGCTTTGCTTGCCACAATTGAAGAGCTTGCTCACAGGCTACGTTTTCCTTGCATTCCTACTATTAAAGAAAGTGATGGGGGAGGGGAGGGTCGCTTATTCGTTCCCTGCTAGCAGAGGTCTCTCACGATGCTAGCAGGGAAGCTTATTCGAGGGGGGCGCTTGTGACATGGCCGCCGGTACTACCTGGGATACTGTTCCGATATGAGAATAGAAGTGGCCGGCAACATTGGTCATCCCAGTCTTTACTGCCTCAATGCCTGCGAAGGTGACTCGAGTTCAACTTCGTAGGCATGCCGGCGGTAAAGCTCTGCGATGGCTCTGGTTGTCGGCGGCGCATGTTCTCATTCGTCCGAGAAGTAACCCAGGCAGTACCTGCGGCTACGTCGACAGATATATCGGCGGCACCTGAGCGACCAGGCATAAATTTGGGGAAGGCGCTTATTGGAGCGTGAGCGCTTATTCGAGGAAATGCGGTATATTATTTTTGGTAGATAATGTCGAGACATCAAAAACCGTATTTAACTTATTAGTGCTTTCGTTGATTGACGACTGCCAAGTTATCTTAATGCAACAAACAGTAAAGCACCTGTGATTAATACGTTATTACAGGTGCATATATCTCTGAAATGTACCGAGTGACATGGAAATATCAGAAATATACTGTCATCGATCTAAAGGTCACGTCGCGCAAATGTAAGCTGCAGTGTATTCAGATTGCTTCGATCTTTGCTTCTAAACCAGAATTATTTTTAGAGAAAGCTCTGAGATATGAGTTATACTTTCCCGCGATCATCCAAACATCTAAGTTGCTATGTAAACAGATGTCAATTAAGAACGTTAAATGCAAATTGTTTGAGTGAATTTTTCAATTTAAAGCCTATAGATATAAAATCTAGCCATGTAGTTGATTATTAGGGACCCTAAGCTACGTAGTTACTTTTGATTAGTACTTACGCTGATGATTGAGTCCCTCATGTTACATTACACGTCCACAATTAAGGAGATAGTAGAGCAGCGTTATCAACGTTGCGTGACCGATGTAAGTCATGCATTATTTGAATAACAACATCCAACAATCGCTCTTATGGGATCACTTGACAGTCATATTCACGTTGATTGTTTTCAAAGTTTTAATATTTTTGTAGCTTTATCGGTGATATTTTTCGCACCTAAGACTGCAAATACTGATTTTTGGAAACTCATTGGTTATGCCGAATTTTAGCTATTTGCTCGTGACCTGTCTTAAGCTACTTTATACTTTTCATCGAACTCAATGGGACAAAATTTTTTTCATTCAAATTGCCCTGGTATTTACACATCAATTGTTCATCCGGATGAGAAGGTGTTTATTCAATGTTTTCATTTTTGAGCCTCAAAAAAAGTTATAGGAGTCAGTGTATAGGGACCCCTCTTCTGCTTTTTTATATTTTGTCGGAAGCTATCAGCCAAATAGCTTTTCGAAAAATAACTTTACTTAGCTGTCAGTGTCTCATTTTAGATGCAAAACAAAACTTTTTGTATTACACAAAAAATTCAAGTAATTGCGCGACATGTGCGCGATTGTCACGCGTGTGTAATTGTTGCATCCCAGGATTCCTTGTCGTCTTACACGTTGTTGCTAAGGTAACCCCAAAAGCAATATGGCGGCCCCAGATGGTCAAAAACGTGAAGATAGAGTTTGCTGCTTTTAATGCGTAAAGCAGACACGAAAAAGGTAAAACTGAGAGATTTAGAAATGGCTCAAGTTATTCGACGGAACAAGAATCCTTTGAGAGGCGTAAGGTAGCCACAAGGTGAAAAATAAACGAAAAAATGCCGGTTGAACGAGTGCCTGTTGTACACAAATTTGGGATTATCTCTCACACACAACGCCTGGCGTTAGAAGACAGGCTTGCAAAGAGGTCTTTAGCCACTGAACCTCCACGTACGTTTTCCAGAACCAGGTGAGAAAGTTATTTTCTTATGTCAGTCGGTCAGGCTTCCTAGCTTATGTGGTTTCTGGTGGTTTACATTTGATCATAAGCTTAGAAGACATTTATAAACTCCTGGAACCGACAGGCGCTAAGGAGTGAAAGAGGATATCATAAATTATATAAAGTTTATTTTTGCTTTTTGTCTCTTAAAGATCACCATATGAAGTAACAGAAGATTTTATTGCTAAGGTGGGTCAGTCTTGCCATTTTTAATTTTTCCCCTTCTGTTGCTTCCTTGCTCATACACACATCCACAAAGTAAAGTACAAAGGTGCAGTGCTTGAAGAATAATGTTTGTAATGGTAACAGGACTGAGTGAAGGCCAATTCGGTCTGTAATCATACGAGTGATTAACAAAATTGGACGACCGCGTAGCGGGAGTCCGCGATTTGTTTAATCACGAGTATGATTACAGACCGAATTGGACGACACAAAGTTCTGTTACCAATTAATCATAAACTTTAACAAGATTTGTAATGTAATAGGCTATTTTTTAATCAAAACACAAGAAATTCAAAATTTTGTTTTGAAAGCAGTGAAAAAAAAAGCCATTTAAGCGCGCGCGTGATGGCGCGTACTGTCCAATTACTTAGGCATGACGCGTACTGTCCTATTAAACTGTCCAATTAAGGCTGAAATCAGGGCAGTTGATAGCCAATCAGATTTGACAATTTTGTTATGGTTATGATTATAATATTAATTAAGCTTATAAACTCATTTCTGTCAATTTTTAGTTTAATGACAGTAATGAAGAAGACAGAAAGGAACTTGAAGGAGTTGCTCTAAAAATGATCTCTAGGGCAAAGGTACAGTGTAGCCAATTGTATCAGTTAAATATTTAAGTGTAACAAGAGAAGAATAAACGTACTTCAAGAGAAAACTGTCACTGCTGCCCCCTACCAGTCCCAGCCAAGGGGGTACTGTGTAGTTAAAGTGATGCAGATGCTCAAAAGGGGACAAGGATCAAATTCCAAAAAAACCCTATGGGTCAGTTATTTAAACAAAGTCTAACTTAGACCGCAGTTTAGGAACTCCAGATCTCTTCCTTAATGGGTTATTTTAAGTAGACAAATGCTTTTCTTGTGTACTTTATATTCTTTGATGAAATTGTTCACGATAAATGGTGTTCACATAAAAGTGTTTGGCAAATTGAAAATGGCCTAGAATACGATTTTGTTAAACACTGGCTAAACTACTGGCTTAATGGCTTTAAACAGGATCCAAACAAATCCTAATGGACCAAAAATTTACCCCCCAAAATCCCAGCCTTAAAAATTTTCAATAAGGGATTAAAAGTAAAGATATTACATCCAAAAAACAAAAAAATGGAAATTGAATGCTTCTGGTTTAAAATGATTATTTCCGTTTGCAGAGGAGAGCTGGTATTCTATCAGGAGGTAAAGGGGATCATGTTGATTTGGGCAAATCATGGACAGAACTTGGATTGCTGGCTCAGTGTACAAGCAGAGCAGTGCAAGAGGGTAAGAGGCTTATGAGACACGCAGTTAGTACTTCTCTTGTTGATGAAACCTTAATCCCAGGTCATTGATTGACTAAACAATGTCAACTTTCAACAAATATAGAGCTGTACAGCAAGAAGTCAACTGCCTCCTAACTTTTAAGATTTGATTTTGTTAACAGAGGTAATGTTGCTACAAGTACATGTACATAAACATGCGATTTACATTTTTAAAACTATTTTTTTACAGAAACTTTAGACTTGCTTATTACATCTCTTGGACATGCCCCTCCTGCAGAAGATCAACTTCCCAGGTGAGCCACAACTGACTTGGTAGCCAATGATTCGCTCCTGTGATTGAAGGGCTACTTTATGTTGAAGATTTCACCACTAACTGATTTTCGCGTACATGACCGTACATGGAATTTATTTGCACTTGTAGTTGTGAACAAGAAGTAGTATAGTCAACTGAAAAATTAAATTAATATGACAAAGAAGGTTATTACACATGTCGATTTCGGTTGAAGCGATGGGCAAATATTATACTTACAATAAAAATTATTTGTGTTCCATATGCGGCTAGTAAGCTTCCATGTGCGATCTGTGGTGACACTTTTGAAATCTAAGTTGCGTAACAAACTTCTAGGTTTTTAAATAACTAGTCACCTGATCTATATTTGCCGCGTTGTGCTAAGATAATTAAATATTCACAAAAAAATTGACAAACGGCTTGAAAGATGTAAATCAGCCAATATTACTTTTCAAAGAAAGCTTCCCTTAAAAGAGAAGTCCCAAATGGCTATTGCTGATTTTTGTGCCAATGTTCAGGTGATTTTAAGTTAAAGGTTTAAACTAATGTTTATAGTAAATTATGATGTTATAAAATTTTGTTAATTCAAAAAGGCCCCCTCCAAATTTAATGGAAATAAGTGGACATATTTTGCATGCAGCTCGGACACTTACACAATTACGTTTTCTTGAGGGTGACAAAAAATTAGTTATAAACTTAATGTTTAGTGTCTTCTTGTCAGCATTGAATGTTTTTTTCCCTTTTGACTCTCAGTTTGCTGTATCTTGCAAAGAGCTGCCTTCACTGGCTGAGGAAGTGTGTGATGAGCCCAGCTTGTCTTCGAACAGCTGAACTAAAACTCATTAAGGTATGGTAAACGTATGTTACTATTTCTAGTGCGGAGTATAGTCAACAAAAATCACTAGCTGCCAGCTACATGACAGCCATCAAAATCCATTATTATAAGTTACATTTCTAGCCTATAATTCTGGTCGTTTTGCATTTTGTCCAAATCAGTCTTTGTTTCCCCCATCCCACTTTTACTTAGCTTAATATTCTTTTTGTGTTTTTTTTTAGATGGGTCACCTGGCATTTTCAAGATTGTATTACCACAACATGACACAAGATCTTAAGGTAACAAAGATCTCTGATTCTTCAACATTGTAATGCCATGTCCCATGCCAAGTGGGAGGGGGGGGGTGCCCTCTCCCCCTGGGGGGGTCTGGGGGGCCTCCCCCACAAAATGTTAGAATTTTTAAGGTGCCAGGGTGCATTTTGGGCCATTTCTGGGCAATTTGGCTTTCTGTTTTAGCTCCTTTAAATAAAGCATTTGCTGCTTAAAAACATATCAATACAATTCTTGTTATTCAGTTTCTGTTTTAGCAAGGGGGAATAAAATTATAAATATCTATAAGCACCGCCTGACAAAATAGCCGGGACAAGAATTGAAATAGCGGAGTAAAGGTTCTGGCGTCCCGGGTCTGACAAAAACCCTGGGCTGATTAAGTATTGCTTTGAAATTATCATCCTTTGTTTAAAAAGCAACTAGTTAAACTTAGCGGCATTATACCTTTTTTTCTTATGTCGTTTGTGTGCTAATTCTCTTAATTTTGCAGGGTTATCAAGAAGAAAAGCGGTCACTGCTTAAGTACCTTTCAAGTCTCCCAGATCAACAGGAAGAAGCATACAAGTCATTTCCAGGGGCTTTATTGGCAGTTAGATATATCAAAGAAGTGGTGAGTTTTCTTTTTAAATTATGAGAGAGAAAAACCTTGGTCAGTAACTAAACATTAAAGTACTGGGCCTTGTTGTTTGAAGCCTGGTTAATTCTGATTGTGGGTAAGTTGCAACTAGGAAACTGCCCACCTTCCCCTCCCTTAAGCCAATATAAGTGAGAAGTAAGTGTTAATATTGGCTTAGGCGATGGGTAGGTGGGCAGTTTCCAGAAACCTAGATTGAGCCCTTAATCCATCCGTTTACTACTTAATAATGCTTATGAGCAATGATGCTGCTTTCACGGCAACTAGCCCTAGATTTGCTAATATTCTTCAAACAACTCGAACCTCTCCTTTAACTCTTGTATTCACAAATATTTGTTCTGTTTGTTAGTTACATTTGTTGTGTCTGCCTTCTCTCAGGGTCATCTTATCTGTACTGGCTGTGGTGAACCAAACCCTGAAGAATCTAAAGTCATAGAGCCTGCACCTGTGGGAGCAGCCACTGCTCAGGAACCAGAGCCCGCAGCCCAGAATGTGGACGTGCCAGTTGTGGAAACTACTGAGGGAGGAAGGGTGGGACTACCGCTGTTGTTGGAAGAGGAAGAGGAAGAAGAGCCATATCAAGGAAGTGGAGATCTGGTAACTAGGGCACAATATTTGAAAACTTGAGTCTTCACAGTCAAAATTTTGTTGTTGCTCTCTTGCCTCCAAAATACCGGGTGTTAAAACACCACCTCGTTGGCGATGTGAATTTCACCACAGTTGTAACACTAAAAGTCATTACCAGCCTCATTCCAAAAATATTCCAGTTGTGCCAGTTGTGGAAACTACTGAGGGAGGAAGGGTGGGACTACCGCTGTTGTTGGAAGAGGAAGAGGAAGAAGAGCCATATCAAGGAAGTGGAGATCTGGTAACTAGGGCACAATATTTGAAAACTTGAGTCTGCACAGTCAAAATTTTGTTGTTGCTCTCTTGCCTCCAAAATATCGGGTGTTAAAACACCACCTCGTTGGCGATGTGAATTTCACCACAGTTGTAACACTAAAAGTCATTACCAGCCTCATTCCAAAAATATTCCGTATCAAAAGAACGTCACATTACATTTGGCGTGCAAGACAATAAATTATTTCCTTCCCAACCGGCTTAAATAGTATTTGGTCGGATATCAGTAACCTCCCACGCAGACATTCTTTTGACTCGCCATACATTGAAAGAACGCGTGATGACACCCCAATGACGACTTTGTGAAGGGCAAACGTCGAAGTAGTAGGCCGGAACAACATTCAGGGTCTTATGATAATCGAGGAATAAGTACTGCATTTGTTTTGCAACTGTTCAGACATTCGAGTATTCTTGAATGTGTCACATAGCAGTTTCACTGATGTGACTCTCGCGGGAAGTAAAGAACGTATATTACTGTTCAAAAAAAAAAAATAGGGGACGTACACCCCGGTGGCGTGGACAAAATGTCATGGGTTCGGAGGGTCATCATCATTATCATCATCATCATCATCACCATCATCGTCATTATCGTCATCACCATCGTCGTCGTCATCATTAATGAGTTTACGCAACAGGACGGCAGGAAGAAGAGGACTACAAAACGCTTGAGTGTGACAAACGTGACAAGGCCATAACTTGCATGTTATGTCGTGATCTTCACTTAGCATTAATGTTTTCTGGTCTTTACAAAGAGATCTGTTTAAGGGAAAGGGAAGTTTGGCCAAAGTTACTTCAAACAAAATTGTTGTCATGGTTGTCACACAAGGTTTGCCGTCCTCTCCCTTCCTGTTGCATAAGTTCACTGTTATCATCATCATCATCGTCGTCGTCGTCGTCATCACCTGTCACGATGTTGACGCATCGGCTTAAGAATTAACTTGACTTAAATTTCAGGCCTCATGTAAGCCATGTAAGTATTGTCAAAAGAAAGAAACCGTAATTTAGAATTCCTACTGGACATGTTTTCTTTGTTCATGTAGGGTTTTAATGAGGCCATCAGCTTGAGCCTTCCACACAGTCCAGCAGCAGCCAGCACTATCCATGACTTGTCACCAACTCTCTGGCATGCTCTGGATGTTTGGAGGAGTGTCATGCACAGGGGGACTGGGCTGAGACAAGCGTTGGAGGGACTGAGCATGTGCGGGACAGGCTTGACTACTGAGTTATGGTAAGAACAAAGTCCATAGCATTATATCTGTATATCTCCCAAGTGTCACGCCTGCTGATCGAAAACTTCGATCTCACGCCTGGTAGAAAAGTTTGAGCCATCGCATCATTAACTGACACATTTTGAAAAATGTATTAATTATTTAAAGAAACTGGAACCAATGAGAGAAAAGAAAAGTTCATGGACTTTCTCTGAATTCTCTTATCTTAGTAAGGAAAGTCACTGCAGACGAGGTCGTGTTCCTTCGTGTTCCCGTGTTCAATTAGACGTAACTCTTCGGAAAGTCTTCAGAACGTCTTCGGACATCTTCGGATATTATGATATCGGACCCCAACAAAAAAATCCTGGCACTCTCTGGATAAAAACGACACGTCTATAAAGATTATTCGCGATCAACCGAGAGAAATTTGCAAAAGCTAAGCAAAGTACTACAAAGCTTAAGTGGTCATTCACTCTGTTCAAAGTATACTACAAATTGCTGTAAATCCCACTAAAGATTGGAATCGGAAATCCAAGTTACCCTGACAAAGAATCCGGAATGAAGTAGCTGGAATCCGGGATCCACGACGTGGAATCCAGAATCCAAGACTGTTTTGGATCTCCTTACATGGGGGAGGCGTATCAGTAAAATGCTACATGATAATCGTCACCCTGTAGGAAAGTGCCAAGTCTTTAATACCAGGTCAAGCTACGATCGGTTGGTTTCGCTGTGGCTTATGTCCATCCCCTTATCTTACCCAACCTTTCGTCTCTTTTTACTCCTGGCACAGGTTAGACGTCTGTTGCGCTTTTCAAGTTCTAACAGAAGTATCAAAGCGTGACATTGCCGTTCTTCGCACTTTCCAAGCTCTCGCTGCTGGAATGTTTGCGAGACCAGCGGAGATTTCAGACGAACATGCGCGTCACGTTCACCTGTGCAACAACTGTCTATCGACTATCGCTGGACATCAGACCAAAAGTCTGCCAGACGATTTGCATTTTAACGTGGACAAAGCTCACGCTGCGTCGGGATTTATGTCCATTGGACAGACGCCTAGTTTCGTTCGAGGACTGCGTGATTTCGCCGACCTTGGCCTCGAAGATACGTCCGTTAAACAGCCGGAGGATGATGCAGTGAGCGTCACGTCACGCAATACTGCCAGTGATGCATCCTCTGAAGCTAGCTTTGCGGATGTTAGTAGCGTAGAAAGCGGGCATCGTGGAAGATTAGATAACGTGATGGAGAGAGCCGCGAGCGTGTCAAAAACGTTTAAGAAAACGCGGAAAACAGCTGCTAAGAAAGACGAAATGTCTTCCGACTCCGAAGACGACGCTGAAAAACTAGCAAAGTCACCAACGCAGTCATCTAAAAAGAATATTCCCAACAAAGAAACTGAAAACCCTGTTCGCGCCCGCGGAGGAACAGCAGTGCGGTTTAACGTTCAAGAGGACGCTGAGGTTGTGAATACTGAGGGTGGAGTCCCTAAGGCACAGATGGAGCGCTCCCTGACAAAAGAGAGTTTGTTTACACAGGGAAGCTCAGTTAGCATTCCGCTAGCAGAGGAAGGTGAGCTTACTCGCCGCAAATTTCCATTTCCTAGACGGTCGTTGACATTTCCAAAACACTTAGAAAGTTCGGATCATCATACGTTTGCGGGAAACTGCCCACCTACCCCTCCCCTAAGCCAACATTAACACTTACTTCTCACTTAGGGCAAAATGTTTGCTTAGGGGAGGGGTAGGTGGGCTGTTTCCCTGAAACGCGTACTGATTCCGAAAGTTCTAGCCTGAGAAAGCAGTCGACATCTCGCCCCGCCACCATTGGTTTCCTCGCGAAATGGCGTCCGAGGAGCGACTGCAGAAATTCCATACTGATGACGTGTCAGATCTTGGTAGTCCTTTTGATTGAAGCAAATTCTCCTTGTGGCACGACCAGTCAGAAGCACCATACCCAGATCTAGGTTGGAGACGTCATCAGTGGGGAATTTTATGTAGTCGTCCCTTGGACGTCATTTTGCGGAGAAAACAGTGGTGGCGTCGCGGAATGTCGACTGTTTTGTCAGGTTAAGAAGGTTCCGCATTCTAATCTCTCTCCTTTGTCAATATACTAATAGTTGTAGGAAAAAAATCGAGAATGAGTTAAACGTTTTTAACATGTAAACTTTTCAACTTCGTTTCTTGCAGATGACAAAAGCAGCGTGAAAACCGGAACTTCACTGTTTTCTAATGCAGCCGGGCTAACTGGGTGGCGCTGGGAACTAGCGTACCTCTACACCGACTGTATGACGTCAGTTTGCATGAACGGACAGAGCTCTATCATTCAGAAAACTGCCCTGCTTGGAAGCGAGGCTAACCGCAAGGTTACCGTCTATGGCAAGAGAAACGCCATGTCAAGCGAGGGCTTGGGGCTCTTAGACTTGCTGAAAATCAAATTGCCTGTCGAAGAAGGTATCGTTAAGGCTTCATTTGCTTTATTTTTACTGCTTTACCGATAAATACTTATGTAGTACCTCCTTATTTTACAGGAAATGAACACAAAGATTGGAGTTGGAGAGTCAGGTTTGCGGCCGTGCAAGGCCTTGTGCGAATTTGCCGTCACTGTGGTGGCGATAGCACAAAAGATGGAATATGCGGAGTGGCCTGGGCACAACTCATGAGGCATCATTCGCTGGAGAGAGATGTCCGTGTTTTAGAAGCCTGGAAACTAGCTCAGGTGGGCTTAATGTAACACGAGGGACTTATAAACAAACCAAATGGTCATTATAATTGAAATCTCAGTAGCCGCCGATAATCTTATAAACCTTGTTAAACTGAAAAGCAAATCTGTTTTTAAAAATGCTCGGAAGAGTTTTGGTTATGTTTGCCTAAAACTTTTGATGTTGACATCTTTCGGTGAATCGTTGAATCACTTCGTATTAAAACAATCAAATAAATCTCCCTCGCTATCAATGAGGCGTATCAACTCATAGTCCTAAATTATTAATTTGCAAATTGAATCAACTGTTGTTGCTGTTGTTAATTTGCCATTTTAGGAACGTGAAAGAAACTGAACCGAGTTAACTTTCGCACTGACTTCTGGGATCATTACTGGGGATGCAGCCAACTTTTTTCCCTGTCACCAGTTACAGTCCCAGAAGTCTTTGCAAAAGTTAACTCGCTCCAGTCTCCTCGTTTCTAAAGTGGCGAATGAAACTGCACATAAAAAACCAAACCAGGCCCTGGTTGTTCAAACGAAGCGATCAATCTCTATCCAGTAAATAGCGCAATTGGTTTCCTTAGTAACTTATCCGTTGGATAGTGATATATTCGGTAGATAGCGCCATCCAAGTTTTGAACAACCGGGCCAGACTTACATTAGGGACCTTACGATCCGACAACGGCGACGTCTATGGTAACTCCTCATCCTTTCAAACGATTTCGCGATTATCCCAAGTCGCCCAGTTAATTAAAAGAAGGGAATTTATGTTGGAGGGGGCCGTGCCCCAGTTCAGACAGAAATGATAGAATTTATCGCCTTGCCGTTCCCGTCCTCAAAAAGACTTTTGGTCATTTTACGTCATATTCTTGTAGGGACGGCAAAGAAATGTACAAAAAAGCGTGATGGACGTGCAGAGTTATTGTTTTGCAAACTAAACCTATTGCTTTTTGACGTTGCCGTCGCCGTCGTAGTTTCGTAAGGTCCCTATTAATTGGAGAAGGTGATACTTGACAGTTTCAAGAACTGAAATACTTGTGTCCCTTTAATCCTTTAAGCCCTAAGAGTGATCAGCATTAAATTTCTCCTTGTAATATCAATGCTTTGTAAAACAGAGTGGTCATGAGAATTACGGACATGATCACACAAGATGAATTTGCTTGATATTTTATCACCTTCTCCCCACTACTTCTGTAGGAAATGAAAAGGGGCAACAGATGAGAATTCAAATTTTGATCTTAGGATTTAAAGGGTTAAGTTTCTTTAAGTAATTGTCGCTCGCTGCGATCATAATTTTCGCTGGCGATGATTAAATAATCTTTGTCATTTTTCTTCAGGTTGAATCGGAACTCGATAAGAAGCTTCCATTGCTCGACGTCGTAAACTCATTTCCGTCCTGGTCCGCAAGCAGGTTGTCAGCGGTATTACTTCCGCCCCTTCCTCCTGTTGTACCGCTGAGCAGTCGTCCCAGATCTCGCGCACGTAATACTCCGCTGCCCAAATCTACTGCCTTCGTCAAGAAGGGACCCAAGCGTCCTTCTTTAAGGTTTGTTGAATTACTTTGTTGTGTGTAGATCTGTGAATCTGTTTTTACTTGAAACGTACCTACAGATTGATGTGAAAATTTTTTTACCTTTGTAGAAATAAAACAAATAATATGATGTGGCCTCTTTGAGTGTCACAGAAGACATTCAGTCGATTTTTTTAGATCATTTATCCCCGCTAAGTTTCACCTTTAATATCCTTTATAGGCAGGAGATTCTGTTGGCTACAGCTGCTCGGGAACCTCAACCCAACTTCCGCAGCCGGCGGAACCATGACCTGATGTTGGTGATAGAGGATCAGTGGAGGAAACAGCTCCATGAGGAGCAGGTGCAAGAGGAAGCAGACAGGAGGAAGAAGGAAGCCAGCAGGGTGGAAAGTATCGTGGCAAAAGAGGGGAGACGAAGCAGACAAGAGGGGGAGGGTGTGGGGAATAGGGTGGAAGGAGGTAAACAGGAGGGGACTACAGATGGAGAGGGAAGACGAAGCTTCCAAGACGTGGCTGCAGATAGGAGAGGGTTAGAGGAAAGAATAGGTGAAATACAAGAAAGAGGTGATTGGAAGGAGGTAACTACAGAGGAATCGTTTGCTGAAAATGCAATGGAGAGGAAAGAGAAGAGAAGGAGTACTGGAAAAGTGACTTCCAGTGAAAAAGATGTGGAGATAGAAAATGGAACAAAGAAACCCACTGACGGTACTTTACTGAAATGGTGAAGAGGAAAAGCAGACGTAGATAGGGAAGTGTGGAAGATGCTTAAGGGGGCATTCTGGTTAAAAGCACTGTTCTTCGTTTATTTCCGACCTTTTTCTTAATTTCTAACTAGCCAAGATTTTATTCCATCAAAAAATAATGACTCCATTATGTCAGTTAAAGTCCTTGGTTCAATAATTTTTTGTGAATTTATTAATAATTTTCCGAATGTGTTTAATGTGTAAAAATTAGTTGGGGATGTTTGAAGTTTTGGAAATTTGAAAAAAATTGGATTTGGTGTTTGTTAAAAATTAAAAAATGAAGTGAATGATTAGTAGACAGATATCAGTGAGTCCACCACCACAACAAGGTGCCTCTGATCCCCATTAGCAGACTAACTGGTTTATGTGTATACCTTTTCTTCCCTGATTTATTTCCTTCCGAAATCAACATCGTATCATTCCCCCCGCAAAAAAAAACAACAACAACAACCAGAATCCCCCCTTGATGTAAAAGGAAGGTAAACTGATTGTGCTTGCAAATGACGTCGTAGTAAGAGGAGATATTAGTTTAATAAAGGAACAATAAGCTATTTCAGTTACGTGGCGAAATATGGAGAAAAAATATAGAAGAATAGCAACTGAGATATAAAGTGATTTTACTTGAACCGTGAAACAGATACTAACAAATTGTGCAAAATAGCAAGAGGTAAATGAAAGAGGACAATAGAATTAGTGCATAATAGTGTGTAGTATTCTCCTACCTATTTCACGGTTCAAGTAAAATCACTCTATTATGGGGTGTAGAATATTGCTTATCAGTTTCAAAGCTAGTGTTAAACTACATTTTAGATAAAAAGCACGAAGCTTGTGGAAAGAAAACAGACAGATAAAGTCAAGATCTGTTGGTTTTTGTACTTAAGGATTTATTGAGTTTACAGGCTACGTAATAAATATTTTTCTAAATTAAAAATATTGAAGAAAGCCATGCCTTTGTTGGTGAGTCTTTTCTTTTCCTTACGTATACCTACCTATTAGCAATAAAATTACCGTATGAAATGAAAAATAGAGAGCATTGAGAAAGCTTTCATCGCTGTGCTTTTTACGGGAATATTTAACAATTATCCGAATGGGCTCTGAGTCAATAGCTATGAGGCCGATGGCTGAATGGGCTATTGACTCAGAGGCCATGAGGGCGAGAGGAATAATTGTTTTAGTAAAATCCAATTATTTGGTCAAAAATATCGCGACAAAACAACTTTAGCTAGCAAAACGCGATTCAGCCGCCATTGTTTTGGCTTTCAAAGCCGGCACTTTTCGCTACTAGTGGGCTATAACATATACAGCCTAGCAGTAGCTCAACCAATCAGAACGCAGCATTGAAAATAGACCACTATTTGGATTTTACTAAACCCCTATATGCTCATTTCCCTTAATTCTAGTTATTTATTTATATTTTTTATTGAATTCTATTGAGCGCCAAAAACCAATGAAGTTTGTTTTATTTCTCCAACCGTAAAAATCACATTTCAGTTGGGGTGTGAACGGCCAAAAATTATCCACAAAATACACTTGCAGGATATGACTATAATCCTCCGAAACAAAGTCTTTTTGTGCGGTGTGCAGTGTCAGAATTATGGAACTCATGGATTCAAACTTTAAATCCGTGATCCCCAAAATTAAACATTGATATATTTCAATAGGTATATATCTCTTGTTGGATTACGTGTCTATCTTACCAGGACTGATCTTGCCGAATTCCTTGGAAAAAACATCTGGTAAGCCTGTGGCTCTCCCGTTGCTAGGCACCTGGCAGTACTTGTTCACGAATCTTCTTGTTGGCCAAGGTTAGCCCACGCAACCAAACGAATTAAAAGACCTGCATGCAGTTGAAGACCTAACAGTACATTTAGTGTATCGACATAAATTGATTTTAAAGTTTAGAGGAATGTAAGTTTTGCGTTGAGAGTTAAAACATTGAAGTTTAATTTAATACTCAATGCTAATTTTCAAGTTTGTACATAAAATCCTTTAGCGTGAAGGCTAATATAAGCGTTACCTCCCTGTAGCGATAGTTATTGCTCTGAATTTTCTTAGACACGCAGAGAAAAAAAAGGATTCACTGTAAACTCTCCCAGGATATTTTTTAGCATGTTTTAAGCAGTCCATGGAGATAAAATTATGCTTAAAAGTGGTCTTTCTGAAGGGTGCCAAATCCTATTGTAAATAATTGAAATGAACTATATGTCCATGGTAATTATATTTCGCTTTTGTAAAGTTAATCTTCCATTTCATTGGACTCCACGCTTCGTTTGTTTATCATGGTTTCTTCAGAGACGCTATTGTTTCGCACAAACCTTTCAATGCTCTATAAATTTCACATTGCCGGCATGGATGCGAGAAATTTAGCGTAAAAATAATAAAGTTCTTTTAACAAGAAAAGGATTCAGTTTTGGGAAGACAAATAATGTTTATAACAGTGCGTTTCGGAGGTAAGTTTTAATATATGGTCATAGACGTTGATTATCATTGCACGTTTCTAATTCCATAATAACCGAACGAAATCAAATTGAATCTATTTCTACCCTTACAGACGGTGAAGAATCGATTTTTAACCCGAACTGTCGGACAGACATATTGTTGGACGATATTAAGCGACGATGTAATTGCACCAAAGATGGTGAGATACGCAACTTTTATTTAGAGTTAGTTTAATAGCATTACGTGAGCTAAATGTCATCCCACAAACTTGTAAACTTGACCTGACATCAATAAACTTTGTCTATCTTTTTCTTTCAGCTACTGTCGATTTATCTGATGAATCTGGAAATCTTAAATTCCTTGTCAACCATCCTTTGATTTACGCCACAGAACTTCTGAAAGAGCGGGAATCATTTGTTTTGATAAGAGTTGAAAGTAAGTTGGTAACTGATAAGTTAAACTCTCCCGTTGATATTGTTTACTCTCTTTAAACCATTTGGACGCTATCTGAAGTTAATCTTGACTCTTAACTGTTCTCGCTCTATATATATGAACTTGAATAAGGATTCCTATCATCTTTCTATAAAAATCATCTTGTAAACTACTCTCTCAGTGCTTCATGCTTTCAACAGTGTTTATCAGTGACTCTCGTTACTCAGATCAAAATTTGTAACAGAGAATCTAGAAAATAACTCGGAGATAACTTTAAGCAAAACTCAGTTATACGTTGCCCGTTAGAAGACTGCTTATTTATTTACGACCATCAAGCACATGCTGAATTCTAAATCGTAAGAACTTAAAGCTAAAAGTGTGGCAAACGAACATTCTTATTGAAAGGTTTTTCGAAGCAATAGATGTTGCCTAGTACGTAGACTTCCCTTAAAAAAGTAATATGCAAGATTTTCAGCTTATTCAGTTTACACATTTATTTTAAGGATAAATTTGGCTGAGTTGACAAACTGATATTTGAGGACTTAAAGAAATATATTTTTTTTCTGAGACAATTTTAAATAATTTATTAAGTTTGTTTTGTCTGAACTTTATGGAGAAAGTGAAATTATTTATAACTGCCTTAATTTATGGGACGCGTTGTTATTCTTTTTATGACGCAAACACCCTCCTTTTCCGGCATTTGTTGTTGAATAATTCCGTTACTTTTCTTTATTGCTTTTTATCCCCATTTAAACCAGCTTTTGCTGCATGAACTAGACATCGTTATTGACATATTGTCAATAGATAATAAAACAGAAAGATTAAAATTTCGAATCCTGCTCAATAACTTAAATGGATAATGGCCTTTCTTAAGGAAAAAAATCTCATTTCTGAGTTACCCGAGCCTCTGTTTCAAAGCGAGGTTCTTTACGAAGCCATTGATATGAAAATATTATTTTCATCCTCAAGCAAATGAAACCATTATCACAAGAAAGGCTTTGCACCTAGCCTCGTTTTGAAAATGAGGGTTTTTACTGTGAACCCCTTGACCTTTTAAGGAGACTGGGTCGATATTGTGTCGAATTGCACTATGGGGCTGTTTTGGCACTACAGCTTTTACGAGGAAACTGCGTCGAAATTTGTTCCCAAAACAATCCCATGATGCAATTCGACACAACACCAACCTCCAATGGCCAACTACATTCAGATACATGCATACTTTTTATCCATCAGGCCCCGGTTGTTCAAAAGTTGGATAACGCTATCCACCGGATAAATCGCTATCCAGAGGATAGGTATTACGAAAACCAATTGCACTATCCTTTGGATAGTAATATATCCAGTGGATAGTGACAATCCACCTTTCGAACAACTGGGGCCAGGAAGTAGCAAAGTGGAAATGAATTTTGCTTCCGCCAATACCTCTTAGCAATATTTACTACAATTATTTTCCTTCGCTTTATGTAATACTTGCATGTCAAGTCAAGAGTCAAGTCAAGTTTATTGTGTAAAGTACACGCTTAGCTATTTGTGAGAAAATTCACAAGCTAGTTTGCGGGTATTACACATTCAAAACCAGAAATTAAAAAATGAATAGATAATTATAACTAAAATATATATAAAATAACTAATTCTAAAGATAAAATGTAAAAACTGTTTACATAAGACTAGAAAATTTCACAAATAAGATAAAGCTAAAACTATTTACAATGCGAGACTGGTAGTAGTAGTAATTAATTATAATTAGTAAACGTTAATGATAATTATGTTTTCCCGCGCTTTCTACCAGTTGCAATTTTTCCCGCTAGATGAATGATTTGCTATAAACGAAGGTACCCAGTCACTGGCTATTTTATTTTGGGAACTGCTCAGTTTCGCCATAAAATAACTTATAATAATACAAAAAATAAAACAAGGTGGGGGCGACTACGTAAGGACTTGTTTTAATTGTTATTACACCTATCTCGAATTAACATTTAAACTGCCCATATCTCTTTATTGGTTTGTGTTACTGTCATAGAAAAGGGTGAAAATGAAGGTGACCAGTACACACCAATGCTCAATGACATGATTACTGTAACTCCAGCGTTTCTAGGTAAGTTAGTGATCACGTTAAAACGTTATGATTCGTCTATTGTCATTTCACTAGCCTGTTCCAGGTTCCAGGATATCAGCCGGAAAAGATCGAAATAGTTGAGCGAAAACCGCATGGGATGAGTGGGGCTGGTAGGGACGGGGAAGTGGACCTTCTGGTATACCCTATGATTCGTCAATTTTGACAGTTTACGTCAACACTTTTGTCAAACATTTGGCTTCATGCCCGCCTAGGCAAACAAACATGGCGAGCAGTGAAACCTTCCTTCCCCACACATTTTGCCTCGAGAAACGGTTTCCGGTTCCTGGCTCCCGGCTCCCGGCTCCCGGCTCTGTTTTCTTAGCTTCCACCCTTCTCCTCCTTTTTCTTCCACTTCCTGCCCTTTTAGAACTCTCACCTTCCGCCATTTCCTCCTCCACCTCCCATACCTCTGCTGTCCCTATTCACCCGGGCTCCCAAAACCTCCGTCCTTCCCCCCCCCAAAAAACGTCCTGCTTTAAAATGTAGACTACGTTTCCTCCTGGAGTGAGCACAAAGAGAATTTTTTGTCTAAACGCGCTGAACTTGACTTACATATTCATTTAAATTCTTTTTTCTCAGAGCGTCTTTCTAGATGCGAGAACGACAGTTTAAACGCTAAACACTCCGCCATGAAACCTCCTCGTGTAGGCAGTGGCTCATTACAAAGAAGACAGACTGGGATCAAGGCAAAAACTGCCGGTTCCATGTCGAGTACTGCTGCCAGGAATAAGGCATCCAGAGAGAAAACGCCAGGACAGAAGCGAAATAGAGAAAGTAGATGATGACTCGGACAAAGAAATAGGGTATAAAGTAGATTTACAATTGATATTAGAAAAATAGCTTGCCAACGTAGACGTATTTTCGGTTGTTCCTTTCCTTCTCTTGAGGCAAAGATCCAGAGAAGTGGCAACCGAACTGAAATGGGTCTACGTCAGCAAAAAGCTGGTGTTAGCTATATTGAGGTTAAGCCTGGGACTTGACCGGTGTTGTGTCTAATTACACCAGGGACTGTTTTGGGGACGTTATAACCTCTTTATTTGGCTATTACGTGGTTGTAAAGGAATCTGGGTCAAAATTCGTCTTCCGAAATATTCCCAAAATGCAAGTCGACACAACATCGACCCAGTCTCGGAGTCAAACGCAACGTAAAAATGGCCATGACGTGATGACGTGAAGACGTGACGTCATTTTAACACCACGGCCAGAATCCATCAAGGTTTTGCTATCTTGTGCAAATTAGGGCTTTTGTTATTCAAACTTCGCTTGGATAACAAAATTCAAATATGAAAGAAAAAAAGAAAGCGAAAAGGATTCTGGTCGAAGTAGTAAAATGAGGCCATCGTTCCAATGGCCAACTGCGTACAAAACATCTTTAATGACTTTCCATACAAGGGTAATAGGCCTTTGTTGCTAGCCATCTGCGTGGTACAAAACCGCCATGCTGGAAACATGAGACGAGCTGGTAGAAGACAAACAAAAGCTTGTATAATTTTAAAGTGGTGTTTTTCTTTATTTGTCTTGTCCCAGTGCGTCACTTGCTCTCCGGCTTGCACCTTGTGTTGTCAAAAATGACAAACTGTCGGTAATAGTATTATTTTCTGCCTCAGCTGCAACGGCAGAGTTCAACAGAACTTGTACTTTGAAGATAAAAGAATTAATTATTTTGCACCAGTTTGGAATAATGCCTGAATTATCTGCGGTCAGGCGGTCCTCCTTCCCTCTTTGTTCTGGAGGCGGGGGAAAAGGACAAAACGAAAAATGAGTGCCTGATCAAAAGAAGAACCCATGATGACAGAGACAATGAGCTGTAAGCTTGATTTGTACGCTACTTCGAAATACCATCGAGCGCTGTGGATCACTGAATGAAACTTTACTAAACTATAAGACTGTCTAAGTACATATAGATAGATCTTTGTACTTTTATATTTATAATAATTTATTTCAGTTGTAGTATATATGTATATTTCATTGTCTTGATTTTTCTCTGGCTTCCGATAATATTGAATGAAAACGATAAAAAAAATGGCTGGATCCTTCTACAGAGGAGTATGTTTTAACTGAAACCGAACTCTTTGCACCTCCCCAGACCCCTTCATGATAGCGATAACTCAAAACCGGTGAACTTAAAAAAATATATATATAACGAAAAGATGTAAGTTGTAACAGTATTCTTAGCAAATATTGAGCGATATTCACTTCGCTCCTGACGTATAACTGTAAACTACTATAACATCATCACGCAGATAAATAAACAATCCAGTAACAGATGTTAAATAGAAGGTACGAAACAGGAAATACAATTCTTGCAAATTTATCCACAACATTAATGCCTTGAAAGTTATGAACAAAATCCCCGTCTTCATCGTCGAGTAGATTTTGAGAAGAATGTCTCTGCCTAGGGTAGGTGCGGTCGCGGTCTCCATCCACGCTGTTTTCCATCTGTGAATGTTCAAAACCACCGTTCGCGTGTCCGGTTTTGTTCCTCGTAAGCTTTCGAAGATCAGAACTGTCCTCCTGAAAAATACGAAAGCAGGCGAGAACTTGTTAATAGAAATGGCGTTGTGGTGAAAGCGCTTATCTCTTACGAATGTGATCCGGGCTAAGGTCGAGGTCACGTCATATGTGAGTTGAGTCTGGTTTGTTCCGAGAGGTTTTTCTCTGGGTACTCCGGTTTCCCGGTTTTCTCAAAACTAACATGCCCAAATTCCCATTCGACGTAGAAAGTGTCCGTCTCCAGTTAGCTGGGCATGGGCGGATCTAGGGGAAGGGTGCAGGGGGTGCGCACCCCCCCTCCTCCTGAGATGACCTGCGGTTTTCTAATACAACTGGTATTCTGCAAAAAAAAACTATGGGGTTTATTGGTGTTGAAGTAGAGCAAGAGACGAGTGCATCTCCTCCTAAAAAAAATCCTGGATCCGCCCCTGCTAGGGACACTTACAGGGTCACAGGTTTTATCAGTTCTTGAAGCAGTTAAGCGTCAACATCTAACGTTAGTTTGTTGTGGTCGTTCACCTTTTGTAGTTTTTTATTTTTTTAGTTTACAACAAACATACCAAGCGGTAAATGCGATGGCTGTAAACGTATGCCGCAAACGAGTCCACTCTAAGCTTAAGCAAGTTTTTACCGAAGAGATCTTTTTTGTCACACACATATAGTCAAAAGCTAAGTATGTGACAGATCAGCACATTCTGTAAGATATTTAATAACATCATGAACCATTGATAAAGGGATCGGGATGGCGGTTCCGAAAGATCTGCGTAACTTTCAAGAAATTGTTGGTGTTGAAGAGTATTTCTTTGCAATTAATGAACAAATTAGAATAGTGCCTCTGCTTTGCAAACACAAGACTGGTTTGATTAGCTTGTGTTAAAGAGAAAAGTTGCTCTGGTATGGCTAACTCAACACATTGATGTTGAATTACTAGTACGACGCAGGCTAAGTTTGACAGGGTGGAGTTTCACTCACCCGTTGTTTGTCGGTGCTGCCATATCGAGTCCCCGAGAGCGGAAAATCTTCAGGATCATCTTTCAGGCCTTTCACCTTTCGAAGGATGTCGGTCCCCTTTCTTGTCAGCTTCTTGGCTTGAGAAGTGACGAAAGTGGAACTCGGATACTCCACCAAGGCGGCGAACACGTAGAGGAAGGAGACACAGAGAAACCAGTCAATAGCCTTGACATAGCTCACCTTTGGCATCGACGATTGAAGTCCGAAGATTAGAGTCGTCAGGGCCAGGACTGTCGTGATTCCGAGGGCGACCCGAGCGGGAGGTGAGCTACGTGGAATCCAAAAGGAAACCCAGCTTAGAATGGTGATAAGGATTGTGGGAATGTATATCGAAACGACGTAGTAAAACTTCTTTCGTCTGATGTGGAAAGTTAATTTCAGCATAGAGAAAGTTCCTGGAATAGAAATGAAAAGGTAAAGTACATCCATTCTGATAGCCGTAAGACTTTTCGTCATCAGCTGAATTGAATAATATGTTTAGATTTTCTTAGCAGGAAAGCTACGTGCTCCAACCTCGGTCATAAATTATGAGGGAAACACTTCCGGAAAAAATAAGATAAACTATATGTCGTTCCACGAACTTGTACAGTTATTGTTTGCCTCTTCTTCCTCAATATTGGTGTCACGGTTTTTTGTTGAGCATAAACTCTTGGAAATCAACCTTAAATGGGGAAGGGCAGGAGGAATTTAAAAGCGTTTCAACAATTGTGACCAGGAATGTAGATACTAATCCGCAGAGAGCCCCCTTAATATCATAGGGTATTTCCTTCCCATAATGCATCGTGTTCCATGCTTATTCTCAGTCTTATAATTTCCAATACCTGACTGGCGAAGGGAAAAGAGAAACGAAAACCCTCAAAAAAAGCCGGGAAGTACCTGTGACGTAGGAGGCGGATATCTCCTGAACGGTAAAATCATCCACTGCAAACTGTGACATGATCATGAAATCAACCTTAAATAGGGAAGGGCAGGAGGAATTTAAAAGCGTTTCAACAATTGTGACCAGGAATGTAGATACTAATCCGCAGAGAGCCCCCTTAATATCATAGGGTATTTCCTTCCCATAATGCATCGTGTTCCATGCTTATTCTCAGTCTTATAATTTCCAATACCTGACTGGCGAAGGGAAAAGAGAAACGAAAACCCTCAAAAAAAGCCGGGAAGTACCTGTGACGTAGGAGGCGGATATCTCCTGAACGGTAAAATCATCCACTGCAAACTGTGACATGATAAGCTCTTCTCCTATCGATACAGCTGACTTCATGTCCCTGCTTACATTTTCCCACTTGAAATATAAGTCAGCTGTCGTCATACCATCTGAAACAGAAGGCAGTCATTGTTTATGTGATTTTTAAAGCATGAACAGCAGTGTTTTGTCAATGGTTAAAAATTCGAGCGTAGTGGTTGGGGTTGTTTTGGTCTAAAAGATTGGACCTAAAGTTCAGCCGTGCCTACATCAGATATAAAGACACTCATTAAACATTAGTTTATAGCAATTAGTGAATGAGGCTGAGAAGCAAATGAAGAATTCTGCAGATCGAGGAAGGTGTGCCTGCAATAAACGAATTCCCGGTGTTAGTCATTCTCTAGTTACAAGATCAGATTATTTAGCTTTTTTTTTTTCTACTTACAACTCTCAAAAAGTAGACTACAATTTTGTTTATCCATGGGATAATTACGTAGATCCATTTTGCAAGCAGCAATCACAGTCAACCTACAAACAAACAACATTACGTAAATCTCATTCGACAATGGGGAGCTTAAGCAACAACGTGACGGCTACCAAAACTTCGCTTAGAAGGTGAATTTGCGCTACTTTAATTTTTATCGCGTTCATACCACCTTGTTTAATTCGTCCAATGTTGGGAAGTTAAATTCCCAACATTTGACAAATTCTAAAATACTGTATCAAAAGTTCAGGCAAAGAAAAAGAAAGTCGTTGTCTTGTGTTCACGTCCTCGACAAAACGTAAAATTAGACACTTTCACGTTGTGGTTGCGCGGCGACGGCAAAGAAATGTACAAAAAAGCGTGATACACGCACAAAGTTGTTGCGAGTGCCAGACGAAAGAGTTATTTGAAATATATCGTCATCGGATGGTATCGGCTTTGGATCGGATATTACCTAGTCCCTAGGCCTCGTTATTCCGCAGAGCCTATTCGTTTCGGCTCACGTGATCCGAGTTTGGGTCGGCTACATCAAAGTAATGGATTGACCGAGAGGGGCCGAGAAGACGGCGTACAGGGACTAGGCAAGAGCTATACTAATGACTTTGTGGCAGGTTACTCGCAGAGAAGAAGGTCTACCTGAGCATATTAAGGTCTCTCTCATTAAGCGGGAAGGAGAAAGCAAAAAGACTGTTCAGTATGTGTTAGACTGGGTACGAAGGAGACTGTATGATAATCTAACATGGAAAATGCCGTCTCTTGCCTGAGACTAAATTTCTAGGGAGAAGTAGATTGGTTAAACTTTTAAGTTAATCTAAACCTTAATTTAGTCTATATGGCCACTAGTTTCATATTCTTTCGTTCATATTCAAATCAGCCTTACTATCCTCGTTCTTGAGCTCGCAATTTATATTATACCTTTTCTGAAGCGATTTTTGTGAGGCTAAGTCTAATTTAAACAAACGAATACCAATCCATCGCAAATTTTTGTGTTGGCTGTATAAGTTAACAGATTACCTTTGACTGTAAATAATCCTGCCATCAGGAAAAATTGTGAGAAGGAACTCCTGTTCAGGAGCCACTTTGGATTTTTCGTTGTTGACGTACGTGTCTGGGATCCAGATTTGTTTCATTATGTCTCCATTAAGCGTCAAATTTCTCTTGGAGTAAAACTGATCATATCGAAGACGTGAATCATGCCACAACTGCCTCATGAAGAATGTGCTCTCAAATTGCTTTAATGAGACATGTGAGGAACAAATTTAGTACAAATCAAAACGAGAAAGCAGTAATGATACAAGAAAACCTGAAAAAACCCAATGTATTGTTCACTCAATAAGAAGGACTAATCAAGCTTATCTCTACTTGCTTTCCAAAGTCAAACTTATCCCTGAAATAATCCTAATCTTATCCTAATCTTTTGACCTAATTCTAAAAACTTAAAGATTAGTTGACAGTTTTTTTACTATTGTGTCTGTTGACAAAACTGCAAATAATAGTAATAATAATAATAATAATAATAATACTAACGTAAAGAGCGTTTTCACATGGAAAAGAATGTAAATCCTGTGAAAAGACTCCTAAAGTGTGACCATTCTATCGAAGAGTCGTTGCTGGTTAACAGCGCAGCGTGTGAAAACCCATGTGTTCTTCGCACATATGACCGGTAAAACGTCGGCTCGATTAATGGAAGCGCGCGGCCTTTGAAAGAGAATTGTAGAGCTAGTTTAAAATGTTATTTTGTCTCTCCTGCGCGCATGCGCTCGCGTTAACTGCGCTGCGCGCTTAGCGACAGCTTTGAAGTCAAAGCGCATCCTGGATGGTGTCACTGCACTTTTTGGACGCTTAGTAAAGTGAATCGTTTCTTACCATTTCCCTTTCATCAAGTCCACCTAGCGAATTTACGAACAAAGTCACTAAAACTTTCACAGCTTTTCCTGTGAAACAAAAACGAGTGCTTATTAAGGCCCGGTTCAGACGCCAAACTTTTCATGTACTTAATTCAGTCAAGAGCCATTAATTCAATGTATTATGGCCCCATGTAAGTGAATCCTAGACAGTCTTGGATTCTAGATTCCACGCAATGGATTCCGGATTTCAGTCTTACTGAGTGGAAGTGGATTCTGGATTACAATCGTTAGTGGGATTCCGGATTCCCAGCGATGGATTCCAGATTCCAAACCTCATAATTCCGGATTCCGCAAGCAAAATTTTCTGGGGATTCCGGATTTTACGGGCAAAAATTTTCCGCATTCCGGAATCCGAATTCCCTTTCATGGGGCGAGTATTAAGTTCGGCTCATGAAAAGTTTCGCGTCTCAGCCGGGCCAAAATCATTCGAAAACAACAAGTTATTTAAATCTAAAACAACCATACCCTATTCACGTGGGCCGCATGCAGAGGGTGGAGTCGGTGTCCATGTGAAAATATAAGTTAAGCACGGTGGCTGAAGGCGACTTCTCGTAGGCATTCAGTCAAAATTTATTAATTTAAAATCAAATGTGTTATTCATACTTACCTTCTGTGGCCTTTTAAACAATTTCTCGGGGCGTGTGAGATATTTTGTTGCCAGTATCTCAGAAAAAGAAAACCCTTTTAAGTCTTGCACTGAGAGATGGGTTAGGAGGTGCTCTTTTGACCACGTACAGGTGAAATAGTTGAAGCAGTAAACAATATAGTTTTATATTAATGTTTATAATATGTTCCAAGACCCCGATCGCACTAGTATACCAAGTATGCATTGAGTACACCATTTGCGCAAATGAAAGGCCTTTTTTTCCGTACCAAGTTAGCAAGATAGTAGTCGTCACGCGTCACATAACGCTCCTCCCCACAAGAAGCGTTGCGTGACGACACAAAGAACGCTGTGAAGCGACTAGCAAGATGGAAGAGTGATATGCTTATTCAGGCGGTCAGAGTTGAGGCGATGTTACACGGGACGATTCGCAACGACGAGTTTTTGCGCAACACAGAGTAGTAATGTTGGAACAATGTTGCAACCATTCGAAACAATGTCGCAATAATGTTGAAATGATGTGTTGCGTTAAAAATCGTCGTTGCAAATCGCCCTGTGGAACATCACCTTTAAGCACTGAAAGATGTCCATACCCTCATAACTAGGCCTAAACCGTTTGTCATAATTGTTAGGATCGAGGAGCATGCGCAGAACTTGCGATGCATTCTTCCCGCTCCAGTCTCCCTCGGATGAGCTTTGGAGAACAACAACAATCACGATAAAAATACAAGATTAGTTAAGGACCTGGCATTGCATTGTCCGTTAAGGTGGCTTGGGAAACGTATCCTCATTATGATAAGATTTTACTCTGCACTTCTTCAAACGTTATTGATCAATGGAGGCTGAAAGATATGCCAAATACTCAAAAGAGTTTTCCATCCGACAATAAAAAGCAACATTTCAAAGTTCTAGCTCGATGAAGAATATGTTTGACGGGGACACATTTAGTGAACTTGCCACCACAATCATCATATTCACTAAGATACTTAAAAGTAGCTTAAAAACTTCTTCTTGTAAGCCACAAGCACTTTTGATGTTTAATATTATGAAATACGTCTTCACACAGTTTCATAAAATATTGTTTGACGGTATTCTATTCTTTTATACATGTTCACAAGAGATCGTTAATTCATTCCCGCATTTCCACTGCAGACCGCCACGAGTAAAATTTGCAGCGCTTATCGAGAAACTGCCTCTCCATTACATTCAGCTGTGGGATACCACGCAAACTTGATGGCGTGCAGAGAAAAAACGTAGAAATAAAAAACTTGAATTGAATTTAGTTTCTTGACTGACATTCACTGAATTACGCTCTTAAAAACAGGTTGAAGGACATCATGACATGGAAAATAAAATAGAATAATTCACTCTCAAAGCAATTGAAAGATTTTCTTCAAGTTTATCAAAATCTTACAAAGCAAATCACTTTACCCTTTAAGAAAATATGGAAAACTGTCATCGACACATTCGCTAGATTTGCCGGTATCACTAACAGAGATAAACGACTCCTCTAAAAGTTTAATACTAAATTAATGTTAAGACACTTAAACGCTATTAAATTTTTAAAATAACTGATCCACATTTAGCGATTTATACTGAATCATTTTGGCAGATAGTCAGTTAAATATACACTTGTAGCGTGAGTAATAGCAAATCTTCCATAAAGCCATAAAGCTTAGTTGTTTAGTTGCGCTTACGTGTAGAAAATCCTTTACCTTAATCCAGGCTCCTGTGAAGAATAAACAAGTACGGCCGGTAGGGCAAAGGAGAATAAAACACAAATCCGCGGCAACATTTGCGTTCTCTACGGTAATAATAAAACACGCAAGCCCGTCTTATCCATAACAAAGGGAATCCTGGAAATAAAAAGACGAAAACAACTTATTAAATTGTATATTTCTCGTCTTGATAACCTCTACAAATTTGTTAAATGGAAAAGGTTAGATTTACCTGATTTGAACTCTTATAAAACGACCGTAAATTAGCCAGGAATCTCCCCCCAACTCGTGATTGAAAACGGACGTTTTTGTTGAATTTTTAAGCAATTTGTTTGCGAATATCGTAACATTCAAACACACCTGCCTCCATACTTGAAACACGATTTATATTCTGAGGTAGCCTATGGTCGAGAACATGTTTATCAGCAATGTGACAAACATTCCTGCCTGTTTATATTCTCACAGACTATAATTACGTTTTCAAAAACCTATTATTTGTATGTTTTAATATAAGTGAAAATTACACGGATTCAGACCATGGGATATCGTACGTTTTTGTAAAATGTTTCCCTCGCCCATCGTTACTACGAGAACCTCTTTTTATGTACATGTAAACAATAAACTTCCATCGCAGGTAGCCAAAGAAAATTAATCGACTCACCAAGTAAAGCCAAAACGGCGTTTTGCATTGCAAATTTGAAAGTTTTCTATTTATCTTTTATTTTTTGTTAACATAAGTAAATGCATTGTTGAATATGACAGCTTTTGATAAGGCGTCATTTCACCCTACCGTAAAAACTTAACCGTTGAAGTCTATGCCAATATTTGCAGTTCCTATGTTCACTTGTCATTTTTTAATCATGTTAGCCATAAGCTTTTAAAACTTGACCTTTCATGTCGTATTAGAAGTAATAAAAAATATAACTTTTCCTAAGAAGCCAGGAAAAGATTGATGACGTTGTTTATCTTCTTTGGGGTTATAAGCTCAATCTACGGAGTAAAGTGAGTCTTTTATATTATCTAGGGTGATAGAAACATGGTTAAATAGTGAAAAACGCCTTTTTAGAAAAACCTATTGCCTTCGTAGTTTATCCTTTGAAAGATAAGTTTGTAAGAGATTTTTCCTACAGCTGCACCGTGAAAGACACAGAAAATGTGACCCATGCTGGTTAAAAATTGACATTTAAACTGCAAAGGGCTGCAAACGAATATGCCGCAGAACGTAGGATCTATAGAAGCCCTGATCAGCAAAAACATACAAAGTAGACACATTGAATTCTGCAAAGGTCATCGTACTACAGGAAAATTAACTTTGCAAGACATCAACACGACACCGCCGAAAGAACCCAAAACATTGCGGGGTTGGCGCCGTAGACAGCTGTTTCGCCATTCTGCCTGAAGGCAGTGAGGAAGGTCGAATCTTTCAAAAGTTAAGAATATTTTAACTGCCAATTTTAAGGCATATGGGGCTAATTCGTAGCTATTCTTATAAGTATCATGATCAATGTTTAGGGAATAACCGGGCTATAAAATGAAGAAAAAGTTCAGGCCGGCTAAGAGTTTTTCAAATATCGATCTCGACTTGGTATTTCATTGAGTTATTGATATCCTTTATATATAATTTCAGCATTAACGAGAAGCCTAGGCTATTAAGGTTTTACACAGATAACATTCATGGCACTCTTGAACAGTCAAGAATGAAATTGTTTTCTCGAGCCCCGATCCGTTGTTCTTACCATCCAAGGCAGTGGCTGTTTTTCTTTAAACACCATACAATAGTTTCATCTCGTTCGGCAGTCAACCGCACTGAATCAGGACGAATGACGGTTAACTTGCATTTACTGAAAAACAGCAGAGATATTAAAACGTTTTAGCTCAACATTAGTATGAATAGAAGTGCCAAGCTCAAATTGACTGTCAATGTTTTACAAACCAAATGGGCTCAGTTTTCCATCAAATATCAACGCCTGAATTAGGACTTGATGATTGCCAGGGTTCTTCAAGCAACCCTGATCCTAGAATCCAGGTATTTCAAGAAGTAAATTCGAATAAAAAGACTCTAAAAACGTATCTTAGTTGTAAGTACTTCAGATACAAATAAACTAAGTGTTTAGGCGCGGTTCGTGGACAATATAAGTATGTTTAAGAATGTATTACCATCCAAAACTGTCAATGAAAAACCCTAATTGAAATCCATAAAGAAACACTGAAGAAACTTGTGGCTAACCACGAATCATTTTAAAAAGCGAAGTCGATAAAACACTTTTATATTTGTGCTAATGGATATTAACTTTTTCCCCTAAATTGCAGCTTTATTGTCCCTGAAAAGCGTTTAGTTTACCACTCACTAAACATTCCTTTCAGCTCCTTTCGCATTCTTTATCCCTTGATATAACCTGAGTTATTTTTAAAATGTAATTTTTGGGGTACCTAATATTCACGATGCTCCGATCTTAAACGGTCGCAAAATTAAATAACCGCGAAAGGAAAAAGGCTTCTAAAACAACACGAGTTTTCATTGACCCTACTCAGAAGTGGCTCGAGTTTCACAGTCGCAATTAGTGCGGCATATCGTAAACTCCCACTTATAATTAGTCCCCGGGCTTAAACATCTTAGCAATGGGTTTTAGGAGGGTTTACGAACGGAGAGGGGGTTGTAACCGGAACAGTGAAAGCGCTTTAAAACAGTTCAGTGCGGATCAAAATACATTCTTTATTGGTGGTTTTTTCTTAAGGGTCAAAACGTCATAATAAATCGGTTTTTTTAATGAATATGGAGAGGGCTTTTATCCGGGGGGCTCATATCTAGGGGGTTATATCCTAGGGGTATAACAGGGGGGCTTATATCCTGGCGGGACATATATCCGGGGGCCTTATATCCTGTGTGGTTTATAATCGAATGTATGTTTTTGTTTAAAAATAGATGGGTTCATAACCGGTGGGGCGCATATAGCTGAGGGGGCTGGCTGAAGCGGCAGTTTACGGTAAACTATCGTATACATAGCCTGCAAAGTAGGCGTATTTTGCAGCGCGATCCATGTTTTTTTTTTTAGGGAATAACGCTATCCCGCCGTCTTGGTCGTTAAAACTGCTGGAGAGTTGGGGCGAGTCAAAAACTGATTTAAAGGGAGAGGTGATCAATGTACCTCTGAGTCAACCCTGGGAAAGAGGTTGTCTACACTGAGACTAGAAAGAATAAATCAGTGTAATTTTGTTTCTCTTGATCTAAGTATACTAAATCAAATTATAAATGATATTTTAATTTTAGTTTCTCTGCAGTGGTCCTCTGCCCCATTGAAAGTCATAAAAATTAAATTTGTTTTAAATCTTCTTCTGCAAGCCAATAGCTCTTCGGGGCAACGTTCTTAAGTTTTCGTTTTCAGGTCTTCAAAACACCTTAACGGCTACGTATGAACAATTTACGAAGTAATAAGACTAGTATTGACTTTTGTGTGGTATCAGCTTCTTTAATAGCTAAGGCAATTGTAAGCTATGTAAATTCAGTTTTCATCTACTGTCAACTTGAGCCAGAACATAGTTTTATTTGTTTAAACTGTCTCGTATCCCGGAAATCTAAAGCAGTTCAATAACTCAGGTTTCATCTTCTGTCCAATTGAGCCACAACATAGTTTTATTTGTTCAAACTGCCTCGTATCACGGAAATCTGTAGCACTTGAATAACTAGTAAAGTAGCACTTAATACAACACGTCCTTTCATACTTTTTATTCATATCAGTTATCTGGCACTATCAAAGCCATGCACGCCAATTATACAGTTACCTGAATATATGAATATTTTAGACGTCCGGACAGACAGGATATACTGAACAAACTAGCTGCAAATGTATCGAAAAGCAAACGACAGTCTCAAAAAGCAAAATAACACTATACTCAGTACAACTGGTAGTAGTACCTGTAGTCTATTACTATTACCATTACTATTACTATTACTATTGCTGTTTCTATTACTACTACTATCACTATTACATTATTATTATTATTTTTTGTTACTATGAGCCATAAACACAATGGCAACTGAATGGCAAAACTGAGCAGAATTTCCCTTGCTAATATGTATCTATAACTGATCTATGCTCGATTTTTCCATGAGTTCTCGACGCTTTTTTTATCTTCGTTTCTGTTGAGTTATTTCATTTGCTGTACTCATATTTCGAAACTCGTTTTGTCAGCATTTTTAAGAAAACTTGAAAAGCAACGGGCGAATCATTGCGAATTCTGATATGATTTAAAAATCATATAGCTATCTGAAATAGAAGGCCACGATGTCATTACTAAATTATAGGATGAAATTATGAATTATTGTGCTGATAGAAGGTACTTAGTTCTCTGGTGAAGTCGTATCGACCTGCGGCTAAGAGTTGTCAGGCAGAGATTTATGAACTTTTGAAACAATGAATTTATCAATTCTAATTTAAAACTTGTAATTATTTCTGTATTATTTATTACTCAATATTTTGTAGTAGTCTATGTCACTTAGGTCTGTGAAGGATATGAGGTGATTTTCTTGTATTACCAAAAACAAATATCGTTTAACTTTTTCTACAACCTAAATCTAGCATCATAAAAATAAATAAATAAAAAAGTAATAAATCGAGAAACTGAACTGAATATATTGTATCACAATCCCTTACCTTTTATTATCTCAGTCTGTACTGAACAGATTTATGAGTTTATCCCAGATTTAAACAGGAAGATCTTTTGTAACGACACCAGATAAATGTAAACCTGAAGGAAGTTGTCGCCAAGACCCAAAGCAGGCAACTGGTTTTAACCATGCAAGTCGGCTAGGGTGACAAGCTTAGCGTGGGCAGCGTTCTGCTATGAATGACAACTGTGGTGACTGTTTGGAAATGATCCTGCTGGTCGGGGATCCTTATCACCTAGCAACGCCGAAACCTTGAAAGAATCAGAGTATTACTGCAATAAAAAAAAACAGCTTACGTTACGTAAAATGTGTGTTACATCTCTCCCGGGTGCATGGTTCATGGGCCGATTTATGGCCGTTTTATGGTTTGTACTGTAGACGGTTTTCTCTCTCTATCCTCTATATAAGGCTTAAAACTGTTTACAGTACAACCCATGAAATTGCCGTAAATCGGCCCATGGACCACACAGGAGAGAAGTAACATACATTTTATGTAAGGTAAACTGTTTTTTTTTATTGAAATCCTTTCATTTTCGTAGGCTACTGAAACGACAGGTTTTTTCCCATACAAATCCTTATACTTCGAATGTTACGCAACAACGCCGATGCTCGCGGATGCTCATATTTCGAGCTTGGGCTACCTGTGCCTAAACTTGCCGATTAACGTGCACTATCGACGATGAACTTAACATCGATGGAGGTAAGCATGTTTTAGCTTGTTTTAAAACTACGAATTTTTTTGAATGAATAATAAAACTATTCTTGAATTCGGCTTTCGTATCATCTGAAGAATTATGGAAATCCCGGACGGACTCGATGAAGAGATTATCACCAACCAACAATCAGGTTTTCGCTGTTGCACTCGACCTCTGCTCTCAGTCTTAGAAGCGACTGACAGCTGGGTTTTCGATCTAGATCGCGGTAATGTGAATGCAGTGGTTTTCCTGGACTTTAGAAAAGCATTTGATATCGTTGATCACGATGTTCTTTTAGCTAAAGTTAGTCTGTACGGAATAGAGGAGTCTGCTTACGATTGGTTTAAGTCGTATCTAGAAAACGGTATCCACAAATGTGTCGTCAATGGTTCGCTTTCCAAAGTCTGTTCTCTGAGCTGTGGGGTCCCTCAGGGAACTATCTTAGGCCCTCTTTTATTCTTGATCTATATCAATGATTTGCCAAACTGTTTATCGTTCTGCCAACCTGGGATGTGTGCAGACGACACCCACATAACATATGCTGGCGCAGACTTACACTCAATGCAGTCTAGTCTGAATCGTGATTCAGTAAGTAACATCACAGGCAGACCACCCTCTGTTAGTGGGGGCCGTTGTTGATAGAAATCTGAGCAACGATCTTTTGTTATTTATAGAAGAAATACATATGAATAATACGGTCCCTATAATTTGTTCCAAAATGCAGAATTTAAAGCAAATTTTTCAATAAAGGTTTAAAGAAAATGTTAACTGAGTCATGTGTCATGTTTTTTTCGCCGTCCCGTGCTGCTTTAAGCGCCCGGGGTACTCCCATACATTACCTATATGGGTATGTGCCGCCCAACGGGGTCGTGATTTTGAAGCTCCTGATTTAGAATGGGGTATCCATTTCAGAGGCGTTTTCTAGAACGGGGTATAATATTTCGAATGCACGAAAGCTCCAGTTTTGTAAGCAGCCATTTGAAATTATTCAAGGTCAGATTGTGTTTAAAAATATGGTTCAATGCGTTAACAAGCAAACTGTTGTACTCTTTGCACGACCTTTGTCTGACCTTTGCAAAAAATACCCAAGTGCCCCCCGGGTTTAAGCGCTATTTTGCGAGATGAATATTTGACCTCGGGGGTTAGAACTAAAGAAGGAGGAGTCTCGTATTTATTGTTATTAAATACTGTTATGTAGTTTTATTTTATATTGTATCAACAAATCTGATAAACTGATTTTTAGCGTGTTAAAATACATATATTTGAGATTTGAGATAACACCCTCCTCGATCTCCATAATTCTTCAAATGACGAAAGCCGAATTCAATATAATTGTTAAAAATGTAGTAACACGTGGTAATACATTGAAATACATGGCTATACATGTCAATAAATATTACTACATAGCAATACATATGCGAGTATATGAAAATCCAGAAAAGGAATGCGTTCATTCTCTTTTTAATTATTATATACTTTAATACCCCTACTTAAAGTACCTATCAAATCATAAGCCGGCAATTTTCCAGCGGTAAAATTTAAAACTTAAAATGGAGGGAATCAAGAGAGGCTGAAGCAGATTATCTCGCTGTTTTCACCGCAGTTTTGAACGTCAAAAAAGAGGTAAAAATAGTCTTTCAGAGAGAAAGGAAAAGAGAAATATCTGATTAATCATGTTAAGTGCTTTCTATTACATTTCAGGCAAACAAAAATGAGCTTAAAGCTGCGTACAGATGCATGTGAATGTTGTATCACCCTAACAAACATCAAGATCCCGCGAAAAAGAAAGTACGGTAAGTTTAAAAAAGCTTAGGCCCTGTTCGCACTAAGCAAAGTTTTGTTTGTTTTGCCAAAAAAATCTGTCAACAGGGAGCCATTTCTAGTGCGAACGACTTTTTTCACCTTCCAAAATTTTCTCAACTGTCACCATGCAAAGTTCAAAGATGCCGTCGGCGAGAAGATTTGGAGGCCTACAATTTCTTCAGGGGCACGCAACGTCAATTTTCGGAAAATATCTGTTCGGAAGACGATTTGAGATCTCGAATTTTCGAAACATTTGTTGTAAAATTTCTTGCTTGTCTGCCTCTCCTAGGATTTTCGAACATCTAAAAAATGGTATAATTGCCCATCTCAGATTTTTACCCTGAAAAGGTCACCCAGAATTTTCGGGAGCGTTTTTTCTGGCTGAAATTTTCGAAAAGGTAAGCTAGGAAATCCGAACAGACAAAAAATCTTTAGGGGATAAAATATGTCTATATCTACTGTTTAAACACTAAAATACGTTTAACAATGGCATGTTTAAGTGGTTTTGAACTATATTCTCGCTGGGTGCCCCTGTTTCTTGTCAGGCGACAAACTCTCTGTTCCTTAACAGTATCCTTCACCATGTTGTCAACAAGTTCCTTTGACCCAAACTTTAACGACACACGCAGCCGTTTCCTTAAAGCGTTGTTAACATGACCTGCTCCTCCAAGGAATTTTGCCAAAAAACGTGTTTTCAAGCCAGTCGAGTCATTTGCTGTTTTTGGGAAAGCTTTTAGGATTGCCGCTCAGGGGTGAATGGGTTAATACCACCCGAGTTCCATGGCTTCTGGCTGGTCGCATGAAGGATTCTTTCACATTAAGTTTACATTAAAAATCATGCCATTACCGCAGCTTGATCCTCATAGTAGCTAGTAATTACTGCCTTTTCATAAAAATGATAGTATAAACAACAGTTTGTTTGCACTTGTTTTGACAGATTGATGTAGAGTTATTCAGTGAAATTCAAAAGGCTTATGAAGGTATGGTACACATGTATTAGCACCGGTCATCGATTAAGTACTGCACCAATGCAATCAAATGTTTCTGTTAGTTATACCGGTAACTTAAAAGAAACAGTTCTTTCCAATTATTAAATAAATGTCATCTTCTAATGAGCACCACACTGAATAAACACCACATTTAAATAGACATTTACCAGACCAGATGGTAAATGCAGTTAATGGAACATGAAGCCCAAGGAGGGATAGGCTAAGGTAGCCTGCCCCGATGCATGCTAGTTTGTATCTTTAAAGCTTTACTTATAAATGAAGTGCGCTATTCTTTAAGTTGTAAACAAAAGCTGTTCATGGCTGGAACCTTACTAATATGTCGAATGTTTGTCATTGTATGTTTCTTCGCATTGCGCAGATTGGTCCCTGTTTTCAAGGCCGTGTTCAAGGCTAGACTTTTATCATGATAAGACTGTTGAATGGACTCTAAAGACTCTAGTTATATGAAGAGTCGTCCCTTTGTTTGCTAATAAGCTTGTTATTGTTCATGATGAGCAGTCTTGTTAATTAGGTTAAGTCCATTCAATGAAAAGCACATGGTTTTGTTCTTTGCTTAGTTTTCTCTTCGACTGCCATTGTTCTATTCATTCATTTTTCAATGTAATTCTCTATGGTTCTAAGCAGTGCAAATGATTCAAGTTATCTCTGCCTACTTTCTTTGATTACGACTTGTGTCTTCGTGAAAAAGACTAGGTAGCTTATATTACAACTGTATCTATTTGTCGAGAATTGAGACACTGTCTGGCTATAAAGGTTCTGCTGTTTTACACCTAGTCATTATTCGGCTAGCTAGCACCAAAGCAAACAGTTACAGTAATTTTGTTACCCATAGTTTCACTGATTATACAACAAGAAGAGCTAATGAAATGGCATCCAAGTGGAGTTACAGGAACCAGAATTCAAGTGATCAGGTTAAATTTGAAATTGTGATCAAAGGAAAGGAAATTTAGTTCTAGTTGGTGAGGAATTACAGCTCTCTGAGTTTGAGTTAACCAAGTAAAAATGACTGAAAAGTGGAGTGAAATCCAAGGGAAATAGGACTTAGTTTGAGTTAGCGGGGAGTTCGAGTTGTCCAAGTTTGTGTTATCGGCGTTCCACTGTACATGTTTATTGCATCTGTGCCCTGCAAACAGTGGTTTCTCCAGGCTGGTTGCTATGATACGAAGGGAGAGAAACCACTCGAGGAACCGTTTGCGTTTCCATTGAGCATGGGCGTCCACGTGATGCCTACATCAAATGGCATCACTTCCTCTTTTTTCGCAGGAAAAATTAGGGACTTAAATATCCAACAACAAGATGGCAACGAGAACATCAATGAAACAATAGGTTTGATAAGCAAAACAACAACTTTGTACGTGTATCACGCTTTTTTGTGCATTTTTTGGCCAATTTTGTATGAAAATGTCTAATTGCGCATTTTATGGATGGCGTAAACAAGCAACAGTGAAATTTCATTTCACTTCGGACAGTCCTGAACTTGGATATGATGCCTTGGAATTTAACTTCAGTTGTCTTTGCGTACATTTGACAAAGTAAGTAGGAATGAATAATCCCACTAAAATACTGAATTGACAGAGCGCAAATTCACAGCAGGCTCTTATTAAGGCAACAGTTTTAAGCATGAGCAAATGCGCAAGAGTTAACTTGTTTTTAAACAGGTTTTACTTGTTTAAAGTTAACTTATTCATACATGGGGCTGGACGGCGGCTCTATCAAAGAAGCAGACAGTTGCTCACAGTGGTTTCTCTCCCTTCGTAGTGTAGCATACAGCCTGGAGAAACCACTACTCACAGGGTATTGCATGTGTCAAGAAACATAATTTGCAGAAGTTTTGAAAGCAAAGGTTAGGAGGTATTATTGGTTAATATGGTATTTAAAATTTAGCTTCCCTTATTACTCTTGCTGCTATGCCAAAGCCAACTTTCTTGTTGATACATTTGAAATACATGTAGTAAAATTAATTTTTGAACATTTTCGTTCTTGATTTGATTTCAGGCAACATTTGAAGCTGGAAATGGCCCCACTCTAATTCCGTGAGCATTCTCAAACCTTACAGGGACAAGGTAGTCTATTTTATCTTTACTGTAAACAATTTGTGGGTCTATTTACATAGAGGGAGGAACATTCTAGTACCAGGAAGATCTTGAAAGTGATCATCCTATCGCCTCTTGTTTTCTGTATTCGGTTTACATGCAAAGGGTTGTACTTTTTCCTAGTGCTAGGATCTTCTTTGTACTAGGATCTTCTTAGCTGAGAGATAGACAGATGCTGGCTTCATGTGAACTTTCTTTGTTAGGAAGATCCTAGTACTAGGGACAAACCAGACAAAAGTGGCAAGGTGCTGTTCAGTGGCTAATCATAGCAATAAAGGCTGATCATTTTGTTTGGCGTTACCACAAGCTGATTATTGTGATAATTCTGCTGAAATGTAGTTATTAACACCAGACGAGTAAAGAGAGCTGAAGGACCCGAATTGCATTTTTGGTTTTGTGGCTCCTCCTCAAACCTTTTCTACTTGGGCACCACATGGACTGAAATTTCTGCAGGTAAACCCAACATAAAGTTGTTCCGCCTTCTGGGGTCTTCCTACTTCCATGAAAATGGTTATTCCTGTCTTAGGTCAATTCTGTGCAGAAGTCATTACCTAGCTCCTTTTAATACCCGTACACAAAAATTAATGCTCTTGTAGAGTTGGGAAATGAAACAAATTTTATCTGGGGCACTAACCATTATTTTCTTTTTTTAGTGGGGGGGGGTTGATTTTTGTAGACATAGTATTAAACCTGAAAAAGTTGGGCTAACTTTTTCCACATTTTAATCTTTATGCACCCATCCCATTGACACAGTTTCAGTGCCTAAATATAGTGTTAAATAACTGAACTGTACCATTATTTTTGGAATTCAATGATGCAAAGACACTTTTTAGCTTTATAAAAAGATAGTAAAAGGAGGTTAAATGGTGCCTTTAATCGCTTAATTTATAATTGCCACTGTGCAATTTATTGTGTGACAAATCCTTTCTTAGCCCTGCATAGTTGCTGCGTTGGAGGAATTGCGATCGGAAGTCATGGAAATGGGATGTCTGTGGGATTGAATGGCAGTAAGTGTACATATATTTAAATAATATTATGATAACATTTGCTGTGTAAAATCTTGAAATCAAGCTACAAGTAGTTTGTGACTCATTTTCCTCACAGGGGGTAGAGTGAAAAAATATGGAAATCGATAGGTGTTTTTTACCTTCAGTAAAATTTTAAAAACGTCATGAAAGTTAAAAAAATGAAAGATGATAAAATTGTCAACAATAAAAATAATTTTTGTAGTTTGTTATTATTATATGTGACTGCATGCGAGAAGTGTGCCCCTGTAAAAACAGTTGTGACTGTGGTGCCTGCTGCAATTTCATTTTTAGTTTTAGATACTAACAATATTTTCTCTTGTTACTTCAATCAGTGCTTCCTCGGCAACTTGACGGACACACCGTGGGATACTTAACTTACAAGGATGGCACTCACTCTTCCATCAATGCAACAGTGGTGAGGGAAACAGAACAAAGTTAAATGCAGTTTACCATTCAGGTAATGATTTAGTACTTAATAGGGAGCTTAGCAATGACGACGGCAATGGCAAAGAGGACGTCAAAAAAGCATTAGGTGTATTACGCAAAACAACAACTTTGCGCGTGCATCATGCTTTTTTGTACATTTATTTACCCCCCTTGCACGACTATGACTTGAAAATGCCTAATTGCAAGTTTTATGGAGGACGTAAACAAGCGACGACAAATCTTGAATGCAGTCCTGAAGAAATCAACTCCAGGGAAATTCGCCTACACTTACCATTTTTAGCAAATTAGAATAAACGCAACTGAGATTGAATAAACGGGAATTCGTTTTAAAACTGACGTTTTCGCTGCAGTTGCCATCGTCGATGCTAAAGCTCCCTAATAAAAATAGCAAAATAATTTTAAACATTTGAAATTGGAATGTCATACTTCCAAACATTTAAATTCCAAACGTCATTCTCTCTTCCAAACATTTGTTTTCTTTATTTCATCACTTCAAACTTTAGAATTGAGAATGACATCTTTTCAAACAGTTGCATTTCAAATTTGTCATCCTTCCAAGCATTTGAATTCCAAAAATTATCCTTCCAAATATTTGAATATCGATTGTTGTTCTTCCAAACATTTGAAATCTAAATTGTATCGCTTCAACCATTTGAATTCTGAATGTCTTTCTTCCAATAAATTCTGCATGAAATCTTTCCAAACGTAAATGTTAGAATTCTGCATGTAATCCTTCAGACCTTATCCTTCCAATTATTGGAATTCTGACCTTATGCTTTCAAATACTGGAATTGTCACATTATTCTTCCAAACATTGAAATTCTGATCTTATCCTTCCAAACATTGGAATTCTGGCCTCATGCTTCCAAACAATGATTACAATGTTGATCTTCACTTGGACAAACTTTGGGATTGTGACCTTATCCTTCCAATTAATTCTGACCTTATCCCTCCAAACACTGGAATTGTGACCTTATCTTTTCAAATATTGGAATTCTGACCTTTTCCTTCCAAAATTGTGACCTGATCCTTTCAAGCATTGGAATGCTACCTTGTCCTTCCGAACACTGGAATATTCTAAACATCGCACAGCTGAGGACCCAACTGCTTTCATTTACTTGTAGGTGGCCGAAAATATATGATTAAAGAAAGACCAATCATTGAGCTTTTACAGAAAACATGCACGTGTTTTGCCAAACTAATCCTATGCTATATATCAACGTCTTTTATCAAGTATGATAGATCCTGCTGCATGACTGAAATCAGGATAAGCCAGCACTGGCACGCTTACCAGGTGATCTTTCAGCTTCTCATATGCAGCTTGTTGTTTATGTTGCCAACAGAATGAAACATTCTTCATACACGGTATGTAGAATGGCTAGGCAATAATGGAAAATTATTGTAACTATTTATTTAGAGAGACTCAGACCAATAAAGTTTATAAAACAAAACAAAGCAAAACAAAACAAAATCCAGTGATGAACTATCTGTTATAGCCAGCACGACCAGGGAAGCTTTGATGCTCTTTTACATTTACTGGTACTGGCTATGTTTTGTACGGCTGATCAGTCTTAACTCTGTCATATTACACAACATTTCGAGAAAAGTAACTTCTCTTCTGAGTGTGTTCTTCAACGGTGCAGATGATGATATCATCCGAATACAACAGACTGTGTGTCCAGGAACGGGGCCAGTATTATTAATCAAGTGAAGCTAGCAGGTCCCATTAGTCTCAGAAAGGACTTACTCTCCACTGGAATTGTCCCTGATGAGTTAATAAGGCAGCGTTAGGCCTATCCTATTCCTGCCCATTTGGGGGTGGTTTCAGCTTTTCATTCCAGCTCATGACACCTTTCATTCACACCATGAATCTTTTCATTTACACCAATGGGTAGTGGGGATGCAATTCTATGCGCTGACCACCCAATCCTTGGCCAAGTGGTAATTGTCTTACATCTTGATTACCCGAACTGTTATGAGTCTCAGGATGCTTTCAGTTCAGGCCATGTAGAGCGCTCATCCCTGCCGCATCGCTCAGATGTGTTTCTTGTCGTCATGGGAAAAGCACCCTGCAAATCTTCTTGCTATGTACAAGAAACATAGAACTCAAAAGGAAGGATCAACATGGCGATGACTTACGCCTGGCCATCAATTATGCGATAAGGATCCCAGTCATTGAAAAGCTGTGTTAATCACCATCTTTTAGCGTCCTAATTTATGTAGCTGTGGATTGTTGTATCTTCAACTTCTGGGCTGCTGTGAACCATTTAATGGTCCTTTTGGATCACTGTATGGTGCATTTTTAATTCCTTTTATGGCTATTGTTCACTTTTGCTTGTTATTTACACACAGCCTGACAAGCTTTATGAGCACTTTCTAATCGACAAACAACACAAACAGCCTCTACCAGTGGGTCCAGTTGACTCATGAATGCTTTTCCCTGCAAATCATCGCTGATTCCCAGTCTCTGAATAAACTGTCTCTTGCTAGTTACACCGTAAACGAGTAAACCGCTTTTTTGTAGGCATTTTCTACCAATTCCACCCCACTATTTGCAGTCAATGTAAGTGACCGAGGTGTGTCCAGGTAAGGCCATTGAGTGCCAAATTTATTAATCAAGTGAAGTTAGTGGGTCCCATTTGTCAGTCGGAAAGGAATTATTCTCCACTTAAATTGTCCCTAATGAGTTGAGAAGGCAGTGTTAGGCCTGTCCTCTTATTTCACTTGTATTTGCCAGTAGCTAAAGGCCAAATCGAGGCCCACAAAACTCTTGAACCCTGGCCAAAGTCCCTAACACGTCTTCCATCTGAGGTAGTGGCATGAAATCCTCCTTTGTCAACTGGCTAAGTTTACAGTATTCAGTGCACATACAGTATGTACTGTCATGTTTCCTAGGAAGTACCACTGGACTGCTCCAAGGACTTTGAGACTGTTCGATCCTGCCTGTAGCTAACAACTCTGCCAGCTGTCGATTGATAAGTTCTCGCTGATAGGGTGGTACTCGACAAGGAGGCTGTTTCTCTGGCTGGCAGTCACCGGCGTCAAGTGCATCTCCTAAGAGACCCATCTTTCCTAAATCAGAGCTTTCTCTTGCAAAGATGTCTTCACAGTCCGTTGTCATAGACAAAAACTGCTCTCTTTGGTTTTCTAAAAGCTGTTCTCTGAACCAGATGAGTAAGAGACACTGGTTGAATCTGGGTCTGGTTTCAATGAAACATGGCTATCCTTACTACTGGCAGGATGGCATTCAGCAACAGGAAGATGTGCTTAGTAGTCTAATGGGCCTGTCTGAAACGTCAGGAACTTTAACAAGAGTAAGTCAATCTCTTGGGATTACTAAAGAACAGGCTAAGTTGATTAAGATTTGCTCTCACCAGTATTGTGCTCAAATCCATTCTCCAATTTGGCCTCTATTATTTGTTCAGTTCTGGGTTCCACTAGTTTATCATCACACAGGAACGTTTTCAATATCTTTCAATAAGTTCAATATCTCCAACTACAAGAGGTCGGGTGTGATAGTTCATCTGACAAATAAAGTGCTGAAAAACGTCTGAGCTAAGTAGGGGATAGGCTGTTGTGCAATCGCAACCGGTCAAAAACAATTAATACTTCCTAAACGAAATCTAACTTTGTCTCATCCAGAAGTGTTGACCACTTTCTAATCGATGAACAACACAAACAGTCTCCACCAGCGACTCCGGTTGACTCTTGAATACTTTGGCTCTGACCAGTTGGCTGTTCTTGTATGGCCTTGTGTTCGTCTTTTGTTACCTCCTCCCTGCTTGTCTCTCTGTTTTGAACATCTTCTGCAAGTCCACCTCCCTCCTTATTGGATCTGTATTTACTCCCTTATCACATACACCACCGTGTTCGAGTTCTCCGGCTGGAACCATATCAGCAAGGCAGCACCGATATTCACTCTCATCTGGTAAGTTAACAACCTCGCTGGGAAGCTCATCATAGGCCCCAACCTCGATAATTACCTTTGATGCTCTGATAATCACCTGTGGCCTCATGTTTGTCGTCTCTTGTCTCCTTCCTGCTCGTCTCACCATTTTGAAAATCTTCTGCCAGTTCACCTCCCTCTGAATCCGATATATGTATTCCCAGATCACATTCACCACCATGTTCAAGTCCTCCAACTGGAACCATATCAGTAACAAAGGACCGATACTTGCTATTGCATGGCACATTGGCAACCTTGTCAGGAAGCTCATCATTTGCCCCAATCTGGATAACCTCTTCTGATCAACTAAACACCGTACTAGGCTTCATTGACCGCACGTCACCACAGACTGGCGGTATCCACTCAGGATCCTTGGTCTTACCTTGAGGAGCATCCCCAGGACCTCTCCAGCTTGAAACACCATGGGTCTCAGGACCTTATCAGATACATCTTTCTGCCGATGCTGAGCTTCTTAACAGACTTTGTCTCACATCACTATATGCAGTTTCTACCATATCTTGAAGGTCGCTGACAAATTCAGAGTAGTTAGTCTCATTCACTTCAGTCCCATCATCACATCGAGAAATATTCGTATCTCTCTTCCCAACACAAAGTCAAAAGGTGTATGTCCCCTGGAAGAGTGGACACTACTTTGGCTCTCGCAGATTGGCTGTTTAACTTCTTCCTCGTGTTCATCTTCTGTTATCTCCTGCACACTTGTCTCACTGTTTTGAACGTCTTCTGCGAGTCCACCTCCCTCCGTATCCGATATATCTACTCTCTGATCACATTCACCATGGTGTACGAATTCTCCGACTTGAACCATATCAACAAAGCAGGACCGATACTCATGCTTGCCTGGCTTGTTCACAACCTCACTGGGAAGATCATCATTGGCCCCAACGTCGACATTTTTTTTTTGCTCTGCTTATGACCATACCAGACTCCATTGACTCCACCTTACTCAACCCTGGTTGTACCGATTGCTGGTCCTTACCCTCACCATGAGGAGCATTCACTGACTCCCCCAGCAGCTCGGTTCCCACGTGCTTTCTTCCTGCCTTCCCTGGTACGCCTGTAGGTTGTTCAAATGAACTACTTGAGATCGCCTGGAATGTGCCCTGACTTTACAGGATACGTGATGTCCATGACCTGCTCCTTTATTTCAAATGGTCTCTCCCACTGTGAATGGAATTAGTTTGCTTCACCTGGTTTCAGCGGTGGAGTGTAGTGTAGCACTAAATCTCCAGTTTGAAAGATCATTTGTCTAATGTCCTTATCATATGCATGTTTGCAAAGTTGAAGCGTCCATACCAACATGACCCTTAGATAAATATCGCTTAACTATTAAATGTCTCTAATGAGGAGACAAAGAGGTCTATGCAAGATAATGATAGTCCCGCTGCATTCGTTGACCAGATGGTAGCCAATGCAAATCCTTGGTAACATGACTACTGACTGGAGGATTTAACTGTACTGTACTGTAGTTGGTTGCTCTTCGGCCTCGTGTTTGTCTGCTGTTCTCTCCTGCCGGCTTGTCTCGCCATTTTGAACATCTGCTAGTCCACTTCCCTTCCTATCATTTCTGATATACCACTGCAACAAATCTGCCCTCATTCCTAGATATTGGCGCTTCCTTCCAGGAGTGTGGCCCCTTCAAGGAAGAATACCGCCAACGTATCCCTGCGTGTCGTAACAGGCAACTAAAAGGGGTTGATGCTGAAGGTTAACCTCCTCTTCATCGTTAAAAATCCTAGTTCCAACAACCTCTAAAGTGGCTCCAAGTATGTTTTGTGCTGACAATAGTTTGCAGCAACGTCCTGCAAACTTGATGAGGTTTGTGGAACCTCTGGCCCAACCGTCCAATGGTTCTACAGTCCAAGGAACCTCCGGGCTGTGAGCAATTCCCAGCCTGTCTGCATGCAATTCCATAGAATGCAATTCTCCATGTTTAATCTTCGGACCCTCTACCAAACCGGAAAGCTAGATTAACTGTTACGTGGGGCCCAGAACTTGCCCTTAGATATCATAGGGATCCAAGAACACCAATGGATTACAAAGGAAACACTTTCACAATACTGGAATGACGAGTGCGAGTTTATGTCCATCTATTCTTCTGCCTTCCAACCTCAGGTCGGTGGTGTTGTGTTACTGATTTGCAAAATATTCGCAAACTCGTACATGGCTGCTGAGAAAGTCTCGGAACAAATTCTGAAAGTTTACTTCAAGGGAAACCCACTCATAGTTATGTTTGTCATCTATGCTCCTTCCAATGTTGCCAACGATAGTGACAAAGCAGCTTTCTTCAGTGACCTCCACGAAAGTCTCCAAGGAGCAACCTCACTCCGTTGTCATCATGCATAACCCAGATCCCAGGACGACAAGCCAACTTCGCTCTTCGCTCTCTCTTCCTGACGATGACGTTCAAGTTCTTTACTCTGTTTTTTTACATTGTTTCAGCTGTTCAAAACGCTGCTGAAGAAGTTGTTCGTAAGCCTCCTAAACGCTCTATGGCGCTCTATTCACCATTGGGTATCTGCCAGGTTAGAGGACCTTGTCCACCAATGAAATGCGGCCAAGCATCGATACCCACAGAAATGCACCGCTCACTCAAGACAACGATGGTGGCGCTCTGTCAAGAGGTCTGCGAAGCCTATGAGGAGGACGACCGTAATTATCTTGCCAGAAAGATCACGGAACTTGGATTAGCAGACCGACAGAATGCTCCCAAAGCGGTGTGAAAAATTATTGGTGAGATTCAACCCAGCTTCCAAGGACCCTCTACCAAACCTCAACTCAAGGCAAGACCTAATGGGAGAATGGAGGAAGTACTTTGCGAAACTCCTCAACACACCTCCTGTTTCTTCAACTGTGGACATTCCCCCAATGGAAATAGATCTTTCAATCAAAACTGGTGACTACACTCGTTCAGAAGGTCAAGTGGCAATCCAAAGCCTCATGGACTCAAAAGCTCCCGGAATTGACTCTGTTATGTGAGCTGAAGCCATCAAGTATGGTGGTGAAAGACTGCTCGACAAGCTGGTACTCTCCTTAATGTTGTGAAAAACAACCTAGTCATTCCTAATGAGTGGAAAACTTTCATCTGTGCTCCTCTTGCAAAGAAAGGTGATCCAACTAATATGTCAAATTACCGCGGCATTACACTCATGTCAATAACATCTAAAGTTTACAATGGGCTTTTACTAAATCGCATTCGAGACCCACTTGAGAAAATCCCGCGTGTTAACCAGGCTGGATTTTGTTGCGATTGCGGCTGTGTCGAGCAAATTGACTTGTTACTCAGGATACTTGAAGGAGTCAGAGATCAGAACCTCCCATTCGATGGTACCTTCGTTGATTTTTCCAAGGCCTTTGACATCATTGCCAGACTGGTCATGTTTCCTATTCTCCGCTATTATGAGGTCCCAGACAATGTAAAGAAATCTCGGTCTCTCTACTCTGGTACCAAGTCAGCGGTTCTTGTTGACGGTGAAATGTCAGGCGAAAACAGGTGTCCTGCAAGGAGACACTCAAGCTCCCTTCCTATTTGTCACTGTTTTCGACTGGGTACTCCACAAATGTGACAATAAAAAACTAGGCTTCATCCTTTGAAAAAGCACAAAGTCAATTGGACTTGCTCTGCCTGATGGCCAAGGAAGTCGGTCTATACATTAACAATACAAAGACCAAACTTATTACTTGTAAAATTCCACACTTGAGTCTAGATAAAGATGTCGAGAATGTCGAAGATTTTAATATCTCGATATGTACATTGCATTGACCGGGAAAGAGATCAAGTGCCGGAAAGGAAAAGCATTGAGTGCGTTTTGGAAATTGGATCGTGCTTGGAAGTCTCTTTCTTCACTTTAACAAAAGGTTCAACTTTTCAAAGCGTGAGCTTTAAGTGTGCTTCTACATGGGGGTGAATCTTGGGTCCTAACATCCGACCTGTGTTGTCAACTTGATTCCTTCCAAACATCTTTCCTTAGAATCATACTTGGCGTTTCTCGTACCGATCATGTTAGCAACAAGAAGTCTGTGATAGAACTGGAACAGTCCCCCTTTCCCAATCAGTTAAAGCCTGACAGATCAGATTCCTGGGCGATTATCTTCAGCGCCCTCCGGAGGACCTTATTTCTAATTGCGCTGACACATGGTAAACCAAGACCTGGTGGACATAAAATTCTATTCAACGAATATGCTACAAAACTAATCAATCCCGAAAATCCCCCCTTCCTCACGAAATTCATACTTTGACACAGGACCGTAAAGCTTGGAAGCACATGGAGGTCGACTGTTGGCACCACTGGGAACCCCCATGACCGCCTCAGCCGAGCTGAGAGAGGTACTGCAGGACTGAAATTGGGCTAAGCCTGTCCTGGCGTTCTTACCAGGTGATCTTTCAACTTCTTAAGTGCAGTTCGTTGTCCCTGTTACCAACAAAACAGTACATTTTTTGTACACAGATTGAAAAGGCGCCCAGCAATAAAGGAAAATCCGATGATGAACTGTCTGTTATAGGCAGCAAGGCCAAGGAAGCTTCGAAGCTCTTCACATTCAGTAGTACTGGCCATGTTTTGTTGGCTTTGACTTACACAGGATCAGTCTTTATTCTGTCAGATGACACAACATTTTGAAGAAAATAAATTCTCTTCTAAGGAAGTGACACTTGGTAGGCTTCAGTTTCAAAACCAGCAGTCCTTGTATGATCAAACACTAACCGCAGGCAGTGGATGTGGTCTTCAAAGATGGCGCCCTGATGATGATATCATCGAAATATACTAGACAGTGTTTCCAGTTAAGGCCAATGAGCACCAAATAAAAAAAAATGATAAAACGAATGAAGTTAGCGGGTCTCTTTGTGGATCCAAAAGGCAGAACTCTCCTCTGGAATTGAACCTTATGAGCCCTTATGAGTTGAGAAGGTAGTCTTAGGACTATCCTCTTATTTCACTCGCATCTGTCAGTTCCCAGAGGCACACACTGAACCCCACCCAAAGGCTCTAACACATCATCTGTCTGATGTAGTGGTATGGTATTCTTCTTTGTCAACTGTTTTAAGTGTACAGTATTCAATGTAGATATAGTATGTCCTGTCATGTTTCCTAGAAAGTACAACTGCACTGCTCCAAATAGGAAATAACTCTTCCAGCTGTTGGTTGATAACTTCTCACTGATAGGCTGGTATTCGATGAGGAGGCTGTTTCACTGGCTTGCAATCCCCGGAGTGGATTTCGTGAGTAAATCAGAGCTGTCATTTGCAAAGATGACCTCCTAGTGCACTACCAGGGACGAACACTATTCTCTTTAGTCTTCCAAAAGCCCTTCTAGGTCACCTGGCAATCTAGACTTCCCCTTTTCGTCCTCCTAAGGCTTCTCCCCTTTGGCCACTGGTTTGTTTTTAACTGAACAAGATGACTGAGGGAAACTTGTGGAATCTGGCTCTGGTCCCCCCACTACTGACAGGATGATATCGGTAACGGGAACATCTGCCTGTAGTCTCATAGGCCTCTTTGAGAAGTTAGCAACTCGAACTAGAGTCAGTCCATCTCTTGGGATTACTAAAGTTCGGGCTAAGTTGATTTCAGATTTGCCTCTTAGTTCCCTTTTCTTCCCTAAGCATTAATCATTCCAGCTCATGAATCTTTTCATTCACACCAATGGGTAGTGGGGATGCAATTATATGCGCTGACCACCCAATCCTTGGCCAAGCGGTAATTGTCTTACATCTTGATTACCCGAACTGTTATGAGTCTCAGGATGCTTTCAGTTCAGGCCATGTAGAGTGCACATCCCTGCCGCATCGCTCAGATGTGGTAAAATTCTTGGAACATTGGAATTCCTGCCCTATCCTTTTAAACATTAGAATTCCCACGCTATCCTTTCGAACATTGCAAAAATTCCGGCCCTATCCTTTCAAAAATTGGAATTCCAACCCTTTACTTTCAAACATTGGTATTCCACCACTATCCTCCTTCAAACTTAGGTTTTCCGGTCCTATACTTTCAAACATTGGAATTCCAACCCTTTCCTTTCAAACACTGGTATTCCACCACTATCCTCTTTGAAACATTGGTATTCTGGCCCTTTCCTTTCAAACACTGGAATTCCGGCCCTATCCTTTAAAACACTGGAATTGTGGCCCTATTTTTACAAAGATTGGAATTCCAGTCTTATCCTTTCAAACATTAGAATTCCAGCCCTTTCCTTTCTAACATTGGAATTCCGGCCCTATCCTTTCTAACATTGGAATTCAGGCCCTATTTTAACTAACATTGTTATTCCAGCCCTATCCTTTCAAACATTAAAATTCCGTCCCTATCCTTTCAAACATTGGAATTCTGGCCCTTTTTTTATCATCATTAGAAATCCGGCCCTATCCTTTCAAACTCTGCAGTTCCGGCGTTATCCTTTCACACATCTGTATTTGGGCACTATCCTTTTAAAAACATTAAACTTCTGGCCCTATTCTTTCTGCAAACACTGGAATTCCTGCCCTTTTTCAAAAAAAGTTAGGAATTTCACGCCCTATCCTTTGAAACACTGGTATTCCGGCTCAGTCCTTGCAAGCATTGGTATTCCCCCCTATCCTTTAAAACCTTGAAATTCTGGCCCTGTTTTGATAAACATTGGAATTCCTACCCTATCCTTTCAAGCACTGGTTTACCAACCCTATCCTCTCAAACATTGGAATTGTGGCCCTATTTCTACAAACATTTTAATTCGCCCTTATCCTTGTAATCATTGGAATTCTGGCCCTATTCTTTCTAACATTGGAGTTTTAGGCCTATCCTTTCAACATTTGTATACAGGCCCTATCCTTTCAAACAATGAAATTCTGGCCTTATATTTGTAAACATAGATATTCCGGCCCTACGCCTTCACACATTGGAATTCCGGCCCTATCCTTTCAAACATTGGAATTCCAGCACTCTGCATTCAAACATTTCAATTCTAGCGTATCTTTTTAAACATTAAAATTTCCACCCTATCCTTTTGAATATTGGAATTCCCGTGCTATCTTTTCGAAAATTTGAAAGTTACGGCTCTATCCTTTAAAACATTGGAATTCCTTCCCTATCTTTTTGAACATTGGAATGTCGGCCCTATCCTTTCTAGCATTGAAATTCCGGCCCTATCCTTTCAAACATTGGAATTACAGCCTTTTCCTTTCAAACGTTAGAATACTAGCCCTATTTTTATAAACATTGGAATTCTGGCCCTATCCTTTTTAACACTGGATATCCGGCCCTATCCTTTCTAAAATTGGATTTCCGCCCCTATCCTTTCTAAGATTGGAATTCCGGCTCTATCCATTCTAATACTCGAATTCCGGCCCTGTCCTTTCAAACATTGGAATTCCGGCCATATCCTTTCTAACATTGGAATTCCGGCCCTATCCGTTTTAACATTGGAATTCCGAGCCTATCCTTTCAAACATTAGAATTCCAGCCCTATCCTTTCTAACATTGGAATGTCGGCCCTATCCTTTCTAGCATTGAAATTCCGGCCCTATCCTTTCAAACATTGGAATTACAGCCTTTTCCTTTCAAACGTTAGAATACTGGCCCTATTTTTATAAACATTGGAATTCTGGTCGTATCCTTTTTAACACTGGATATCCGGCCCTATCCTTTCTAAAATTGGATTTCCGCCCCTATCCTTTCTAAGATTGGAATTCCGGCTCTATCCATTCTAATACTCGAATTCCGGCCCTGTCCTTTCAAACATTGGAATTCCGGCCATATCCTTTCTAACATTGGAATTCCGGCCCTATCCGTTTTAACATTGGAATTCCGAGCCTATCCTTTCAAACATTAGAATTCCAGCCCTATCCTTTCTAACATTGGAATTCTGGCCCTATCCTTTTTAACATTGGAATTCAGTCCCTATCCTTTCTAACATTAGAATTCCAGCCCTTTCCTTTCAAACATTGAAATTCAGGCCCTATCGCTTTTAACACTGGAATTGCAGCCCTGGGCTTTTAAACATTAGAATTCCGGCGCTATCCTTTCAAACATTGGAATTCAGGCCCTATCCTTTTTAACACTTGAATTCCAGCCCTATCCTATTAAACATTAGAATTCCGGCCCTATCCTTTCTAACATTAGATTCCTGGCCCTATCCTTTGTAACATTGGAATTCCAGCCCGATCGTTTTGAACATTAGAATTTCGGCCCTATCCTTTCCAGCCCTATCCTTTCTAACCTTGGAATTCCGGCCCTATCCTTTTTAACACTAGAATTCCAGCCCTATCCTTTTAAACATTAGAGTTCCGGCCCTTTCCTTTTTTAACACTGGATTCCTGGCCATATCCTTTTTAACATTGGAATTCCGGCCCTACCCTTTCTAACATTGGATTCCTGGCCCTTTTCGTTTCTGACATTAGAATTCCAGCCCTTTTCTTTTAAACACTGGAATTCTGGCCCTATCCTTTCTAACACTGGAATCCTGGCCCTTTCCTTTCAAACATTAGAATTCCAGCCCTTTCCTTTCAAACGTTAGAATTCAGGCCCTTTCCTTTCAAACATTAGAATTCCGCCCTATCCTTTCTTACATTGGATTCCTGGCCCTATTCTTTTTAACATTGGAATTTAGGCCCTATCCTTTCAAATATTAGAATTCCAGCCCTTTCCTTTCAAGCGTTGGAATTCCGGCCCTATCCTTTTTAACACTGGATTTCAAGCCCTGTCCTTTTAAACATTAGAATTCCGGCGCTATCCTTTCTAACATTGGATTCCTGGCCCTATCCTTTCTAACATTGGATTCCTGGTCCTCTCCTTTCAAACATTAGAATTCGGGCCATATCCTTTTAAACATTAGAATTCCAGCGTTTTCTTTTCTAACTTTAGAATTCTCACCCTATTCTTTCTAACATTGGAATTCCGGCCCTATCCTTTCTAGCAGTGGAATTCCGGCCCTATCCTTTCTAACATTGGAATTCTTGCCCTATCCTTTTAAACATTAGAATTCCCGCCCTTTGCTTTCTAACATTGGAATTCTGGCCCTTTCCTTTCTTACAATGGATTCTTGGCCCTTTCCTTTCAAACATTAGAATCCTATCCTTTCTAACACTGGATTCCTGGCCCTATCCTTTTTAACACTGGAATTCCGGCCCTATCCTTTCTAACATTGGATTCCTGGCCTTATCCTTTTTAACCTTGGAATTTCGGCCCTATCCTTTTTAACACTGGAATTCCAACCTTATCCTTTGAAACATTAGAATTCCGGCCCTATCCTTTCTAACATTGGATTCCTGGCCCTATCCTTTTTAACATTGGAATTCCGGCCCTCTCCTCTCTAACGTTGGATTCCTGGCCCTATCCTTTTCAACATTGGATTTCGTCCCTGTCCTTTCAAACATTAGAATTACAGCCCTTTCCTTTCTAACATTAGAATTCGGGCCATATCCTTTTAAACATTAGAATTCCAGCGTTTTCTTTTCTAAGTTTAGAATTCTCACCCTATTCTTTCTAACATTGGAATTCCGGCCCTATCCTTTCTAGCAGTGGAATTCCGGCCCTATCCTTTCTAACATTAGAATTCGAGCCCTTTTCTTTTAGACATTGGAATTCTGGCCCTATCCTTTCTAACATTGGATTCCCGGCCCTTTCCTTTTAAACATTAGAATTCCAGCCCTTTCCTTTCAAACACTGGAATTCAGGCCCGTTCCTTTCAACCATTAGAATTCCGGCCCTATCCTTTCTAACATTGGATTCCTAGCCCTATCGTTTTTAACATTGGAACTCCGGCCCTATCCTTTTTTAACATTGGATTCCTGGCGCTATCCTTTTTAACTTTTGAATTCAGTCCCTATTCTTTCTAATATTAGAATACCAGCCATTTTCTTTCAAGCTTTGGAATTCCAGCCCTATCCTTTCTAACATTGGATTCCTGGCCCTTTCCTTTCAAACATTAGAATTCCAGCCCTTTTCTTTTAGACATTGGAATTCTGGGCCTATCCTTTCTAACATTGGATTCCTGGCCCTTTCCTTTTAAACATTAGAATTCCAGCCCTTTCCTTTCAAACACTGGAATTCAGGCCCGTTCCTTTCAACCATTAGAATTCCGGCCCTATCCTTTCTAACATTGGATTCCTAGCCCTATCGTTTTTAACATTGGAACTCCGGCCCTATCCTTTTTTAACATTGGATTCCTGGCGCTATCCTTTTTAACTTTTGAATTCAGTCCCTATTCTTTCTAATATTAGAATACCAGCCATTTTCTTTCAAGCTTTGGAATTCCAGCCCTATCCTTTTTAACATTGGGTTCCTGGCCCTTTCCTTTCAAACATTAGAATTCCAGCCCTTTTCTTTTAGACATTGGAATTCTGGCCCTATCCTTTCTAACATTGGATTCCTAGCCCTATCGTTTTTAACATTGGAACTCCGGCCCTATCCTTTTTAAACTTTGGAATTCGGTCCCTATTCTTTCTAATATTAAAATTCCAGCCCTTTCCTTTCAAGCATTGGAATTCCGGCCCTATCCCTTTTAACATTGGAATTCCAGCCCTTTCCTTTTTAACACTGGAATTCCGGCCCTATCCTTTCTAACACTGGATTCCTGGCCCTATCCTTTTTAACATTAACTCCAGCCCTTTCCTTTCAAACATTAGAATTCCAGCCCTTTCCTTTCAAACATTAGAATTCCAGCCCTATCTTTTCAAACATTAGAATTCCAGCCCTATCCTTTCTAACATTGGAATTCTTGCCCTATCCTTTTGAACATTAGAATTCCAGCCTTTTCCTTTCTAACATTGGAATTCAGGCCCTATCCGTTTAAACATTAGCATTCCAGCCTTTTGCTTTCTAACATTGGAATTCTGGCCTTTTCCTTTCTAACACTGGATTCCTGGCCCTATCCTTTTTAACACTGGAATTCCGGCCCTATCCTTTCTAACATAGGATTCCTGGCCTTATCCTTTGAAACATTAGAATTTCGACCCTATCCTTTCTAACATTGGATTCCTGGCCCTATCCTTTTTAACATTGGAATTCCGGCCCTATCCTTTCTAACATTGGATTCCTGGCCCTATCCTTTGAAACATTAGAATTTCGACCCTATCCTTTCTAACATTGGATTCCTGGCCCTATCCTTTTTAACATTGGAATTTCGGCCCTATCCTTTCTAACATTGGATTCCTGGCCCTATCCTTTTTAACATTGGAATTTCGACCCTATCCTTTCCTGGCCTTATCCTTTTTAACATTGGAATTTCGGCCCTATCCTTTTTAACATTAGAATTTCGGCCCTATCCTTTCCTGGCCTTATCCTTTTTAACATTGGAATTCCGGCCCTATCCTTTCTAACATTGGATTCCTGGCCCTATCCTTTTTAACATTGGAATTTCGGCCCTATCCTTTGTAACACTGGAATTCCAGCCCTATCCTTTGAAACATTAGAATTCCGGCCCTATCCTTTCTAACATTGGATTCCTGGCCCTATCCTTTTTAACATTGGATTTGGTCCCTCTCCTTTCAAACATTAGAATTGCAGCCCTTTCCTTTTTAACATTGGAATTCCAGCCCTATCCTTTTTAACACTGGAATTCCAGCCCTATCCTTTGAAACATTAGCATTCCAGCCCTATCCTTTCTAACATTGGATTCCTGGCCCTATCCTTTTTAACACTGGATTTCGTCCCTCTCCTTTCAAACATTAGAATTGCAGCCCTTTCCTTTCTAACATTAGAATTCAGGCCATATCCTTTTAAACATTAGAATTCCAGCGTTTTCCTTTCTAACTTTGGAGTTCTCGCCCTATTCTTTCTAACATTGGAATTCCGGCCCTATCCTTTCTAACATTGGATTCCTGGCCCTATTCTTTCTAACATTGGAATTCCAGCCTTATCCTTTCAAACATTTGAATTCCGGCCCTATCCTTTCTAACATTGGAATTCCGGCCCTATCCTTTCAAACATTTGAATTCCGGCCCTATCCTTTCTAACATTGGAATTCCGGCCCTATCCTTTCTAACATTGGAATTCCGGCCCTATCCTTTCTAACATTGGAATTCCGGCCCTATTCTTTCTAACATTGGAATTCCAGCCCTATCCTTTCAAACATTTGAATTCCGGCCCTATCCTTTCTAACATTGGAATTTCGGCCCTATCCTTTCTAACATTGGAATTCCGGCGCTATCCTCCCTAACATTGGAATTCCGGCCCTATTCTTTCAAAGCCTTGAATTCCAGCCCTATCCTTTTGATTTCCAACATTGGAAGTGTGGCCCTCCTTTTGTAAACACTGGAATTCTGGCTCTATTTTATTGGAATTTTTGCCTTATCCTTTCAAACATTGGAATTCAGGCATCATCCTTGTAAGCACTAGTATTCCGGCCCTGTCGTTTCAAACATTGGAATTCTGGCCCTATTTTGATACTCGTTTTTAATTCCTGCTTTATCCTTTCAAATATTGGAATTCCGGCCCTATTTTTATTAACATTGTAATTCTGGCCATTGTAATTTCTGCATTCAAACATTGGAATTCCCGCCCTGTCCTGTTGAACATTGGAATTCCGGCCCTATTCTTTCAAACATTGGAATTCCATCCCTATCCTGTTGAACATTGAAATTCCCGCCCTATCGCTTTGAACATTGGAATTCCGGCCCTTTGCTTTTAAACATTGGCATTCCGGCCGTATCCTTTCAAACATCGGAATTGCTGGCCTGTTTTCATATACATTGGAATTCTGACCTTATCCTTCCAAATCTTGGAATTCTGGCCCTATTATTTTTAACACTGGAATTCTGATCTTATCCCTGCAAACACTGGAATTCTGATCTTATCCTTGCAAACATCGGAATTCTGATCTTATTCTTCCAAGTATTGGAATTGCGGCGCTCTTCTTAAAAACATTGGTTGAAAGTCTGATCTTACCCTCACAAGCATTGGAATTCTGGCCCTATCCTTATAAACATTGGAATTCTGATCTTATCCTTCCGAACGTTGAATCTGATCTTACCCTTCCAAACACTTAAATCCTGATCTTATTGTTACAAACGGTGGAATTTTTCATTTTATTGTTACACTTGTTGGAATTCTGGCCCTTTCCTTGCGAACATTGGAATTTTGATCTTCCTTTTCCAGACATTGGTATTCTGGTCCTTAAAAATATTGGAATTCTGATCTTATCGTTCCAAACACTGGAATTTTGGCCCTGTTTTTATAAACATTGCTCTGTCAGGATACCCAGTTTCACCCCTATTAGCTAGGCGAAAGCCTTCTGGAGTTAGCGGTTTGGTCCCCGACAGCTTAACCTATGACGCAGGTTGTACTGGGTTACGTGGTTAACTGGTAGCAAGCAAGGTACACCTGACCTGACCACTCCAAACATTTGAATACCGAATGTCATCACTCGCAACATTTGAACACCGAATGTCATAGCTACAAAAATTTGAATTCCGAATGTCTTCTCTCGCAATGTTTGAATTACGAATGTCTTCAAACCAAACATATGATTCCGACTGTCGTCACGGCAAAAATTTGATTTCCCGAATGTCATGACTGCTAAGATTTGAATTCCGAATGTCTTCACTCCAAACATTTGAATACCGAATGTTATCACCCCAAACATTTGAATTCCGACTGTCATTCTTCCAAATATATGAATACCGGATGTCATCACTCCAAATATTTGAATTCCGAATAGCATCACTCCAAACATTTGAATTCCGAATGTCGTTCTTCCAAACATTAAATACCGAATGTCGTCACTCCAATTATTTGAATTCCGTATGTTAACACTGCAAACATTTGAATACCGAATGTCATCACTCCAGATATTTGAATTCCGAATGTCATTACTCTAAATATTTGAATTCCGAATGTCATCACTCCAAACATTTGAATTCCGAATGTCATCGCTCTAAACATTTTAATTCAGAATGGTAGAATTCCAACCATTTAATTCAGATTTATTTAGTTCGTGATATTTGAGTTATTTCTGTATAATTACACGACAAAAATGCATTACTTAGTTTTACTGTTTTGTAATCTAATCATGATATTTTTGTATTTCTTTTTTTCTTTTTCTTTTTCAGTTATAGCTTGGAATTCCAAATTCATTTGTATTAGGTTCATAGACAAGAAAAATAGAGAAGGACACGAAGTTTAAAGGCACTATAAAGTATGTATTGTTCTTCTATTGTTTCACGGGTACATTATGTTTTTCTCTTATATTCACCCAGTCTCCAAGATATCAGTCACTGACGCTGGAGAGTACCCTGTGTTTAAAATCCACTCCAGGGTGATCCCTGGTTCCACTTGGTCTGTATTCCACCCAGGAGGACCCAGGAGGGCCACCCCTCCTGGTTCCTCTTAGTTCCTAGTGATTGGGGGATATAGGTCTCACCCCCGGAGACTGATCTGGACTCCTGTCCAGGGTGTCTACCCCGGGTACCACTCGATTCTTGTCTTCCCCAGGAGGGCTTCTTCCTGGTCCCCTTACCCCTAGATTTAAGCGCTTCCCTGCCACCAGTATTTTTCCCATTAGTTTTCTTGTGTGTTTTCTGTGTAGTGTGCAGCGTAGAACCTTTATGCGAAACCATCCACCGATCGGAAGATTTTATTAACGATTTGCCTAGTCCCTAGGCCTCATTATTCCGCCCAAATTAACGATCAGTTTTAAAACGTTTATGATACATAGAAAAAGAGCAAGGAAAGATGTTATGATCCTCTCAATTTCTCCAGGCAGATTTAAATTCATCGTCAAAGATTTATAGTTAATGGTCACTTAAAGCTTGTTATGTATGTCTGACCATAGTCGAGTTTTCATCACACGTGGGCTATTTTTTGGTGTGGTGAATAAAACTAACCTGAGAAAACAGCTGACATTTGGCGACGCTACCACTGGTTTCTCCGTGAAAAGACGTCTGAGAAACAAGCGCAGAAATTCCATACTGATGGCCCGTCACTACCCAGATCTGGGTAGTGTTTCTGATTGGTCGAAGCAAATTTCCCGCACAGCACGTCCAATCAGAAACGGTACCCAGATCTGGCCAGTGACGCGTCATCAGCATGGAATTTCTGCACTTGTTTTTCAGACGTCATTTCGCGGGAAAACTAGTGGTAGGGTCGAGAAATGTCTGCTATTTTCTGAGGATAGACTATGACTTGCATTTCACAAACCTTTGGTTTCCTGTAATAATTTTTTTTTCCTTTCGTTGTCTGATCACTGCATCTTTCCTTTGCTAATTTTTTAGAAGTGGAACGTTTGGTTCTATGGTTGAGTACGGATGTGAAACGTAAATGTGAAGAATTAATATTGTCTTTATCGTGCTCATTACCCTGTTGAGTAAACCTGAAGTCTGTTTGTTGCTTTTTAATCATGGTGAATTCATGGTATGATCGTTTAATATCCATGGGAGAAAGGTAAGCCACCAAACCAACGATTCAGACTGTCTTTGTGTATCGTATTGTACCTTAAAACTCTTAGAAAATTTTTCTTTTTGTACTTATAGTTCACAGGACGTTCGTCAAGGTCCCAGTAAAGTGATCGATGTTACGGTTCAAGGTAAAGATTCACGACTCTCCCTCACTGAGTCTTCAAAGGTGCGAAAGCCGTCGCGCGGGAAAGTGTATGCTAAACGTCACGGTTTTGATTGTTTCTGATTGGTCGAGAAAGTTACGCGCTATGATTAGACCGTCACAAGGTTTGACAATAGAGCCTTTCACGGTTTTTTGAAATTTTTTACATGGCGTAGTAAGCGAAAATCCGTCACCACCGCTGAAAAGGAAGCCTAAAAAGTAAAATTGCCAAGTTTGAGAGAGATTTGTCGAAATAGAACCAAGATAAACTAGTAGTTCGGCAGAGTCGTAAAATTTTACAAACGTTTGTATGATGGGTTTGTATGAGGTCTGTGAAATTTCGGGACTTTAGTGAGTTATATCTATGCTCGCCTTCAACCTCCTACTTAGTTTCAAACTTAGCAAGTTTACAAATTTTAAAGCACTCTTTTACTCGCCATTTTTGGCTCCTCTCCACTTTATGATTGGTCGTGCCAAATCGGGTCACTTGTCAAGCCAATTAGGTCAAACTAGAACTAATCATGGCTTGTTCCCACGTTTCCTCCGCTTTTTCATAGATTCAGCCACAGCCCACGGGTTTTTTCATTGTTTTTTTTTTCTGTAACCTCTAATTGGCCTAACGTATTTTCTTTGTCTGATTTGATTGGCTAATATAATTAATTGAACTGAAAGTCTTCTGTGTAACACCTGTTTTTCGATGTTTTGTTTGTCTCTTTCAGAGTGATTTAAGTGGATTTTACGATCCGTGTCCTAACGAGGAAAAGATGCTTCGAATAAGATATTTGTTCAGAGAAGCGGTTCACGAAGTGACAGTCGATGATAATGAACCTGTTTAAAGAATACCAAAACAATGTAAGAAATCCTGCTCTATTCGGCTATTCGCCAGTTTTACATAGACCATAATGCACGTAGTTTACCCCCCCCGCCCCCCGCCCCCAAGAAAAAATAAATTGGTGTGTCCGTAATTAAGTAAGTAATTTACACAGGAGAACAACAAACTGAAGGATCGTGGTAGTTGTAGTAAGATGACGTCTTCTGCAATTGTCCTGAAATTTGCTGTTATGACAACGAACCGGACTTGTTAAGGCCTTTATCGCTAAGGTGAAAGTAAGTTAGGGCTTGAAAAAGAGTTTGTTACTGGCATGAAATAGAGCGATTTTCGTATGACCTTGAAATGAAAACGCGAGAACCAGACAAACAACAAACGAACAGAAATGGAGCGATTTGATTGGTTTATCAAACGGATACAAATGCACGTGGCTTTTAGTTGGCTAAGCAAACGCTCGGGCGAAAAAACTTCATACCCAAGGACTTTCTAGAAATCATTCGATGCTTTGCTTTGACGTCATACTGCAACACGATTGGCCAATTGAACAATGCCCTCTCCATATTAGGGTTTTCTTTGGCAGGAAAACGAAGAGGCCATGTTTTGATCTTTTCATCCATTTGCTGATAAAACATATAACGGACACTTACCGAAACTATTTTTCAAGGTCATACGAAAATCGCTTTATAAGATATAAGTTTGTTGTTGCCACTGACGTCTTCTCTTTTCCTCCCTTTAGCACATAAAAAGAATGCAGTCGAGTTAGCACAGTTAAGCATCTGAGACATCGCTCATATTGATCCCTATCAAGGCACAACCGTCAGGAGGTGCTGAAAGATTTCGTCAAATGCCTGCTGGTTTTACCACTGAACTCTTGTAAACTCTTGTGGTGTTATATACCAAGGGAGGAAATAAAATAGAGTTAAATAATTATTAATTTACAAGGCTGGTTTTAGTGTCTCCAGGTCAAAACACATTAAAAAAATATTGACGTGACATTTTTGTAAGTATTTTATCACTGAGACGATCATTTCGCGTACGTCCTGAGCCACACCCATATTACAATTTGGGGACTGCGTCGAATTAGGTTTTTGGTCGGGGGATGGTTTATGTTGGAGAGGGGAGGTTCCTGTTGGAGAGGGAAGTTGATGTTGGAAGGGGAAGGTTCATCCCAGGGGCCGACCTGCACCTATTCCAAACAAGGTTTGTGATTGGCTGGGAAAACAATAGGGATGGTGACATAACAATGCCCCTATCACTGAAAACAATTGGTAGTGCAGGTTATAAGGACCAATGAAATAAGAAGTTTTGATGCGTGCAGGTCAATCGCATGTTGGAGGGAGGGAGGTTCATGTTGGAGGGCAGAGTTCATCTTAGGGGGGAGGGTACTGCTAAAGAGAGTCTTTAGAATGGACGGTGATTTTTAAAATTTGAACTTAAGTGGCCAGGAATTTAAGAATTCCCCAAAAATAAGGGTTCAGTTTTATTTAAAATGATCCTGTTACTTTACCTCAACCATAAACGTTTGTTGATGGCCATGATGTAAAGGGATTGGTAACCTTTTCAAGTTCAACTCGTCTGTTGTCGAAAAGTGACCAAAAAGCGATCCTGCCTTGTTACCTTGAAGAGCACCAAGTTTGAGAAAAGATGGCTGAAAATACGTAGCTATGATTGCGGCTGAGCTTTGACCGAAGAATGGCACAACCGAGCCGTTTTCGTCTTATTTTGATGCCATCATAAGTTTAGTATTTTGCAACCCTGGAGCCCGTTTCTCGATAGGCCCGGTAACTTTTCAGGTGCGAAGGCAAATTCTGAGATCAAAAGCAGTTGAACAGTAGCAAAGTTCCTAGCTCACAAATTTAAACCGATCAATTTTGCTTCGAAAATTTATCTGTTCCTCACTCCCAGCAAGACTGATGGAAGAGTTCCCAGCCAGCAAGGTGCACCTACAACCTGCAGCCTGACTTACTGGGAAGTTTCCCAGCAAACGTACGTCCAGACATTACTGGCCACTTTGGGTGTTGCCTAAGGGCGAAGTTCAGCCCTTCAGTTGAGCAGTTGGGGGTGGAGGGGGGAGGGGAGGTTTCTGACAAATAACACTAATAACACTATTCTAGACACCAAATCCCCTCAGAAAACCTGAATTGTCTATTTCCGAGGTAACCTTTCCTTCCAAGGACATATCAGTTCTTCCAAATCTCCCAGCCAGCATATTTTGAGGAACAGATCCATTGGGTGCCCCTGGAAATAGTGACGGTAACGGAAAACCCCAAATTCACTCAAAATACATGATAGGAGTCATAGCTTAAAGTAGTCAATAAGAGAAGAAAGAAAACAGAAGAAAACGGTAGTTAGTATGTGGTCTTAAACCCGCGTCATTGGATGTATAATCCACGTCCGTATCTACTACACCGTCAAGGGCCGACACCGGTTAACTTAAACGTACTTTACATGCATTTATCATAACACTATTGAAGGCTGTCCGTTTTTTAAACAGTGCTTAACCCTGAACACTGTACTTCGGTGCTAAACCCTGTATTCAACTCTTTTTCTTACAAGAACGAGAAGTCCGAAGACTACAGCAAAGCTGATTTAAAACAACGTGTATTGTTTTTTATAACAATATTTCGGCTGGCCATACCAGCCTTCTTCAGGTTTACAGTTAATTTAATTCTTTTTCTTACACTGATTTCCCCATTTTTCTCAAAAATGTGCCCAATAAATTCGCATAAATTTTGAAAAGCGTGGTGTAGAGCATAGCGTTGTGTAACAAAGATGGGTTTCCCACCTGTAAGGTATCTATTCAAAAATTCAGGTCACAACTGGTAGGGTATGGGCAGGTGCTTCTTAACTCGCCTCATTCGCGGGGCGATCCCGCACCTATTTGAAAGATTGTTTTTGATTAGCTGGGAAAACAATAGGGATTGTCACATAACAATACCCCTATCCCTGAAAACAATGGAAGTGCAGATTAAAAGGCACCAGTGATATAAGAGGTTTAGAATGGTGCAGGTCTACTGCATTCGCGCGCAAAACGAAACAAGCTACAGCGCAATACATATGCTGCATGTAAAAAGTTGTAACGTAAAGCACAATTCTGAAAGCGTCTTTCGCTATCTTGCAGGTGCAGTAAACAGTAACTAGAGTACAAAATGTAATAGAAAAGATCTTTATGCTATCTGTAGTTAGTGAAGCCCTCAAAAAGTCAATTATGTTCCTCTGTTCACCTTTCGCAAATTGTTGTTTGGCAGTATAGCGGCTGGGCTTTATATCACTTTGCATAGCTCACCAGCCAGACTACACGGGATTCACCCTGTGCAGATTCACCTGATCGGGATTCGGGATTCATCTGATCACCGCAGTGTCCGTAATAAAGAGGTTAAGTTTATATGAATTTACTCTCTGTCGCCGAGATTTAGTGTCCGTTGTCCATATTAGAGAGACTCCGTATTATGGAGGTTTTTTTGAAAGAAAATAACTGAGAATTTTGTCGGGGCATTGAAACTGTCCGTAATAGAGAGGTGTCCGTACTGAGACGTTCGACAGTATTATTATTGCCACCAGTAACTACAAGTAACTACCCAGTGTAACTACCAATAACTACTAGTAACTGGCAGTAACTACCACCAACCACCAGTAACTACCAATGACTACCACCACTACCACTAACTACCACCAAGTACCATACCAACTACTAGTAACTACCAGTGACTACCATCAACTGCTAGTAACTAACAGTAACTACCAGTAACTACTAGTAACCACTAGTAACTACCAGTAACTACCAGTAAGTTTCCCGCTGAAAAAATGTAGCTCTAGCAAACATTTACTTCTCCCCAACTACCAGTAACTACTACCCATCCTACCATCTTTTGAAAAAGGCACTGAAAAAAAAATGCCCTTGATAGCTTGAGAGACGTCTTTATTCAATGGATGTATATACACACACACACAGCTAGCTAGCTACACACAGAGAGAGATTTGCAATCACGTTTTGGAAGGGAAAAGACTCCTCAAAAGGTTCAAACTTCAACCAAAACTGAAGAAAAACCCCAAAAGGTACTCATCGTAGCATCTTTTGAAGGAGACGATGAAAAAGCACAATACGCTAGCTTCAAACACATCTTCACTTAATGGCTGCCCTTATCATTACCAAGTTAACAATTGATTGTATTTATCGTCATGAACGAAAATCCCCGGGGGAATACTCCCTTACATTTGCCTTATAAGTATTGACAGGCTCCTGGTATTGGGTGCGTTTCTTTGGGATGATCCGGATGAGGATCAGTGATCCCAGATCCATAGGCGTACGGGCAATTTTTTGCCAGGGGGAGCGGTAATCCATTTGCCCAAAAAATTCTTGCAAGTTGCCCAAATTTTTACAAAACAGTCGAAAGGAAACTAGGGCCATGCAACAAAATAGGCCGTACTGGCATATGAAAGTGGCTCGATACAGTTTTTCAGAGTCAATACCTGCCAAGTTTGAGCATAAACTACGTCGCCACAAACAAGCATTTGGAAAAAATTGCCACCACAGTTGTATAAGATAAAGAGGGAAATTTGTCATGATCAGGATTGCACTGACATCGGAGCTGTCATAGCAACGAAATGACGCCATTACCTATTATACTTGCAGCAATATTTCTCACTGGGAACTGTTCTTACAAAATCGTTCAGGGAAGCTCTTTCCTCTAATAGTCGCCTCGATGTTCGTGAAGTTAAAACGGAACTGTAAGAGCGTTATCGAGATATTTTGGAATGAAGTTTTTATTGTTAGAAATAAGGTAAAAAAGGAAAATCTTGATGTTTAGAAAACGGAGTTTCAATCTTATTAAAAACGTGTATGAAAGATCATGGAGATAGCTCCTGCCAATTGCTAATAAGGAAGGATTTGATTAGCGCTCGATCTTGTTAGGAGTTTCGTAAACATTTCGGTCTACTTAAACAAATTAGTGAATAATTTTTAAACCCTCGATAGATTTTTTCGAGAAAATTATGATTCTTGTCGTAATTCAAACTGAGAATTAGTCAGCCACTTCACTTTCAGACCCATTGCTGATGCGTGTTCTGCCACACACTGTTCTAGGAGCGGAGGTGATTCTAGAAAGTTATGCGGAAGTTTATTCTCATCAAATCATGACTGGAAATAGCCCACTCCAGCTAGTACAGTGAAGTACAGTGCCCAACAACAACAACAAAAAATCAGCATATGATACCCTTCCCTTATAACCAGAAACTCATCACGTGCTAGGCAACCACTCTCTCGTGTGAATTATTACGCCAACTTCTGGTTAAAATAGAAAATATTTGTGTCTTCAAAATATAATAATAAAAAAAAACATCGAAACGTCTTTAAAAACTGGCTTTGCCCAAGTTTTCTCTTGCTGCCCAAAAAATCTGAGTTGCCCAAACTTTGGGGGGGCTGCAGCCCCCCTCGCCCCCCGGCCCGTACGCCTATGCCGAGATCACTCGGATCATGGTAGATCAAATGATCCGATGAATCCTTGTTCAGAGTGGATTCATCGGTTCATTTGATCTACAATGATCCGAGTGAACTCGGATCACTGATCCTGATCCGGATCATCTCAAAGACGCGCACCCATTGATCTGAAATAAGATCTAAAGTCAGGATTTGGAAAGTCGAGCAACACATCCCACCACTACTTCCCAGGGATACGCCCCCGGATTGCTCAGTTAATAATTGATAGCGTTCATTTTGCGAACCAAACATGCCAGCGGGTACTTCCTTACATTGGCCTTATAGATATTGGTCTTAAATAAAGTCTAGGGTAAGGATTTAGAAAGTCAGACGGCACATCCCCACCACAAATTGCCAGGAATACCCCCCTCCCTCCAAACAGGAGGAAAGATCGAAGGTATGAACTGGGCTGCACAGGCAGCCCAGTTAAAAAGCGGCGCATGCGTATTTGGACAACTTAGGCACGTGGAAACATGGCGGACGCTGGTGAGTGCGTTGATCACTTTGATTTTCTGTGATTTGGTGCAACAAAGAAAGGCTTCTTGCTCACACATTTAAGGCCGTTTTGTTTATTGAATTATTTTCTTGCAGAAGCTGTGCCGCGCAAGAAGCACAAAAAAGACAAGCGTAAATCTGAAGAGGATATAGGTAATGTTTGCATGTGCAGCGCGCTTACAAAACAATCTGGATACAATAGGCTGTGAAATGAGTTGTTTTGTAGTGTTGCTCGTCCTTTGGAAGAAGCTAGTCATACTTAACGCATTTCTACTGACGATCGTTTCGTATCGATCGTACAGGTTCTTCAAAGAAAGAAAAGAAGGTCATTAGCGAGGCGGTTGATGTCGACTCTTCGAACCATGTGGGGGTGAGTTGGTCTGCCACTTTCCTCGCACATAAGCTTAACATGCAGATATATTCTCTGCTAATTATCTTTAAGTAGCTGCTCAGTTGTATCGCTAAACTGGCGTTGCACATCATTATAATTAGTAGATTAGTAGATATAAAATTAACTTGTTCACTGCTTGTTGGATTTTGGTTACATCAATAATTGTTTCGCGACAGATATTAAAAAACGGGATTATTCTCCGATCTTGGTTTGCAACGTTGTGACGAGGCGGTCGTGTGTCAGTGGATTTTTTTTTGCAGAATTTTCTTGAAAAAAGGACTTCAGTTCCCTGCAACGGATCATTTTTGTTCTTATCATCCAACATGGAACATGGTAGCCTTGTAATCAGCTGCAAACCAGCAGTAACTGTTATGGTTGTGTAAAGTGCATAGTATGATCTTGAGCACTGCACATGAACACACCAGGCAATAAGTTACAGCTATACATCAGAAACCAATTCATGTGTACTTAAGAATTTTTGTGAAAGCTTTGTGTCTAGAACAGAATTTTGTTGTCACCCCCCTAACGTCACAACATGTTACACAAAATCAAATCAGATTTAATTTGTGCAACTTGTTGCAGCAACAAACTTCTGTTGCTAAGACAAAGATTTCCACTAAAATTCTCTCTAGAAAACACGAAGGGATTTGTCATTATAACATGTGGTGCAACTTGTTTCAGTGACGTATTGCCTAACTTGCACACACAGAGTGATTTCACAGATTTGTCATGTCGACGTGTTGCACCTCAGAGTATTAGGCCCTGTTTGTACAATGGGCAATTCTGTTTGTTCTGTGAAAAACATCAGTCAACGGGAAGCAATTTCTTGTGCAAGCAATATTTTTCACCTACCAAAAGTTTCTCAACTGTTGCCAGACTTCAAAGATGCCATCCATTAGCTTTGGAAACCTACAATGTCTTGTCAGGTGACAAAATCTTTTGTCCCTTGACAGGTATCCTTCATCAGGTCATCTTATATAATGAGCATCTCTGGTCACAGGTGGAAGCATGGTTCCAAACGTCAACTACTAATTACAAAATTTTCAAATTTTTTGCAAATGCCAAACTCATTTTTCTTTGTCACAGTGCAAACAGGGCCTAATTTTAGAGGCATTAGTCCCAGCATTGTTATAGCCTATGAACAGGCTCTCTGTTTGGGGAAAAAAATTGCAAAGAAAGGGAAGAGAAAAGGGGGTAGAGAGAATGTAGATAAACATTTGAGGTCACTATTCTGCCGTCTTATAATTATCCTGTTGATCATCTGTCAGTAAGATAGTTATCGGTCAATCAATTTCGCGTGTGAGTAACTCCTGGGAAAATTAACGGGAAATGAGCTGTGTTTTGCTCCGTCTGAAAACAGAGTGAAATGGAGTGCGAGCCTCATTGCCGATTTTGCAAAAAGTCGTTGTTTATTGGAGCGCTTACTTCCTCCCTTGGTAATAGCTTTTAAATTAGCTTAACAGTCTTTGGACTATTTTGTTATTGCCACTTTGTGATCAAATCGCGCGCTACGTGCCGACCGAAAAGCCGATGTCGATCAGACCTGTCAACAGTCTGTGTTCTCGCCAACAGGAGCTTGCATCAGGATCTGATGCACAGCGGGTGCCGTGGAACGGTGGTCCCAATTGTTTGTCTACAGGCCTTTTCTCTTTTGCTTCTCCTCAGTTCCCTGCTCGATCAAAAGCCTGTTCACAGGCTAGCATAGTTAATGAACATGGTGACAATCAACAAATTTAGTGTGTTAAATCAATGCAGTTGTCTTAAAGGGAGTGTAAATGAAATCACAGAAGCATTATAGTAGAGCACAGAAGCATTATAGTGGCCCCTGGCGCCTAACTTTCACTCTCAGGAGACTAGGATATATTAGTTTTTTCATACAAATCATAATTATGCTGGGCACCCTATGTTTTGCAGTTTCAGAGCACTGGGTTCTCTTCAATATTTTCCTTAGAGCACAGCTTTGGTTATAGGTGCAAGTTTGAACATTACAATGCAATGTAACTGTCAGCCTTGAAAACTATGGGTGCTTTCCAAAAGTCAGAACTGGCCTGCCAGACCATGGCGGGGCAAGTCATTTTGACAAAGAAATAAGCTTTTTCCAAGAGTTTTTGCTGAAAAACATCTCCTTCATACAAACTATTAGGATTTGACTGTTCTTAGTAGATATTTTTTATTATAAGTGAAATTCCCAATACAACAGTAATGGTCTGGCCACTCAGTTCTGACAAATGGAAAGTGCCTGAGGATAAAAACATAATATTTTTTGTCACATTACTCACAGGAAACCCAGCATGAAGAAGATTTTCATTTAAAGCCGACCTCCAAGACTGAAGTGTTGGACACATCAAAGTGGCCTCTTTTGTTAAAGGTGAACCATCATCACATCATTGGTGTTCAATATTGTTACTTTATCTGCATAATCTACTTTCAGGAACTCAGTTTTGAATTTTACTGCTGAAAAAACATCCCACCGAATAGGTCATAATGATAAAGCATAGAAATTCAAGTGTACTATATCATTGTCACAAAACAAAGCACCCTTTTGAAGTGAAAAGTTGTCTGAATATAAGTTTTTAGCTGCTCTAATACTTCATGAATTTAAATCTCAGAAGGATCCTTAATAATTATTCTCTAGTTTGAATTTTGATGACGTTATGTGAAAACCGGCAAATTACTGCAATAATATCAACTACACCATACTGTGGGGTTGGGGTTCTTGTTTTGAAAAACAAAGATTTCCTAAGACTGCATTTCATTGTTTGCTTAAAAAAATATACAAGACTTAACTGGGAGGTAAAGCTTGATATTATTATTATACCGATTCTTGAAGCCAGAAGGGGGTTCATGCATTCTTGCTCTTGTGATCCCCGAATGCTGTAATGGTGATGTAGAATTCTAACCGAACTTGGTCATTGCTCAAAGTTCTTAAACATACCATTTTATTGCATCTAAGCCTGAACAAGACAGTGAGGAATAAACTGTAGTTCTAATTGGGTGCAAACATGACATGTTTTGCTGCCAAGCATTCAAAGTTTAGAGCAGGCGGTTGTTTAGACGTTAAGAATAATTTCCAGAAGCAAGTGTGCTTTTTCTGTGCAAGAAATATGCCTGGAAGTTGAGAAAAATGAAATATCAGTAGAATGCACTGATCAAAAACATATAAACAACTTGCAGCCTTTGGCGTGACAGTTTACTTTAATGGCTATCAAACTTTAAATGTTTGGCAGCAGCCTGTTAGAACATGTTTTTTTTGTCTTGTGTCCATGCTTAGATACTTGTTTTGGGGTTGTGAAAGTTTATAGTAATGCTCTAAAATAATGAAAATTTTACCTTTTTTTGTTTCTGTTTACAGAATTATGACAAGCTGAATGTCAGAACTGGTCACTTTACACCTCTTCCAAATGGATGTTCACCTTTGAAAAGGGATCTGAAAGATTATATTTCGTGAGTTGATAAGTCATTATGATGGGATGATAGTTAAACAACCATTTTGATTATTTTAAAGATGAGCAAATACTAGGCCAGATGACCCACTGCTGTTGAATTTTATATGTGGGGATCATTCTATAATTTTCAGTGTTCTCGTTACCAGGCGCTAACTGGTAACAGTTGCTGCCTGAGGCAACACTTCTTACTGCCTGCAACCACTGGAAGGTTTACTAAAATTAAATAAAAAGTTTTAAAAAATCTGATCCAATTCTCTCAAGGAAATGAATGAAATAATATATGGAAAATTACACAGCTTTTCTTTTTGTGGGTCACACGTCATTTTGGAAAGAGAACATTGAAGACAGAGTGAAAATTAATTATTGGAATTACATGTTTTAAATTGTTGTCTAAAGATGACCATGGCCGATTTGCATAACATAGGTCTTAAAAATGAGAGAATGACGTTTCAGAGAACTTACTTCCTAAACTTCCCAGCCAGAGCAGAGCGATATCACTCACTCTACTACCCCTCTTCCCCCAAGGAAGTTTTTAGCCTTACCGGCCATGAATGGTCCCTTACCTGTTGAGCTAAAATTTAGGGAGAACACTGAATTTTAGTTTGCCAGAAGGTTCCTTTGAAAAAATTGAAGCTTGGAGAACTGTTTGTATTTCACAGGCACCTTACCAGTGTTTATTTTTTCTTATTAGGAGTGGATTTATAAATCTTGACAAACCGGCCAATCCTTCATCACACGAGGTATGATTGAATTTTCTCCTAATCCTGGTTTGGTATTTTAAGAGAATTTAATAGTTCAGTGATTTTGTTATCTGCATCCTGCGTCCCTGATGCATCAAAATTCCAAAAGACGCAAAATAATTCATGGTATGCGTCCCGTGGGATGCAAAGATCGATCGATCAATCTGAGCATGTGTATTTGAAGAAATGTCCCATTCGTGTAATTTCTGTGGCAGTTATTATGGCTGTTGTTTAACAATGCATATTTCTTTTAGCCTTTGTTGTGCTTTAAAATAGAAGGACTACACCATGTATATTTTGATTTTAGTATACTGTAATACAGAGCTTTCTGTCTTCAGATTAACTGTCTGGTTACATAAACGCCCATATGCAAGCGTTATTAATTTCGGACTTGGTTTTACTTTTACTGGGACTCACTGGTTCTGGGCAGGGAGCACTCATGATTTTGCACAAGATGAGTTCCAGGACTCACTATAACTATTTGTAACAAAATCACTGACAGGTGGTGGCATGGATCAGAAGGATTCTTCGAGTGGAGAAAACTGGACACAGTGGAACTCTTGATCCTAAGGTGACAGGCTGTCTGATTGTCTGCATTGAGAGGGCGACAAGACTTGTTAAATCTCAACAGGGTGCAGGTATTATAATGGTCACATAACTTTTCTTTCTCTTTGACGTGCATGTACATTTATACACTTACGTATGTTTGACCCATTTCACTCCTGGAAATTTCGCCGAAAAACACCATTTGTGCCAAAGTCAACCCCTTTTCTGGTCACAATCTTCCAAAAAAACAAAACAGCCTAAAATATTATTTTTAAGTTGATTTCTATGCTGCAGTTTCTTCCTGATGCAAAATTACAGCTTCTGATGTTTGGATGTGTGGAGAATGCAAAAATTGGAGATAACACTCGAATATGGAAATTTGCATTTTTTTTTTCAGTTCAGGGCAATTGCATGTACATGTACATTGTAAGTTATAATCAGACATGCCACATGAATAGAGAGGTTTTGCACTTTAGCTACACTCAGTGACTGTAGTGATGTTTCCCCTCTTGTTTTGTGATTTTAGGCAAAGAGTATGTTTGTATTGTCAGGCTCCATGAAGCCATTGATAAAGTGGCAGATTTGTCAAAGGTTAGTACACACAGCATGCATTGAAACTTGTACATGTATGTAAAAGTATGATAAATTTTTAAGGAGGGTGTGAAGTACATGTAAAAGGTTTGTAATCAAAGATAACACATGTTGCTCATAAAACTGCTGGTACAATTGTACATTATTATTTTTGTATTGTATTCTAAACAAGTTTCTTGATTTGTCTCTTATTTGAGGCTTAGTGTGAACTTTCTAATTCTTTCTTTCAGACAATAGAAATGCTTACCGGAGCCTTATTTCAAAGGCCACCACTGATCTCTGCTGTGAAGAGACAACTCAGGATAAGAACAATTTATGAAAGCAAGCTTATTGACTATGATGATGAGCGGCATCTTGGTAAGTATGTATACCTCCCAACTTTTCAGAGTCAAATTCCTGAGATTTTCAACTTGTCGTGACCAGAATTTTCAAAAATGTCCCAGTGACTTCCAAAGTAATGTTTCCAATGATTTTCCAAAGACTTCTGGACTTTGTTGAAAATATCCAAAGTTTTTTCCGACAACCTTTGAGGACTTCCAAAGTTATTTAAAGGTTAAAGTTGTAGTGTGTTTTGATACAGTTAAGACCCAAGTCAACATTGTTGTATGAAGTCAGCTTGGACGCTTCCGAAGCTATCCACTCAGAGACATCATTTACGAGCGAATTCATGATATTCATTAATATTTTGGGGGAAACGGAATTGAATTTTCATTATGTGTTAAGGGACAGTTCGTCCAGATTTGTGAGTCAGGCATGAGAAATTGTCCATGATGTGTGAGATCGTTGTCTCTAGTCCACAGGTGTGAGACTCGCACACACAGCTGTAATGCATGAGAGTTGGCAGTAGTAGGAGTACCTGCTCCAAAAGAAGAAGTACAGTTTCAGACTTGCAAATAATTGTCTTTTTATAAAGGACACGTGTGACCAGATCACTGTTTTTGTCATAACTAGTTCACCTGACCACTAAACTCACTAAGTCGGGGTGTTTTCTTGTTTTTTTCAGGTGTGTTTTGGGTTAGTTGTGAGGCAGGAACTTATATCAGAACCCTCTGTGTACACATTGGCTTGTTAATGGGGATCGGTGCACACATGCAGGAACTTAGGAGAGTGCGCTCTGGAATTCAGTCTGAGAATGTAAGTCAACCAACCACCCAAGTGTGCTAAAATTAGAAATAGATATTAAGTACAACTAAGAAAATAATAATATAATGCTCGGAAAAAAATTCAAGCCCCCAGCGGGAATCGAACCCACGACCTTCCAAATACAGGCACGACGCACTAACCACTTAGCTATGGGCAACTCACATGGTGAGCAGGTCGCAGGTCAGGACTTCGCATCTCACGTGTATGCTGGACTAAAGCAAAGCAATACACCAACTTGCTTGCATCACACAAGCACCTTAAAAAAGTGTTGTGTACACTTCAAAGCCAACCATCCACCCATGCCATTAGCATGATGAAATTAGAAATAGATATTAAGTACAACTGAGAAATGCTCGGAAAAAAACCCGAGCCCCCAAGTAAGTGATGGGGTTTTAAAAGTAGCTGAAGTCAAAATTCTGCAAAATTCCAAATTTATTTCATTTTTGTAAAATGCTGCAAAAATGAATAGTACCATGTGAAAGCACTGCCATTCTTTTGAATGATCACACTGTAGGGTTTTGTCCACAGACTCAAAAGTCAGATCAGCCTTGGCTTACAAGACTCTCTCATTCATTCTGTTAGTGAATAGACTAAGGGGGCCAGATTCATTGAAACTTTGCTGTTTAGAGCTACAGTAAAATGGGCTACCAAAAACGTGCGACTTGTTTTCAGTTGTAACATTGCTGCAAAACAAGTTGAAAAGCGATGTGGCCCATTTTACCACCCATGTTCGAACCTGTCTTGAGCAACGAATAAGGTTGCAAGGTTTATTTTCATGGGTAATAAAACGCACAACCAGGGGGTTCATTAAGGTTTTGAACAGGAGGGCAACTGAGTTTGACACCCGGGCAAAGAATTGGCAAGGCCGGGAGGGTTTGCCCCCTAGTGGGTTCTGGGGGCATGCTCCCCAGGAAAATTTTGAAATTCTATAGTCGCAAGGATGTGTTTTCCTGCATTTTGAGACTGCAGACCATGACTTTCAATTCATTGGTGTAAACCATAAGACGAATAAAAAATAACGCTTCGCTTCATTGAACACGATGATTAGGCCATTAAATATATACTGGCAAGTAAAAGGTCAAATCACAAAGAAGTCTATTCACCTCTTGGCCTTTCCTCTACCGGAAGCCCTTTGGCTGAAGCTGAAAAATAATCTGCCATTTTCTGAGCCGCCATGATCACGTACTCGCAACACTGATACATTTCAGGTGGTCGTTTATGAAACACAGTTCTTTTCGCAATGTGTTATGGGGCGATTCTTGTTTTTAACACATAACGAACGACATGCCGCGTGTAATAAAGTGGAAATTGCACGGCAAAGTATGTTTTATACTCGATAAGACTTATCAAGAAAAGGGCGCGATTGTAACTTAAACTGTTTTTGATCGTTCCTTGTATTAAAAAGAAGTTCTTTGAGATGTAAAGCAGCCGGGCAAAGTCGTGTTCACAGCCGGTCAATTTGCCCGGTGTCCGGCCCTTAATGAACCCCCTGCACAACATCACTGTTCGACTCATTTTACAGCAAAGTCGCAAAGCAAGTTGCACATTTTTTGTTGCCCATTTTACCACACCTTAACTATCAGTGTGCTTGGTGCCCTGTACATGTACATGTATATCTTACGCATTTTGTCGGTCATGTTTGTCGGCTTGTGTGCAAAAACATGACATCTTAATATGTGAAAATAACATATATGTACAACTACTGTATTTTTATGAAGACTGGTTCTGATATGCCGCTGAGCTACCTGTGACATGCTGCTGGTACTGCCTGCAACACTGTTCCAACATGAGAACAGAAGTTGTCAGCAACAGAGGGTGTGTCAGTCTTTACCGCTGGCATGCCTGTGAAGTTGACTCAAGTTCAAGATCGCAGGCATGCCAGCGGTAAAGACCTGTGATGTTTCTTTTTGCCGGTGGCATTATGTCCTCACATGCCGCAGCAGTATCGCAGGCAGCATCAGTGGCTATGTCCCAGGTTCTTCGGTGGCATACATGTATGAGAACCAGGCTTAATGCATCTTATTTTCTTTTTTAGGATAATATGGCCACCATGCATGACATTCTTGATGCTCAGTGGATGTATGATAATTACAAAGATGGTAATAAAAAGTTACTTAAATTATTATTATTATTATTATTATTAATTACATAACATTATGTATAGTAAATTAGGAGATAAACTGGAGAGCAAGGGCGGTGCAGTAGTGAAAGCACTCCCCTTGACCCACCAATGTGGCTCTGGTTTGAATTTTGAAGGCAAGCCCATTTGTGAGTTGAGTTTGCTGTTGGTTCCCTTCCTTGCTCCATTAATTTTTTCGCTGTTCACCTTGATTTTTGTCTTTCCCATAAACCAATGTTTCCAAAGTCCACTACGATCAGGACAGTGGATGAAGAATCACTACATGTGTGGATGTGTTTTGCTTATTTCTTTCTTTCTTTTTTAATATTATAACAGACTGGTTATTAAGTAGGGTTCAAACCCCGTTGAAGTCCTGAATTTTTTCAGGCTTCTTTATGCAATTGCATAAATTGCGTTCACTGCAACAATCATTTCTTCATTTTCATTTCATTAACACTCATTTCTTTCACGGGAACATATGAACCCACAATTGACCTGCTCCCAACGTCAGTGGCTTCATAGCTCAGTTGGTAGAGCATCGCACCGGTAATTGCGAGGTCACGGGTTCAAACCCTGTTGAAGTCCTGAATTTTTTCAGGCTTGTTTATGCAATTGCATAAATTGCGTTCACTGCGACGATCATTTCTAAAAACTCATTTCAAAACCTCTTTTATTTTTATTTTTATATCAATTTAGTAGTATTTAAATACAGAATGACCATACCAATGCATTTGTAACATATTTTTTTTCCAGAGTCCTACCTCCGCCGCTGTATCAAACCACTTGAAGCCTTGCTGACCTCTCACAAGCGTTTGGTTGTAAAAGATAGTGCTGTAAGTGAGAAGTTGTTTTCTGATCATTAATTATCAGCTGTACATTTTTCTGTTAAGTTGTGTTGCTAGCTTTAAAAAGACAAAGCATAAAGTGATGCCTCTGGTCACTGAAATGACCAAAGGCTATGCAACTGATATGTTAAGGTTCACTTACTCTGAATTCCAGGCCATACTGCTGGCTGGTCCCAGATTTGATTTTAAATATTTTATTGTGATTAAGCAGTGTTTATCTTCCATGTTTAATTTTTGTGTTTTAGGTGAATGCTATTTGTTATGGGGCTAAGCTTATGCTCCCCGGTCTCCTGAGATACGAGTCTGGGATAGAAATGAATGAAGAGATAGTTATTATGACAACCAAAGGAGAAGCTATTGCTCTTGGTGAGTGCAGGGTTTTCATTAAGAATTCTAGTAGCAGGAGAAAGGTTTATATTCTGAAAGAGGCTCCACGTCTGAATAAAAAAACAATAGTCACAGGCCCCGAACGTTAGCTGGAGAAATCTGCATAGCAAACAGGGAATTCTGCTATCTCCGATGTCTAATCAACACCCTGTGAGTGTCAGTCAGTTACTATTCAAAGTGCTTAATAAGTCATTGGCCGGTTAGCCAATAATTGAATCATGCAGTCAGCAAAGCATTAAGTTGTACACTGTACATCAGCATTATTAATCAGAAAGTCAGTCATTCAGCATTGATAAATCTTTTTGATCAACAATTAGGTGTTGGTCAGTCAATCAGTCATTTGTTAGCCGCATTTTTAACAAAATCAATTAGACAGCCACTGCACGTTCTCGTAAACAAAATAACAATAATGATAATAATAATAATAATAATAATAATAATTGAATATTTATCCAGGATAACCCTTCCGTACCAAGTACAGTTATCAACAGGGTCCTCCTGACTATTAATTATTAATAACTAATAAAATTAATGAGAATAACAGAAATATATAAGAGCAGACATGCACTAAGTTAATAATCGTTTAAAGCTACAATTAAATTACAATATAATAGTCGTTCAAGGCTTTCCTAAATAAAACTCTAGAATTAATGTTTCTTAAATTTAAAGGCAATGAATAAAATATCAAGACACCTAAAAAAATAAAAACTATGGAGTGCAAAATCCAGTTTGACCTTGGGCAGTTTTGCTGTTTTTCCATTGTTTATAGTGTTTAAAGCATTATGATGTAACCCAGATGTAATCATTGAAAATAATTCTTAAGTGGAAAACATGCAGTTCCATTTAGACTTGGGAAGGCAATGAAATAATTATAATCAGCTCAGTTCTGATGTCAGTATTTTATTCCACATGTCTTAAAGTCAAGTTAGTACAAAAAAGGTCCTAATAATGCATTCTTGATTGTTAGGCATTGCTCTTATGACAACAGCAGTCATGGCGGCATGTGACCATGGCGTTGTAGCAAAGATCAAGAGGGTCATTATGGAAAGAGATACATACCCCAGAAAATGGGGCCTGGGACCCAAGGTATGAAGACATAATTTGAATAATTATTATTGTTCTGATGCAATATTTTATAATCAAATATAAAAATCAGAATCAATAAGGCAGAGCTGAGATTTCCTAGGCCTAGGGTATGAAGTTACACCCTTATTTAGGCACCAATGTCAGCGCTCAAAAAAAACTTGAATTCCGGCATGTCCTTTGGGCAAGCAGCTCTGTCATTTTGCTTGCCTTTGGTAACTTAACTTCCTTGTCTTTGGTAATGATTCAGTTGGAGCATGACCTGCCTGGACCCTTCCTTGCCCATCGGGCAAGTGAGCTTTAACCCTTTCACTGCCAAATAAGCCAAGAGAAAATTTCGACCAAATTTCCAAAGTTTACTTTGTGAAAAGGCAAATAGCACCATGTGTAGATACAGGCAGAGAGGTTTCATTTGAATGGTCACATCATAGATTTTCACCCGCAGACTCAAAAGTTAGAGTCACCTCACAAAACTCCATCAACCACTCTGGCAGTGGAAGGGTTGAAAGTTACTTGTCCAACAAGAAAATCTACTCATCCCAGACGACCAAACAGGACTTTTTTGGAGCCCTGAATGTGCCTTAATTCCCCACCCTGGTGATCAAATCCTGAAAGTTAGTGCATTCGACAAATTGGTGACTAGAGTTTGTCGCTGCACCCTACTTGAAGATGTTATAAACTGTTCCAGATATGTAAAAATAACATCTATGACAGTGTTTGGCATCCAAAATCTTTGGTTGTAGCCGAAACCCAGCATTCTTTACAAAGGTAGATACATTGTATATCCTGTCCTATAGTGTCCCCTTTTAGTAGTTTAACTTTGAAAGAGATTCGGTGTTGATAACCATGCGATTTTGTTTGGTTTTATTTCTTAGGCTCTGCAAAAGAAGCAGTTGATCGCCTCTGGTAAACTGGATAAACGTGGTCGACCAAATGAGAACACACCCAAGGAATGGATTGAAAGCCATCCTGATCTCAGGTTAGCGCTTACTTAACAAGTTGACAGCAACTTTCCATGATCTGTTTAACAAAATTAATAGATTCCATGTAGCCGTCTGTGATCTATTACTGAACAGGCCCACTTCAACATGAAATCTATTTGTTTTACACAATGATCAGAAAAAAAAAAACGCCGATGCAAATACCTGCCTCATACACTAAGGCAACTGTTGTGAAGATTTCTCTCAGTTTGGGCATTCTCACGTTGTCAAGAACTCTTTTTGTCTTTATTTCTCCATCTTTAATCTTTGTAAATAGCTCCTTTTAAACTTTTTTCGAGGCTTTCACGTAATCTCACAAACATTTTCAAAACCGCGCGCCATGTTGAACAAAACAAAGAAAACAAGTTTCCCGTGACATCATCCATGTATTAGTGCCGTGGAACCTCGATAACGAAGGGCCAAGGGACTTTTAAAATATGTTCGCTATAAGGAGGTTTTGTTATATCGAGGTTCTTTTCCATATATTTTACTGTTCCTGTGGTAAAAAGATTGTGACCTGTATTTTAGACCTACCAGAAAAAAATCTTAGGTTCAGGTTTTGTGCATTGCTTTGTTTTAGTTGTCTTTTGTTGTTGCGACAGAATACCACTTTAAGTCTTTTGTGACTGTAAGTGATCAATCCAATTCTTTCCATCTGTAGTAGGCAGAAATCCCCAGTATCGTCACAAGAACTTTCAACACCGGAAGAATCTGGTGAGGCTGTGCAGGTGAAACAAGAACCAGTTCCTGGTGCACCTGTGACACCTCAAGAAGTAGAAGAAAGAAAAAAGGTACGTTGCTGTAAATACAGGGTGTGGAAGTGGAGATATTGTTCCGCTTCCCGAGTAGTAGTCAAATCCCGTATCCCGTTGAACCATTTTGCGTTTTCCTGAACCCTGTACTGTATTTCGGTCCAATCCCGAATCCCGAGAATGCCCTTCCAGACCCTGTAAATTAATCGAGTCATTATGGCTCGTTTCTTCTCCGCAACTGGGGAACAGGGCGGAAATCGTCTTTCTTCCCACTTTAAACATGTTTCTGTTATCCGTGAAAGTATCACAGTGAGGGGCGATTGGCCCCATGCCAAACCCCCAACTTGGAATGATAGCCCAGAGGCTGTTTTTAGATTGGCCTCTCACCCTTGACTATTCCGGCTTGGTTAGACCTACCAGGAGTAAAAATCCGCCGGCATAGCTCTTGGGCTGTTTAAGGTCCCCTAGCTTCACCGCCACGAGATGGCGATGAGCATAGGGTGAAAAATACGATAGTAAGTCTCTCGGGATCATCAAGGCTCACAATCTTCGCCACCATAACCAAAGGCAGACCAACATCTGTTTACGTGGCCGTGGTTGTTATTGAAATCTGGGCATCGATCTTTTGTATTCAGTAGAAGAAATACAGATGAGCATTACGGCGGCTACAGTTTACTCCAAAATACACACAACTGCCACACGACACGAACAGAGGGTGGGACAAACCCAGGGTAGAGCCTGTAAGTAAACGATGGCTGATATAATTAGCCTTTGTACAGACAAAATCGCGGCTGTGCGCCCTATTTCCGCGTTATTTTTCTTGGGGTACATTTATTTGTCTGTCTCACATACCGAGATATTAACCGTAGCATTGACTTTGTCTACGCGGAAGTGGCCGTGTGCATTGCGTCTTGTCCCCGAAAAAATTTCACAACCACTGTACCGTGAGGCTCGTAAGCCCAACCCAAGCATATCGGCAGCTATCATGGCCGATTCTTTTCTGCCTGCTTGCTCATTGATGATTTGTCCTCGAACAGAGAAAACGAGACGCGGAGGGAAGCGATGAAGATAAGGATACGCCGAGCAAACATGATAAAAAGAAATCCAAAAAAGACAAAAAGAAGGCCAAAGAAAAAGAGAAAGAAAGCTCTGACGAAGTAAGTAATAGTATTTATATGACTTTTCTTTGACAACTAACTTTTTTTATAGTAGCCCTTCATGAATCAGTAAGTCATCCTGGATCAGCTAAGATCTGAGTTGATATATCCCACTTTTGATTAGTTTATCTGGCTTCAACTGACCATATTAATTTGTGATCCTTCCTTCCCTGTAACAGGAAAAGAAAGAAAAGAAAAAGAAGAAAAAGAAGAAAGAAAAAGAGAAAGAGAAGGCTAAGAAATCTGATTCAGACTCTTCAGACTAAGTAAAAAATCTCCAAGATGCTCCTCTATTAAAGACAAGTCGCCCAATCTCGAGACAAATCGCCGAAACGTACACTACAGGAAACGTTCAGCAGTGAGATGGCCCGCTATTGCTCTACTGCTGTCTGTGAGCCGAGGTTACCATCGTTGGAGTGTTTTGTCCAGGGCGAGTTGTCTTTAGAGCGTTTTGACCTGCTATCGGATTTAGCGTTGTACATACGTGCATGTCGATGAAAATAACTGACACTGATTTTGTCGGTCAATGGCAAGCTAGTGCAATCTTCAGGTAGCTATGACTGGCGCTAGTGAAAACGGTTTCATTGGGGTAGCTGCTAGTTTAATTGCTAGTAGTTTTGGGGCATAGGAAAGCGAAAAAGGCTATGGCTTCTTAATTAGGAACCATTGGCCACGAAGCCAGACATGAAAATTACGGAAGAAGCGATGATACTCTTTGCGAACAGCGGTAGAAAAACGGTTTTTACTCCCAACAGTTTACCCCAACGAGATCCTGTTCGTAAAATCAAAAAATTAAAAACGAAAAGAGAGGATTTAAGAGCAGAATGTAGCAATAAAAATAGTGTTCCCAATCTTGCTAGAAAGATACTTCAGAGTCGTTTGCCGTGCGCCAATTTTACAGCGAGTGTATAAGAATGCAATCGTTGTAACTTGGGTATTTGTCTCAATTTCAAGCGGAGTGTTATCTTTGTAATATATTCTTACTCTTTTTTATCTTCAAATCTCTCATGTAACAATGTTTACCTCCCCAGTGAATAAAATGTGTAATAGCAATCAGGGTCCGTGTGTTTCTAATGATCCTTTCAAATCTTTTCCTAAACCCAAAAGAAACAGGAAGCGTGACATACATAACAACAGAATTTATTACACAATATTCAAGCGTGTAGATCCCTCATTATACAATGTAAAAAGACTAGGAAGTCAAGATACTTAATACAACCTTTTGAAACCGTTAAACACTAGCTTACGACGCATGCGTTAAGAAAGTAAAAATACAATGAATCTGTTTCGTATAAGCTGCACACGATTAATCCATTTTCCGAACACGTCGTATCAAGAAAAAGCAACTTAGAAAACCTACGTAATGTTTCTTTCCTTAACCTTATTATAGGATTAAAAACTTAATTTTCAATTAATACATCTAGAACATCTTGCTCTAAGAAGGTGAAATACAATTTCGAATAAAATGCTTACCATTCCTAACACGTCATAACAAGAAAAAAAACTTAGAAAAGCTACCTAATGTTTCTTTCCTTAATCTTATTTTAGAATAAAAACCTAATTTACAGTTAATACATCTAGAAATTCTTTCCGCATGGTGTAAGTCTATTTTGAACAAGTTGTAAGCGAATATTTCACAGTGCATAACTCGCATTTCACAGTACAGCACCACACAAATTTACATCTGCACTTGACCTGTTTGTAATGTTCTTTGGTTTGAGCCCGCAAGTTACAAGATTGACAAAGAGATCTGCATTGCTTGGTGTGTCCAGCGTCACTTGTACAGGTTCTTCCCAGCATTCCAAGAGAGCCAGCTGTAGTATTTCGTACGCAGTAGTCTGGGGACGAGTCTAAGTAAACAAGCTTCTTGGATTTCCTTGATAGCGGTCTGTCTCGGCCTTCTTTCTCGTGAAGTTTGTTGTTTTTGAATGACACTGGAACAGCTGTGAGGTACTTCTGCTTAAGCGCTGATCCAACGACGGCAAAAGGAGCCAGCTGCTTCCAGCAGGTTTTCAAGGTACAACTGCCAGTGACGCCATGACACTTGCATTCTTTTTTGAGGCTTCCTCGAACAACCTGTTTTAAACAAATAACAATCATTCTGTCAGACCATTGTAGTTAAAACTGGCAAGACAAAAGAACTGCTGGGTAAAGTTTGAGCTTGAGTCAATCAATGTAGGTCATCGTGCATGTTTAATTACAGGACTTGGAAATTGAAAAGTAGCGCAATTTGCGGTTGTACAAAGGAAGTCTAAGAAACTGTGGTATGTCCCACACGAGATTTGACGGATTCTTTTTAAAACGATGACGAAGAAATTCCCCATGTACGGCAAACTCTCGGCCACAAAATCCCGAGCATTATACCAAACGATATAAACAACGAAAATGAACTTAGGCTAACAAGTTTTCAAAAACCCACAACTTCAAACCTTTCTCCATCCGGGCCCCACTTTTGTAGGCAGTTCCTACTCTTAGAATTTTGGCATAATTCGTAACATAACCTCTGTAACTTTTTAAATCCTCTACCTCTTATGATTGGTCACGACACACATTTGCCGATTTTATGCGAACGATAAATAATGTCGAGTCAGTTTACCTTTCTTCCCACTTGATTATTATGCAGGTTGAATACTGTGCGAGCGTCGTTTCCTTTCTCTAGTCTGTCGATGAAGCGTCTCGTCTCCTTTTCTCCATATTTGGTGTTATCGCTGCATCCGCCCCATTCCCACTCACGGTCTCCTTGCAGCTGTTTTCTCGTTTTACCGCATCTACATCCGGGGATTCTATTGCGTGCGCATTGAAGAGTGATCTCGTGTGTAATGGCGGCGCTGCTGATGGCGTGAAGAAAAGCGGTTTCCCGAGTGGCTGTACAGATTTAAGATTACATTGGATCATTATACGTTTCTGGGAAGCTGCCCACCTACCCCTCCCTAAACCAGCATTTTGCCTTAATTGAGAAGTAAGTGTTAATGTTGGCCTAGGTATATTAGCAACATAGATCAATTGTTATCAGAGGTTCACCGACAGTCTCTTTATGGCAACGGGCAGTCCTTGATGATGATCAGTTATGCACGGCTCTGTCGTATTCTTGACACCAGCTAAGACTTAGCTTCGCCTTTTTTGGAAGAACTGCTCTGTGTAAAAATGTTTAGTCAGACTAAGTTTTTGTCTTATTAAAGTTGCCATGCAAACTTCCTCGAGAGAAAAAAAAATTAACAAAAATTTCCAATATTTAACGTCGCACGTGAGTTTACAGTTTCTGCAGATAGTACTTAAAAACATTGAGCAGAAAGTCTCAGGAGCCCGTTTGGGCTCTGGTTGATTTTGAAGGTTGTTACATTATAAATATCTCTGGTATCTTGATATTCCTAAGTCAGTCCCTTAGTTTTTTGTTTAGTTGTTACTAAAAGTTTTCTGTCTAATTATTACTAAAAGTTTTCAGTTTTCGATCCATATTCACTGGCTGTTGGCCTTATCTTAAACAACAAAATGTCCGATACTCACCCTGTGGCAAAGTGGTTTTAACAAAGATAGGCAACTGCTGAAACACATTCTTGTTGACCAGGGAACAGTTCCATATCTCTTTCTTAAACTGTCTCTGACATTCCTGTAATCCACGATGGCCTCCCTCTTTGACAATGCGCAGTAACAAAGGATAATTCTAGCATTAAAAAGAAGAGTTAAAAAATTAGAAAAATATCGACACGAAATTATTAGAATGTCAAGTTATTCACTTATGACCGTCAATATGAACGGGAAGACAGGCGTAACTGAAAGAAAAGCGCTGTTGTCGAAAATAATAAGAAGTGAAGGGTCGTCTTTGGTTTTCTGTCAAGAACTTCCAGGCTTTTTCCAAAGAGACGTGGTCTCTGATAAATATGATTTCGTTAAAACTGAGAATCAAGCGGCTGTAATGTGGAGTAAACAAGATTTTGATGGCCGGCCCGTGGATGCCGGGTTCAAAAGAAAAATCTTTGACACAACACCGGACACATTGAAGGAAATTGATGCCAACACCTCAAGCGAGATATCTGTGCGAACTGCAGTCGTCAAGTTAACGGCTAAAGGAAAAGAAGCTAACTTTTCGCAGCCCCCTTTTTTAGCAGTCTCGTGGCACGGACCTCACTCAGGAAAGAGAAAATGGGCACTGAAGGATAAACAAAAAGCTTTGAAAGGCCTCATTCTCTTTTTGTACGAGGTATGCCGTAAGATAAAGGATGTATCCTTAATTATCATAGGAGGAGACTTCAACTTGAAAACTTTAGAAAAGAATGGCTTAGAAGAATTGAACGTACACTTTCAAAGTTACGAGTTGAGCGATCGGGCCACTGTGCGCAAAGATCGTAAAAATTACATCTCCTACAAGGATAATTTTGCCATTACAACTACTTCGTCTTCTGGGGCTCACTCTCTTGAAGACATGAAATTGTCGGAAGTGAAGCCCCTTTTACGGTTTGAGTATGTGAAAGAAGGCGAAGGTGAGAATGGAGAAGATATCGATATATTGGACCACGACCCCATCATAGGCGTTCTTCAGCTTGGGAAAACTCCGTCAACTGGTAAGTTTTGGCCTAAAACTAATTGTTACATTTTCTGTGCTCCTTGAGATTTTCATTTGCTTCGTAGAAAGTAGAGAAGTACAACACTTCTCCATTGGTACCAATGGTACGATTGGTACCAATGGAAAAGCACCCTATTCCAGTGGTTCTATTGGTGAATATGCATCCTATTAAGGAGACTTAGATTGTTTCCTCATGTGATCTAGCTGGGTACAGGGCAATTCCAATGGTCCATTGGTACCAATGGTACGATTGGTACCAATGGAAAAGCACCCTATTCCAGTGGTTCTGTTGGTGAATATGCATCTCATTAAGGAGACTTAGATTATTTTCTCATGTGGTCTAGCTGGCTACAGGGTAATTCCAATGGTCCATTGGTACCAATGGTACGATTGGTACCAATAGAAAAGCACCCTATTCCAATGGTTCTGTTGGTGAATATGCATCTCATTAAGAGAGTTAGATTATTTTCTCATGCTGGGTACAGGGCAATTCCAATGGTCCATTGGTACCAATGGTACGATTGGTACCAATAGAAAAGCACCATATTCCAATAGTTGTATTGGTGAATATCCATCTCATTAAGGGGACTTAGATTATTTTCTCATGTGGTCTGGCTGGGTACAGGGCAATTCCAATGGTCCATTGGTACCAATGGTACGATTGGTACCAATAGAAAAGCACCCTATTCCAATGGTTCTATTGGTGAATATGCATCTCATTACGAGAGTTATATTATTTTCTCATGTGGTCTAGCTGGGTACAGGGCAATTCCAATGGTCCATTGGTACCAATGGTACGATTGGTACCAATGGAAAAGCACCCTATTCCAGTGGTTCTGTTGGTGAATATGCATCTCATTAAGGAGACAGATTATTTTCTCATGTGGTCTAGCTGGGTACAGGGCAATTCCAATGGTCCATTGGTACCAATGGTACGATTGGTACCAATAGAAAAGCACCCTATTCCAATGGTTCTATTGGTGAATATGCATCTCATTAAGAGAGTTAGATTATTTTCTCATGTGGTCTAGCTGGGTACAGGGCAATTCCAATGGTCCATTGGTACCAATGGTACGATTGGTACCAATAGAAAAGCACCATATTCCAATGGTTCTATTGGTGAATATGCATCTTATTAAGGAGACTTAGATTGTTTCCTCATGTGGTCTAGCTGGCTACAGGGTAATTCCAATGGTCCATTGGTACCAATGGTACGATTGGTACCAATGGAAAAGCACCCAATTCCAATGGTTCTATTGGTGAATATGCATCTCATTAAGGAGACTTAGATTATTTTCTCATGTGGTCTAGCTGGGTACAGCGCAATTCCAATGGTCCATTGGTACCAATGGCACGATTGGTACCAATGGAAAAGCACCCTATTCCAGTGGTTCTGTTGGTGAATATGCATCTCATTAAGGAGACTTAGATTATTTTCTCATGTGGTCTAGCTGGGTACAGGGCAATTCCAATGGTCCATTGGTACCAATGCTACGATTGGTACCAATAGAAAAGCACCATATTCCAATAGTTCTATTGGTGAATATTCATCTCATTAAGGGGACTTAGATTATTTTCTCATGTGGTCTGGCTGGATACAGCGCAATTCCAATGGTCCATTGGTACCAATGGTACGATTGGTACCAATGGAAAAGCACCCTAGTCCAATGGTTCTATTGGTGAATATGCATCTCATTAAGCGGACTTAGATTATTTTCTCATGTGGTCTAGCTGGGTACAGGGCAATTCCAATGGTCCATGGTACCAATGGTACGATTGGTACCAATGGAAAAGCACCCTATTCCAGTGGTTCTATTGGTGAATATGCATCTCATTAAGGAGACTTAGATTATTTTCTCATGTGGTCTAGCTGGGTACAGGGCAATTCCAATGGTCCATTGGTACCAATGCTACGATTGGTACCAATAGAAAAGCACCATATTCCAATAGTTCTATTGGTGAATATTCATCTCATTAAGGGGACTTAGATTATTTTCTCATGTGGTCTGGCTGGGTACAGCGCAATTCCAATGGTCCATTGGTACCAATGGTACGATTGGTACCAATGGAAAAGCACCCTACTCCAATGGTTCTATTGGTGAATATGCATCTCATTAAGCGGACTTAGATTATTTTCTCATGTGGTCTAGCTGGGTACAGGGCAATTCCAATGGTCCATTGGTACCAATGGTACGATTGGTACCAAAAGAAAAGCACCCTATTCCAATGGTTCTATTGGTGAATTTGCTTCTCATTAACGGGACTTAGATTATTTTCTCATGTGGTCTAGCTGGGTACAGCGCAATTCCAATGGTCCATTGGTACCAATGGTACGATTGGTACCAATAGAAAAGCACCATATTCCAATAGTTCTGTTGGTGAATATGCATCTCATTAAGGGGACTTAGATTATTTTCTCATGTGGTCTGGCTGGGTACAGGGCAATTCCAATGGTCCATTGGTACCAATGGTACGATTGGTACCAATGGAAAAGCACCCTATTCCAATGGTTCTATTGGTGAATACGCATCTCATTAAGGATACTTAGATTATTTTCTCATGTGGTCTAGCTGGGTACAGGGCAATTCCAATGGTCCTTTCGGGATTGTCGCGTGCACTTTTCCCGACAACCATTCTCGAAATAGCTGTATAAAACGGCTCTCTTAGGAGCCACCACGTACAATACAAAGTCATAACCAACAGCATGATATAACCACCCTTTTCGGAAACTCTTCATTGAAAACTTGTTTTGGTTTAAACGCTTCCATGTAGATAATGAAATTGCGCTAAGAAATTTCAGAAGTTAATTTCACAGTGAGTTGAGTACAGTTGTTAAAACCTGTTGCCTCAATACCACTTTGCTAGTTTCGCGCCTTTCCGCGTTGTTTCGGGTTCTTTTTAAAAATAGTACTTGCGTACAGGAAAGAACACATTCATATGTCATGTTGTTGTTTGCTCGTGAATCACAATAAACAGAACGAACCTTGAGATATTATTAGCGCTAGATATATAGGTCGCCCTCGCTTTGTAACTATTAGTGCGTTTCTACTTTGTGTGAAAGCGAACTTGTTTTGCGTGGTTAGCCAATAGAACGAGGAATATTCATAAGAATTATGGCGCGTTTTTAATTGGTGTAACAGCGAACTTGTTTTGCGTGGTTGGCTTATAGAACGAGGAATATTCATAATAATTATTAGCGCGTTTTTACTTGGTGTAAAAGCGAACTCGTTTTAACTTGTTTTGTGTGGCTGGCTTATAGAACGAGGAATATTCATAAGAATTATAGCACGCTTTTACTTGGTGTAAAAGCGAACTTGTTTTGCGTGGTTGGCTTATAGAACGAGGAATATTCATAATAATTATTAGCGCGTTTTTACTTGGTGTAAAAGCGAACTTGTTTTGCATGGTTGGCTTATAGAACGAGGAATATTCATAATAATTATTAGCGCGTTTTTACTTGGTGTAAAAGCGAACTCGTTTTGCGTGGTTGGCTTATAGAATGAGGAATATTCATAATAATTATTAGCGCGTTTTTACTTGGTGTAAAAGCGAACTTGTTTTGCATGGTTGGCTGATAGAACGAGAAATATAGCGCGCTTTTACTTGGTGTAAAAGCGAACTTGTTTTGCGTGATTGGGATATAGAACGAGGAATATTCATAAGAATTATAGCGCGCTTTTACTTGATGTAAAAGCGAACTTGTTTTGCGTGGTTTTCTTATAGAACGAGGAACGTTCATAATAATTATTAGCGTGTGTTCACTTGGTGTAAAAGTGAACTTGTTTTGCACCAATAGAACCATTGGAATGGCATCATTTTCCATTGGTACCAATCGCACCATTGGTACCAATGGACCATCGGAATTGCCCTGTACCCAGCCAGGTCACATGGGAAAATAATCTAAGTCCTCTTAATGAGATGCATATTCACCAATAGAACCATTGGAATAGGGTGCTTTTCCATTGGTACCAATCGTACCATTGGTACCAATTGACCATTGGAATTGCCCTGTACCCAACCAGGTCACATGGGAAAATAATCGAAGTCTCCTTAATTAGATGCATATGCACCAACAGAACCATTGGAATAGGGTGCTTTTCTATTGGTACCAATTGTACCATTGGTACCAATGGACCATCAGTTTGACGAATCGTATCCGTTTGTGCATATTGGACATGTGTGAGTCAGACGGCACATCCCCACCACAAATTGCCAGGAATGCCCCCCTCCCTCCACACAGGAAAAAAGATCGAAGGTATGAACAGGGCTGCACAGGCAGCCCAGTTAAAAAGCCGCGCATGCGTATTTGGACAACTTAGGCACGTGGAAACATGGCGGACGCTGGTGAGTGCGTTGATCACTTTGATTTTCTGTAATTTGGTGCAACAAAGAAAGGCTTCTTGCTCACACATTTAAGGCCGTTTTGTTTATTGAATTATTTTCTTGCAGAAGCTGTGCCGCGCAAGAAGCACAAAAAAGACAAGCGTAAATCTGAAGAGGACATAGGTAATGTCTGCATGTGCAGCGCGCTTACAAAACAATCTGGATACAATAGGCTGTGAAATGAGTTGTTTTGTAGTGTTACTCGTCCTTTGGAAGAAGCTAGTCATACTTAACGCATTTCTACTGACGATCGTTTCGTATCGATCGTACAGGTTCTTCAAAGAAAGAAAAGAAGGTCATTAGCGAGGCGGTTGATGTCGACTCTTCGAACCATGTGGGGGTGAGTTGGTCTGCCACTTCCCTCGCACATAACCTTAATTTGCGGATATATTCTCTGCTAATTATCTTAAAGTAGCTGCTCAGTTGTATCGCTAAACTGGCGTTGCACATCATTATAATTAGTAGATTAGTAGATATAAAATTAACTAATTGTTCACTGCTTGTTGGATTTTGGTTACATCAATTGTTTCTCGACAAATAAAACGGGATTATTCTGCGATCTTGGTCTACAACGTTATGACGAGGCGGTCGTGTTGGAGGTCAATGAATGTTATTTTGCAGAATTTTCTTGAAAAAAGGACTTAAGTTCCCTGCAAGGGATCGTTTTTGTTCTTATCATCCAACATGGTGAACTTGTAATCAGTTGCAAACCAGCAGTAACTGTTATGGTTGTGTAAAGTGCATAGTATGATCTTGAGCACTGCTCATGAACACACCAGGCAATAAGTTACAGCTACACATCACAAACCAATTCATGTGTACTGAAGAATTTTTGTGAAAGCTTTGTGTCTACAACAGAATTTTGTTGTCACCCCCCTAACGTCACAACATGTTACACAAAATCAAATCAGACTTAATTTGTGCAACTTGTTGCAGCTACAAAATTCTGTTGCTAAGACAAAGATTCCCACTAAAATTCTCCAGAAAACACGAAGGGATTTGTCACTATAACATGTGGTGCAACTTGTTTCAGTGATTTTTCGCCTAACTTGCACACACAGAGTGATTTCACGGATTTGTCATGGCAACGTGTTGCACCTCAGAGTATTAGGCCCTGTTTGTACAATGGACGATTCTGTTTGTTCTGTGAAAGAAATCAGTCAATGGGAAGCAATTTCTTGTGCAAGAAATATTTTTCACCTACCTTAACTTTCTCAACTGTTGCCAGACTTCAAAGATACCATCCATTAGCTTTGGAAACCTACAATGTTTTGTCAGGTGACAAAATCTTTTGTCCCTTGACAGGTATCCTGCGTCAGGTCATCTTATATAATGAGCATCTCTGGTCACAGGTGCAAGCATGGTTCCAAACGTGAACTAACAATTACAAAATTTTCAAATTTTTTGCAGATGCCAAACTCATTTTTTTTTTTGTCACAGTGCAAACAGGGCCTAATTTTAGAGGCATTAGTCCCAGCATAGTTATAGCCTGTGAACAGGCTCTCTGTTTGGGGAAAAAAATTGCGAGGAAAGGGAAGAGAAAAGGGGGGAGAGAGAATGTAGATAAACATTTGAGGCCACTATTCTGCCGTCTTGTAATTATCCTGTCGATCATCTGTCAGTAAGATAGTTATCAGTCAATCAATTTTGCGCGTGAGTAACTCTTGGGAAAATTGATGGGAAATGAGCTGTGTTTTGCTACGTCTGAAAACAGAGTGAAATGGAGTGCGAGCCTCATTGTCGATTTAGCAAAAAGTCGTTCATTATTGGAGCGCGTACTTCCTCCCTTGGTAATAGCTTTTAAATTAGCTTAACAGTCTTTGGTCTATTTTGTTATTGCCACTTTGTGATCAAATCGTACACTATGTGCCGACCGAAAAGCCGATGTCGATCAGACCTGTCAACAGTCTGTGTTCTGGCCAACAGGAGCTTGCATCAGGATCTGATGCACAGCGGGTGCCGTGGAACGGTGGTCCCAATTGTTTGTCTACAGGCCTTTTCACTTTTGCCTCTCCTCAGTTCCCTGCTCGACCAAAAGGGCTAGCATAGTTAATGAACATCGTGACAATGAACAAATTTAGTTTGTTAAATCAATGCAGTTGTCTTAAAGGGAGTGTAAATGAAAACACAGAAGCATTATAGTAGAGCCCTGTGGCCCCTGACACCTAACTTTCACTCTCAGGAGACTAGGATATATTAGTTTTTTCATACAAATCATAATATTATGCTGGGCACCCTATGTTTTGCAGTTTCAGAGCACTGGGTTCTCTTCAATATTTTCCTTAGAGCACAGCTTTGGTTATAGGTGCAAGTTTGAACATTACAATGCAATGTAACTGTCAGCCTTGAAAACTATGGGTGCTTTCCAAAAGTCAGAACTGGCCTGCCAGACCATGGCGGGGCAAGTCATTTTGACAAAGAAATAAGCTTTTTCCAAGAGTTTTTGCTGAAAAACATCTCCTTCGTACAAACTATTAGGATTTGACTGTTCTTAGTAGATATTTTTTATTAAAAGTGAAATTCCCAATACAACAGTAATGGTCTGGCCACTCAGTTCTGACAAATGGAAAGTGCCTGAGGATAAAAACATAATATTTTGTGTCACATTACTCACAGGAGACCCAGCATGAAGAAGATTTTCATTTAAAGCCGACATCCAAGAGTGAAGTGTTGGACACATCAAAGTGGCCTCTTTTGTTAAAGGTGAACCATCGTCACATCATTGGTGTTCAATATTGTTACTTTATCTGCATAATGTACTTTCAGGAACTCAGTTTTGAATGTTATTGCTGAAAAAATATCCCCCCGAATAGGTCATAATGATAAAGCATAGAAATTCAAGTGTACTATATCATTGTCAAAAAATAAAGCACCCTTTTGAAGTGAAAAGTTGTCTGAATATAAGTTTTTAGCTGCTCTAATACTTTGTGAATTTAAATCTCAGAAGGATCCTTAATAATTATTCTCTAGTTTGAATTTTGATCACGTTATGTGAAAACTGGCAAATTACTGCAATAATATCAACTACACCATACTGTGGGGTTGGGGTTCTTGTTTTGAAAAACAAAGATTTCCTAAGACAGCATTTTACTGTTTGCTTAAAAAATTAAACAAGACTTAACTGGAAGTTAAAGCTTGATATTAATAATATCACTACACCGATTCATGGAGTCAGAAGGGGATTCATTCACATTCTTGCTCTTGTGATCCCTGAACACGGTAATGGTGATGTAGAATTCTAACCGAACTTGGTCATTGCTCAAAGTTCTCAAACATACTGTTGGTTGCATCTAAGCCTGAACATGTGAGGAATAAACTGTGAATTCTAATTGGATGCAAACATGACATGTTTTGCCGCGAAGCATTCAGAGTTAAGAACAGGCAGCTGTTGTTGACTTGATTTGTTTTCGCTCAACAAAATACTCTTTGCAAAAATTTTGAGACGTTAAGAATAATTTCTGGAAGCAAGTTTGCTTTTTTTGATCAAGAAATGTGCCTGAAATATGAGTAGAAGGCACTGATCAAAAGCATATAAACAACTTGCCTTTGGCATGACAGTTTGCTTTAATGGCTGTCAAACTTCAAATGTTTGGCGGCACCCTGTTAGAACATGTTTTCTTGTCTCGTGTCCACGCTGAGATGCAACTGGTGGTAAACTTGTTTTGGGATTTTGAACGTTTATAGTAATGCTCTGAAATAATGAAAATTTTACATTGCTTTGTTTTTGTTGACAGAACTATGACAAGCTGAATGTCAGAACTGGTCACTTTACACCTCTTCCAAATGGATGTTCGCCTTTGAAAAGGGATCTGAAAGATTATATTTCGTGAGTTGATAAGTCATTATGATGGGATGATAGTTAAACAACCATTTTGATTATTTTAAAGATGAACAAATACTAGGCCAGATGACCCACTGCTGTTGCATTTTATGTGTGGGGATCATTCTATAATTTTCAGTGTTCTCCTTATCAGGCGGTAACGGGTAAAATTTGCTGCCTGAAGTAACACTTCTTACTGCCTGCAACCACTTGAAGGTTTACTAAAATTAAATAAAAAGTGTAAATAAATCTTATCCAATTCTCTCAAGGAAATAAGTGAATATATGGAAAATTACTAAAGTACACACAGCTTTTCTTTTTGTGGGTCACACATCTTGGAAAGAGAACATTGAAGACAGAGTAAAAATTCATTATTGGAATTAAATGTTTTAAATTGTTGTCTAAAGAAGACCATGGCCGATTTGCATAACGCAGGTTTATTTTTTTTTTATTAGGAGTGGATTTATAAATCTTGACAAACCGGCCAATCCTTCATCTCACGAGGTATGATTAAATTTTCCCCTGATCTTGGTTTGGTATTTTAAGAGAATTTAATATTTCAGTGATTTTGTTATCTGCATCCTGCGTCCCTAATGCATCAAAATTCCAAAAGACGCAAAATAATTCATGGTATGCGTCCCGTAGGATGTAAAGATCGATCGATCAATCTGAGCATGTGTATTTGAAGAAATGTCCCGTTCGTGTAATTTCTGTGGCAGTTATTATGGCTGTTGTTTAACAATGCATGTTTCTTTTAGCCTTTGTTGTGCTTTAAAAAAGAAGGACTACACCATGTATATTTTAATTTTAGTATACTGTAATACAGAGCTTTCTGTCTTCAGATTAACTGTCTGGTTACATAAACGCCCATATGCAAGCGTTATTAATTTCGGACTTGGTTTTATTTTTACTGGGACTCATTGGTTCTGGGCTGGGAGCAGTCATGACTTTTCACAAGATGAGTCCCAGGACTCACCATAACTATTTGTAACAAAATCACTGGCAGGTTGTGGCATGGATCAGAAGGATTCTTCGAGTGGAGAAAACTGGACACAGTGGAACTCTTGATCCCAAGGTGACAGGCTGTCTGATTGTCTGCATTGAGAGGGCAACAAGACTTGTTAAATCTCAACAGGGTGCAGGTATACAATAATGATCACATTACTTTTCTTTCTCTTTGACATGCATCTACATATATGCAGTTATGTATGTTTGACCCATTGGGTGATTCCAGAAAATATCCATACCCTACCACGGGTGGCATGAGTATTTTAACCCCCCCTTGCCCTCGGAAATTCCAAAATGCTTATCCCCCCCTTGCCCTCCGAATTCCAAAATCACTAACCCCCCCTCTCCTCCGGAATTTTCCACTTTTGTTTCAGACCCTTTGGAATTCCTGTTCGTCTGCCTAAATCTTCAAACGAACGAGAAACTTGCACTTTTTCCCTCTGCAAAAGAATTCGGTTCATAAACAGTTTTGAATTAAACAGCGCATCAAAAGGCACGCTGTCGGATTTTACTACCTACATGTTGGCGTGAAAATCGGCGTGAAATACAAAATCTGTCAGGCGTTCTTTTTGGAAACGAGAGACTGGTGCGAGTTTTCAGCACGCAACAACACATCGTCGATCGACAATCGGCGAGAAACACCGACTTGGTTATATTTTTATTAATCAGTTGACTAATTCATCAACTTTAAGGCCTCTTCGATGTGGAGCTTGCTGCACAAACCATCTGCTTACCCATCTGCATGAACGCATACTTCTTCCGTGGTCGGTTCGTGCTTCATTTACAAACTGGGAATGTTAACAGGTCAGCGATTTCAAGCGGAGCTTTCGCCGTCTTTCCCCTGGAAATTCACTGAATTCAGAGCTGAAACACCCCCATGCCTTTGGAATTCCAAACTGCATTACCCCCCCCCCCCCACGTCTTCGGAATTCCAGTCCAAGAAACCCCCCCTCTCCCTCGGAATTCCAAGATGCCGCCCGTGGTATGGTATGGATATTTTCTGGAATCACCCATTTCACTCCTAGAAATTTTGCCAGAAAACACCATTTGTGCCAAATTAACCCCTTTTCTGGTCACTATTTACCAGAAAAAAACAAAACAGCCTAAAATATTATTCTTAAGTTGAGTTCTTTGCTGCAGTTTCTTCCTGATGCTAAATTACAGCTTCTGATGTTTGGATGTGTGGAGATTGCAAAAATTTGAGATAACACTGGAACGGACTTGCATTTTTTTTTTCAGTTCAGAGAAAGTGCATGAATAGAGGTTTTGTACTTTATATAGCACATATACACTGCACTGTCAACTGTAGTGATGTTTCCCTTCTTGTTTTGTGATTTTAGGCAAAGAGTATGTTTGTATTGTCAGGCTCCATGAAGCCATTGATAAAGTGGCAGATTTGTCAAAGGTTAGTACACACAGCATGCATTGAAACTTGTACATGTATGTAAAAGTATGATAAATTTTTAAGGAGGGTGTGAAGTACATGTGAAAGGATTGTAATCAAAGATAACACATGTTGCTCATGAAACTGCTGGTACAATTGTACATTGTTATTTTTGTATTGCATTGTATTCTAAACTAGTTTCTTGATTTGTCTCTTATTTGAGGCTTAGTGTGAACTTTCTAATTCTTTCTTTCAGACAATAGAAATGCTTACCGGAGCCTTATTCCAAAGGCCACCACTTATCTCTGCTGTGAAAAGACAACTCAGGATAAGAACAATTTATGAAAGCAAGCTTATTGACTACGATGATGAGCGACATCTTGGTAAGAATATACCTTCCAGTTTCTTCAGAGTCTGCAAATGCCTGAGATTTTCATCTTGTCATGACCAGAATTTTTTTCAAAAATGTCCCAGTGACTTCCAAAGTAATGTTTCCAATGATTTTCCAAAGACCTCCGAACTGTGTTGAAAATTTCCAAAGTTTTTTTCCGACAACCTTTGAGCACTTCCAAAGTTATTAAAAGGTAATAATTTTAGTGTGTTTTGATACAGTTAAGACACAAGTCAACATGATAGGTTTTTGGAAATATTTTTGGGGAAACTGAATTGAATTTTCATCATGTGTTAAAAGACAGTTTGTCCAGATTTGCAAGTCTAGTCCACAGGCGTGAGACTCACCCATACAGCTGTAATGCATGAGAGTTGGCAGTAATTTGAGTACCTACTTCAGAAGAAGAAGTACAGTTACAGACTTGCAAATAATTTCTTTTCATAAAGGACACATATGTGACCAGGTCACTGTTTTTGTCAGACAGTTAATCGGGCCCCTCCCTTATCTGACAATCTGGATCCACTACTGCTAAGTAGGTGTTTCCTTATTATTGTAGGTGTGTTTTGGGTTAGTTGTGAGGCAGGAACTTATATCAGAACCCTCTGTGTACACATTGGCTTGTTAATGGGGATCGGCGCACACATGCAGGAACTCAGGAGAGTGCGCTCTGGAATTCAGTCTGAGAATGTAAGTCAACCAACCACCCAAGTGTGCTAAAATTAGAAATAGATATTAAGTACAACTAAGAAAATAAGAATATAATGTTCAGGAAAAAAATTTGAGCCCCAGCAGGAATCGAACCCACGACCTTCCAAATACAGGTAGGACGCACTAACCACTGAGCTATGGGCAACTCATATGGTGAGCAGGTTGCAGGTCAGGACTTCGCATCTCACGAGTATGCTGGACTAAAGCAAAGCAATACACTGACTTACAGTACTTGTATCCCGCATCCACCTTCAAAGTGTTGTGTCCACTTTGAAGCCACTTTGGTGCCCTGTACATGTACATGTATATCTTACATATTTTGTAATACCACATGAGCTTTTATACAAAAACATGACATCTTAATGTGTGAAAGTAACATTTATGTACACATAGCTGCTGGTACTGCCTGCAACACTGTTCTGATATGAGAACAGAAGTCGTCGCCAACAGAGGACATGTCAGTCTTTACTGCTGGCATGTCTGGGAAGTTGACTCAAGTTCAACTTTGCAGGCATGCCAGCGGTAAAGACCTGTGATGTTTCTTTTTGCCGGCGGCATTATGTCCTCATATGTCAGAGTAGTATCACAGGCAGTATCGGCAGCTATGTCGCAGGTACTTCGGCGGCATACATGTATGAGAACCAGGCTTAACGCATCTTATTTTCTTTTTTAGGATAATATGGCCACCATGCATGATATTCTTGATGCTCAGTGGATGTATGATAATTACAAAGATGGTAATGAAAAGTTACTTAAATTATTATTGTTATTATTATTATTAATTACATGACATTATGTATAGTAAATTACTTGGGGAGCAAGGGCAGTGCAGTAGTGAAAGCACTCCTCTTGACCCACCAATTTAGCTCTGGTTTGAATTTCGAAGGCAACCCCATTTGTGGATTGAGTTTGCTATTGGTTCCCGTCCTTGCTCCATTAATTTTTTTGCTGTTCACCTTGATTTTTCTCTTTCCCGTAAACCAATGCTTCCAAATTCTCTACGATCAGGTTAGTGGATGAAGAATCACTTGTGGATGTGTTATGTTTATTTACTTCTTTTGTTTTAAATATGAAACACTATGGTTATTTTTTTCAAAACCTTTTATTTTTTAATAGTATTTAAATACATGTCAGAATGACCAATACATTTGTAACATTTTTTTTATTTAGAATCCTACCTCCGCCGCTGTATCAAACCACTAGAAGCCTTGCTGACCTCTCACAAGCGTTTGGTTGTAAAAGATAGTGCTGTAAGCGAGAAGTTGTTTTCTGATCATTAATTATCAGCTGTACATTTTTCTGTTAAGTTGTGTTGCTAGCTTTAAGAAGACAAAGCATAAAGTGATGCCTCTGCTCACTGAAACGACCAAAGGCTATGCAGATAATATGTTAAGGTTCACTTACTCTGAATTCCAGGCCATACTGCTGGCTGGTCCCAGATTTGATTTTAAATATTTTATTGTGATTAAGCAGTGTTTATCTTCCATGTTTAATTTTTGTGTTTTAGGTGAATGCTATTTGTTATGGGGCTAAGCTTACGCTCCCCGGTCTCCTGAGATACGAGTCTGGGATAGAAATGAATGAAGAGATAGTTATTATGACAACCAAAGGAGAAGCTATTGCTCTTGGTGAGTGCAGGGTTTTCATTAAGAATTCTAGTAGCAGGAGAAAGGTTTATATTCTGAAAGAGGCTCCACGTCTGAATAAAAAAACAATGGTCACAGGCCACCCGAACGTTAGCAGGAGAAATCTGCATAGCAAATGGCGAATTCTCCTATCTTGAATGTCTAATCAACACCCTATGAGTGTCAGTCAGTTACTATTCAAAGTGCTTAATAAGTCGTGGGCCGGTAGCCAACAATTAAATCGTACAGTCAGTGAAGCAGTTAGTTGTACACCGTACATTAGCATTATTAATCACTGAGTCAGTAATTCAGCATTAATAAATCATTTTGGTCAGCAACTAGGTATTGGCCAGTCAATCAGTTATTTGTTAGCGGCATTTTTAACAAAATTAATTAGACAGCCATGACACGTTCTGTTAAACAGAATAATAATCATGATAATGATAATAATAATAATAATAATAATAATTGAATATTTATCCAACAGGGTCCTGCTTACTATTAACTATTAATGACTAATAAAATTAATAAGAATAACAAATATATAAGAGCAGATATACACTAAGTTAATAATCATTTAAAGCTACAATTAAATTGCAATATAATAGTCGCTCAAGGCTTTCCTAAATAAAACTCTAGATTTAATGTTTCTTAAACTTAAAAGCAATGAATAAAATATCAAGAGACCGAAAAAATAAAAACTATGGTGTGTAAAATCCAGTTTGAACTTGGGCAGTTCTGCTGTTTTCCCATTGTTTATAGTGTTTAAAGCATTATGATATAATCATTGAAAATAATTCTTAAATGGAAAACATGCAGTTCCATTTTGACTTGGAAGGCAATGAAATATAATCAGCTCACTTCTGATGTCAGTATTTTATTCCATGTGTTTTAAAGTCAAGTTAGTACAAAAGTGTTTCTAACAATGCATTCTTGATTGTTAGGCATTGCTCTTATGACAACAGCGGTCATGGCGGCATGTGACCATGGTGTTGTAGCAAAGATCAAGAGAGTGATTATGGAAAGGGATACATACCCCAGAAAATGGGGCCTAGGACCCAAGGTATGAAGGCACAATTTGAATAATATTGTTCTGATGCAATATTTTATAATCAAATATAAAAATCAGAGACAATAAGGCAGAGCTGAGATTTCCTAGACTTAGGGAATGAAAATAACACCCTTATTTAGGCACCAATGTCAGTGCTCAAAAAAAACTGGAATTCCAGCACGTCCTTTGGGCAAGCAGCTCTGTCATTTTGCTTGCCTTTGGTAACTTGACTTCCTTGTCTTTGGTAATGATTTAGTTGGAGCATGACCTGCCTGGACCCTTCCTTTGGGCAAGTGAGCTTTAACACTTTCACTGCCAAATTTAGCCAAAAGCAAATTTCGACCAAATTTCCAAATTTTATTTTGTAAAATTTTAAAGAACTAATGGCTCCATGTAAAAGTGCAGGCAGAGAGCTTTCATTTGAATGGTCACATCATAGGATTTCATCCACAGACTCAAAAGTTAGAGTCACCTTACAAAACTCCATCAAACACCCTGGCAGTGAAAGGGTTGAAAGTTACTTGTCCAACAAGAAAATCTACTCATCCCGGACGACTGGACGGGACTTTTTTTGAGCCGTGAATGTGTCTTAATTCCTCACCTTGGTGATCAAATCCTGAAAGTTACCCGCAGTTGACAAATTGGTGACCAGAGTTTGTTGCTGTACCCTACTTGAAGATGTTATGAACTGTTCCAGATATGTAAAAATAACATCTGTGGCAGTGTTTGGCATCCAAAATCTTTCGTTGTGGCCGAAACCCAGCATTCTTTACAAAGGTAGATACATTGTATATCCTGTCCTATAGTGTCCCTTTTTAGTAGTTTAACTTTGAAAGAGGTTCGGTGTTGGTAACCATGCGATTTTGTTTGGTTTTTATTTCTTAGGCTCTGCAAAAGAAGCAGTTGATCGCCTCTGGTAAACTGGATAAACGTGGTCGACCAAATGAGAACACACCCAAGGAATGGATTGAAAGCCATCCTGATCTCAGGTTAGCGCTTACTTAACAAGTTGACAGCAACTTTCTATGATCTGTTTAACAAAATTAATAGATTCCATGTAGCCGTCTGTGATCTATTACTGAACAGGCCCACTTCAACATGAAATCTATTTGTTTTATACAAATACCTGCCTCATACACTAAGGCAACTGTTGTGAAGATTTCTCTCAGTTTGGGCATTCTCAAGTTGTCAAGAACTCTTTTTGTCTATATTTGTCCATTTTTAATCTTTGTAAATAGCTCCTTTTAAACTTTTTTCGAGGCTTTCACGTAATCTCAAACATTTTCAAAACCACGCGCCATGTTGAACAAAACAAAGAAAACAAGTTTCCCGTAACATCATCCATGTATTTGTGCAGTGGAACCTCGAAAACGAAGGGCCAAGGGACTTTTAAAATATGTTCGCTGTAAGGAGGTTTTGTTATATCGAGGTTCTTTTCCATATATTTTACTGTTCCTGTGGTAAAAAGATTGTGACCTGTATTTTAGACCTACCAGAAAAAAATCTTAGGTTCAGGTTTTGTGCATTGCTTTGTTTTAGTTGTCTTTTGTTGTTGCGACAGAATACCACTTTAAGTCTTTTGTGACTGTAAGTGATCAATCCAATTCTTTCCATCTGTAGTACGCAGAAATCCCCAGTATCGTCACAAGAACTTTCAACACCGAAAGAATCTGGTGAGGCTGTGCAGGTGAAACAAGAACCAGTTCCTGGTGCACCTGTGACACCTCAAGAAGTAGAAGAAAGAAAAAAGGTACGTTGCTGTAAACACAGGGTGTGGAAGTGGAGATATTGTTCCGCTTCCCGAGTAGTAGTCAAATCCCGTATCCCGCTGAACCATTTTGCGTTTTCCTGAACCCTGTACTGTATTTCGGTCCAATCCCGAATCCCGAGAATGCCCTTCCAGACCCTGTAAATTAATCGAGTCATTATGGCTCGTTTCTTCTCCGCAATTGGGGAACAGGGCGGAAATCGTCTTTCCTCCCACTTTAAACATGTTTCTGTTATCCGTGATAGTATCACAGTGAGGGGCGATTGGCCCCATGCCAAACCCCCAACTTGGAATGACAGCCCAGAGGCTGTTTTTAGATTAGTCTCTCACCCTTGACTATTCCGGCTTGGTTAGACCTACCAGGAGTAAAAATCCGCCGGCACAGCTCTTGGGCTGGTTAAGGTCCTCTAGCTTCACCGCCACGAGATGGCGATGAGCATAGGGTGAAAAAATACAATAATAAGTCTCTCGGGATCATCAAGGCTCACAATCTTCGCCACCATAAAAAAACGCAGAACAACATCTGTTCATGTGGCCGTGGTTGTCATTTAAATCTGAGCATCGGTCTTTTGTATTCCGTAGAAGAAATACAGATGAGCATCACGGCGGCTACAATTTGCTCCAAAATACAGACAACTGCCACACGATACGAACGGAGGGTGGGACAAACCTAGGGTACAGCCTGTAAATAGACGGTGGCTGATATAATTAGCCTTCGCACAGACAAAATCGCGGCTGTGCACCCTGTTTCCGCGTTATTTTTCTTAGGGTACATTTATTTGTCTGTCTCACATACCGAGATATTAACCATAGTATTGACTTTGTCTACGCGGAAGTTGCCGTGTGCATTGCGTCTTGTCCCCGAAAAAATTTCTCAACCACTGTACTGTGAGGCTCGTAAGCCCAACCCAAGCATATCGGCAGCTATCATGACGATTCTTTTCTGCCTGCATGCTCATTGATGATTTGTCCTCGAACAGAGAAAACGAGACGCGAAGGGAAGCGATGAAGATAAGGATACGCCGAGCAAACATGATAAAAAGAAATCCAAAAAAGACAAAAAGAAGGCCAAAGAAAAAGAGAAAGAAAGCTCTGACGAAGTAAGTAATAGTATTTATATGACTTTTCTTTGACAACTAACTTTTTTTATAGTAGCCCTTCATGAATCAGTAAGTCATCCTGGATCAGCTAAGATCTGAGTTGATATATCCCACTTTTGATTAGTTTATCTGGCTTCAACTGACCATATTAATTTGTGATCCTTCCTTCCCTGTAACAGGAAAAGAAAGAAAAGAAAAAGAAGAAAGAAAAAGAGAAAGAGAAGGCTAAGAAATCTGATTCAGACTCTTCAGACTAAGTGTAAAATCACCAAGATGTTCCTCTATTAAAGACAAGTCGCCCAATCTCGAGACAAATCGCCGAAACGTACACTACAGGAAACGTTCAGCGGTGAGATGGCCCGCTGTTGCTCTACTGCTGTCTGTGAGCCCAGGTTTCCATCGGTGGAGTGTTTTGTCCAGGGCGAGTTGTCTTTAGAGCGTTTTGACCTGCTATCCGATTTAGCGTTGTACATACGTGCATGTCGATGAATATAACTGACACTGATTTTGTCGGTCAATGGCAAGCTAGTGCAATCTTCAGGTAGCTATGACTGGCGCTAGTGAAAACGGTTTCATTGGGGTAGCTGCTAGTTTAATTGCTAGTAGTTTTGGGGCATAGGAAAGCGAAAAAGGCTATGGCTTCTTAATTAGGAACCATTGGCCACGAAGCCAGACATGAAAATTACGGCAGAAGCGATGATACTCTTTGCGAACAGCGGTAGAAAAACGGTTTTTACTCCCAACAGTTTACCCCAACGAGATCCTGTTCGTAAAATCAAAAAATTAAAAACGAAGAGAGAGGATTTAAGAGCAGAATGTAGCAATAAAAAATAGTGCTCCCAATCTGGGCAGAAAGGTACTTCAGAGTCGTTTGCCGTGCGCCAATTTTACAGTGAGTGTATAAGAATACACTCGTTGTAACTTGGGTATTTGTCTCAATTTCAAGCGGAGTGTTACCTTTGTAATATATTCTTACTCTTTTTTATCTTCAAATCTTTCATGTAACAATGTCTACGTCCCCATTGAATAAAATGTGTAATAGCAATCAAGGTCCGTGTGTTTCTAATGATCCTATCAAATCTTTTCCTAAACCCAAAAGAAACAGGAAGCGTGACATACATAACAACAGAATTTATTACACAATATTCAAGCGTGTAGATCCCTCATTATACAATGTAAAAAGACTAGGAAGTCAAGATACTTAATACAACCTTTTGAAACCGTTAAACACTAGCTTACGACGCATACGTTAAGAAAGTAAAAATACAATGAATCTGTTTCGTATAAGCTGCACACGATTAATCCATTTTCCGAACACGTCGTATCAAGAAAAAGCAACTTAGAAAACCTACGTAATGTTTCTTTCCTTAACCTTATTATAGGATTAAAAACTTAATTTTCAATTAATACATCTAGAACATCTTGCTCTAAGAAGGTGAAATACAATTTCGAATAAAATGCTTACGATTCCTAACACGTCATAACAAGAAAAAAAACTTAGAAAAGCTACCTAATGTTTCTTTCCTTAATCTTATTTTAGAATAAAAACCTAATTTACAGTTAATACATCTAGAAATTCTTTCCGCATGGTGTAAGTCTATTTTGAACAAGTTGTAAGCGAATATTTGACAGTACATAACTCGCATTTCACAGTACAGCACCACACAAATTTACATCTGCACTTGACCTGTTTGAAATGTTCTTTGGTTTGAGCCCGCAAGTTACAAGATTGACAAAGAGATCTGCATTGCTTGGTGTGTCCAGCGTCACTTGTACAGGTTCTTCCCAGCATTCCAAGAGAGCCAGCTGTAGTATTTCGTACGCAGTAGTCTGGGGACGAGTCTAAGTAAACAAGCTTCTTGGATTTCCTTGATAGCGGTCTGTCCCGGCCTTCTTTCTCGTGAAGTTTGTTGTTTTTGAATGACACTGGAACAGCTGTGAGGTACTTCTGCTTGAGCGCTGATCCAACGACGGCAAAAGGAGCCAGCTGCTTCCAGCAGGTTTTCAAGGTACAACTGCCAGTGACGCCATGACACTTGCATTCTTTTTTGAGGCTTCCTCGAACAACCTGTTTTAAACAAATAACAATCATTCTGTCAGACCATTGTAGTTAAAACTGGCAAGACAAAAGAACTGCTGGGTAAAGTTTGAGCTTGAGTCAATCAATGTAGGTCATCGTGCATGTTTAATTACAGGACTTGGAAATTGAAAAGTAGCGCAATTTGCGGTTGTACAAAGGAAGTCTAAGAAACTGTGGTATGTCCCACACGAGATTTGACGGATTCTTTTTAAAACGATGACGAAGAAATTCCCCATGTACGGCAAACTCTCGGCCACAAAATCCCGAGCATTATACCAAACGATATAAACAACGAAAATGAACTTAGGCTAACAAGTTTTCAAAAACCCACAACTTCAAACCTTTCTCCATCCGGGCCCCACTTTTGTAGGCAGTTCCTACTCTTAGAATTTTGGCATAATTCGTAACATAACCTCTGTAACTTTTTAAATCCTCTACCTCTTATGATTGGTCACGACACACATTTGCCGATTTTATGCGAACGATAAATAATGTCGAGTCAGTTTACCTTTCTTCCCACTTGATTATTATGCAGGTTGAATGCTGTGCGAGCGTCGTTTCCTTTCTCTAGTCTGTCGATGAAGCGTCTCGTCTCCTTTTCTCCATATTTGGTGTTATCGCTGCATCCGCCCCATTCCCACTCACGGTCTCCTTGCAGCTGTTTTCTCGTTTTACTGCATCTACATCCGGGGATTCTATTGCGTGCGCATTGAAGAGTGATCTCGTGTGTAATGGCGGCGCTGCTGATGGCGTGAAGAAAAGCGGTTTCCCGAGTGGCTGTAAAGATTTAAAGATTACATTGGATCATTATATGTTTTTGGGAAAATGCCCACCTACCCCTCCCCTAAACCAGCATTTTGCCTTAATTGAGAAGTAAGTGTTAATGTTGGCCTAGGTATATTAGCAACATAGATCAATTGTTATCAGAGGTTCACCGACAGTCTCTTTATGGCAACGGGCAGTCCTTGATGATGATCAGTTATGCACGGCTCTGTCGTATTCTTGACACCAGCTAAGACTTAGCTTCGCCTTTTTTGGAAGAACTGCTCTGTGTAAAAATGTTTAGTCAGTCTAAGTTTTTGTCTTATTAAAGTTGCCATGCAAACTTCCTCGAGAGAAAAAAAAATTAACAAAAATTTCCAATATTTAACGTCGCACGTGAGTTTACAGTTTCTGCAGATAGTACTTAAAAACATTGAGCAGAAAGTCTCAGGAGCCCGTTTGGGCTCTGGTTGATTTTGAAGGTTGTTACATTATAAATATCTCTGGTATCTTGATATTCCTAAGTCAGTCCCTTAGTTTTTTGTTTAGTTGTTACTAAAAGTTTTCAGTTTTCGATCCATATTCACTGGCTGTTGGCCTTATCTTAAACAACAAAATGTCCGATACTCACCCTGTGGCAAAGTGGTTTTAACAAAGATGGGCAACTGCTGAAACACATTCTTGTTGACCAGGGAACAGTTCCATATCTCTTTCTTAAACTGTCTCTGACATTCCTGTAATCCACGATGGCCTCCCTCTTTGACAATGCGCAGTAACAAAGGATAATTCTAGCAATAAAAAGAAGAGTTGAAGAATTAGAAAAATATCGACACGAAATTATCTGAACTTTTTAAACTATGTGTAAACAGGATAAGGAAATTCGTGGAGCAATTAACAGTTGTTTCGCAAAGGAATAAAACTATTAGAAAAGCTTTTGTAAGTTACAGGCCAGACGCTCGAATGATATACTATGATGCCACAAGAGAGAATGGGCGAAGAGAGCGAATCCTTGTGACCCATGATAATTTTTTAAAATCTAATCGAAAAACCAAATTACAAAGGTTAATAAGGAGGTGCTGTATGTTATTTCAGTTCATTTCGACTTGCATCGCTAATCGACTTTGTATTGAAACATACCTTGTTTTGAGGGGTGTTGCTTGAAGAGTCGCCGGATCTGAAACAATAACACAAAATAAAATTTTAGTTGTCGTAGAATCCGGGCAAATACTCTACTCTTTCACTGGTCGAATGTTGGATCTGACTATTAACTATAGTTGTAATATTTCCGAGAAAACTAGTTTCCTCTGAGCCTAAAATACTCCTCGACAACGTTATTTTTCTTCATCTTTATGTTTCAACTTTAACTTTCCCGCACTTCGCAGTTTAGTTACGCTTGGGAATACTGTCAAATACCGTATTTCAAAGTCATCACATTCTTTCATCAAACAAGTATTAGATCTAACTTTCAACTAGCGTGGTAATATTTCTGTGAAAACTTTATGTTCCAACTTTTGCTCTGTCGTTCCTCGGAGCTTAGTTACGTTTGGAAATTTTATGAAATTATAACTGTAGTTTGCCCGTGTCTTCGGGTAAGATTTAGGGCGGGAAGCGAGGCTCTCCGCTACCACGCACGTAAATTGTCTCACTTGCTTTTAACGTAAAGTTAATAACTCGAAATTGACTTATTACGTATCATCGCCTAGCTTACAAAGTGTTGCTTTTGTGTCTTTCTGCCTAAAACTTTTACTTTCCTGTCGTCTGCAACTTAGTCCAGTACGCTTGGAATTTATTTGCTTGCCTCAGATTGTAGCGCGGAAATCAAGGCTGTCGCCTTCCACGCGCATCCTTTTTTGTAACTTGCTTCTAACATAAGGTTAATAAAAGAAGTTTAACTTACTTGCTTTTACAGAGTCCTTGCTGTGTGAGAAGCAAAACGAAAAGAACCACAGAGAACAACATAGTAAGCTTCATACTGAACGTTTGATCTTCTTTGTTTGAGAGATGAAATCAACTGTTTACAAGTTTGTAAGATCTGTCTTTATATACCCGACGAACTTGTTGTTTGATAAAATCAATCACAAAAGGTTGATTAATTGAGCACGCGAACAAAAGAAAAGCAACTCGCGCGAAACGAGGTGCGAGTTACTAGCATAAATTAGAGAGGTGAGATGTTTATTGACGTAATGACAGAGGTGAGACTTTTTGAAAACAATCACATTGAAAACACAGTTTTTGACCTAGTTTTCCATTTTTTTCGCAAGTAATTTTGAAATGGTTCGACTTTTAGTTCTACATGAGTCCAAAGAAACAGTTCTTGTATTATTCAACTTGGTGTAAAACCGGATGTGTTAGACCGAAGTTCTTCTCTATCCTACATCCAAAAGTAGCAAAATGCTGACATAAATGAGAATGTTCGTTTCATCAGCTGTTCCGAAGCATGCACTAGCTGTTCGAATATCTTCTATGCCGTAATGAAGTCTTACAAGTCTGTTTACAATTCATTCTGTTTTTCCATCGAAATGCACCACACGCGCGCGATAGTTGAAAAATATTGAAATATTTCGGCGTCTATTTGCGCAGATAGTTTTATCAACTGAGTCGGTAAAATCAATTGTCCACGATGTTAAGACAACCTCGTCGGCGAGGCTTTTCCTTGAGCGAAAAGTTTCAGTTTAATCTTTTATTTTATTTAAACGCCTTAATTTTCTTGACTTGATAATGACGTCCGAGCACGTCGAAACGTTGTTGCATATTTTTTAACGTTTTTAAAATTTCTTAAAATGTTTTTTAGAAAAATTTTTTCCCAATCTTTTATTGCTTACTGATTTGATTTATGATGGGCAATTTACTTAAATGTTCTTTTTTGTGTTAGACGCATAACTTTTTTTGAGAGCAAGTTTTTATATGAAAAAATTTTCGAGAGGATTGATTAACTTAAACCCCTCGGATGAGCTCGAAAATTTGTCTTTTTATTCCAAAAACAACTTGCTTGAAAAGGGAAATTTGCGATTGGTAGTATAACAAGCAATGTCACTCCCTGATTACGATTAACCTTGCAATTTTTTCACCACAAAGCCTTCCATTCATAGCGTACTCTCCAGTAGATCATTTTTAATGCTGGCAAATAAAGACCTTGCGGTGGAACTTGCTGAAGAAGAAAAGCATTATTTTTGTCCACAATGAAAACAAATGGAAACACCGACGAATGCAGACCTAATACGTTCCTTCATTGTCCTCTGACAAGTTAGACTGTGAGCCGTCTCTCTTTTACTTCAGATTTTGTGAGGGAAGAGCAAGCGCGCGCGAACGGTAAAGCGTGGTCATTTTCGCATAGTCAGTTTCGTCTCTCGTGCGTTGAGCTCAACGGACGAAGAAAAAAGAGAGACTCCTCGTAGTCTACAAGAAAGTGGTCGAAATTCGCGAGCACGCGTTAAAATTCTTACCCAGGAAAAGTAGGTATTTCTCGATCGAGCTCGTATTGTATGACAAGTAGTTTGATTTTAGTAAAATCATAGCGCGTGTGTCAGACCACTTAAGTTAAATTGTTTAAGTTTAATAGTTTAAGACACGCTTGAGGGTTTGTTTGAGTCCACTCTTTTATCCAAGCAAGTGCTATCGTTTTTTCATGACAGTTGTGACAATAGGCTTATTAAGCAACAGAACGAGAACGTCAGTTGACGACAGCGCGCGCAAATCAAACAACTGGCTTGACCAATAGCAGAGCAGCAAATTGGGCATTGGAAGTCGAGTTTCGTCCTTTCCGCGCGCTTTCCCGTCGTCAAATGACTTTCCGTTCTGTTGCTAAATCAGCCGAAAACTAGACGCGAGAGTCACTCGAAGATTTTTTAAAGTTACTAACGTAACAGCTTCCCAAAGATTTTTTTTTTCCTTTTTGGTTCTCGCATTTTTTCCGCGGTTGGGCTTTATGCTTGTTCAATTCTGTTTAAACTCTAGAAACTGCGTGCTTAAAATTTAAGCTATTGAAGTCCCTTTGAGGCATGATTTTAATATATCGCTCCATGAAACAGCCAATTCCATCAAAACATTCCCGAAACAATACATTCTTTGGCAAGGATGCGAGATTATTTATTGCGCGCGAGGCGGGGTGCGAGATTTCGGCATTTTAGAGGATCTGAAAGAGAGGTGAGACTTTTTACTAACAATAGCTTGTGGGCGAAGCCATTTAATTATTATCAATTCTTTGCCAGAGAAAAGACTTAAGTTTTCACAGATACTATTGTTTTTCTCTTAATGAAAAATTTAGGAAATATTGTCAGTCATTAAGTGCCCATAGCTTGCGTCGTACTGGAAGAAAAATACCCCACGTAATGTGAAGATGCGAAAAATCATTAGTAAAGAACTTCTCTATGATCGGCGTGCGTGGCCTTCTCGCAGAAAGTGTGAAATACTAAGATTAATAAGTTTCCTGGCTTCGAATACAGCTCTCATTTGCTATATTACGAACTGTACACAGATGCGTCAGAGGTTCTAGATATCCATTCAAATCACGTGAGGTCTCAGAAGACTTCACTTTCGCTGTAACTGGTCTACATCTGCACTCATAATTTTAGGCCTAGATTTTTAATAGTTTTTTTCTTAGTAATGCTTGATTTTCCTTTTCTCATTCTTAAATTATTCATAATTGTAAATGGTTTTCTATGGTGGACATATATTTGGCTTTTACTTTGTAAACAATACGATATAGTTTGAAATTGTAAATATTACTTATTGTTCTGATACTTAAATAAAGATAAGTTCACATTTGTGCTAAAAACGCGACAAGTGAAAATTTGTTAAACGATGTTTTTCTAGAAGATGTCGTTGTGCCAGTCATCCTAATGATTCCATTTGAAAATAAGTTTGCATAAGCAGTTTTCTTGTCCTTTGGCCGTGAAAATTGTAACAGTGATGTGTATAAGTAAACTTGGACTCAATTTTTATTTCAATATTTGCTGGAAACTGTCCTCGACTTCTGATTGGTTAATATCTGCATGAAAGAATTTGAGTTAATTAAAGGAGATCACACTTTTGGGCTCCTTGCTGTAAAGAATAGCGGTAGAAAAACGGTTTTTACACCCAACAGTTTACCCCACCGAGATCCCCAGCAAACCGGTCGTAAAATCAAAAAGTTAAAAACAAAAGGAGAGGATGTAAGGGCAGAATGTAGCAATAAAATTTGCTCCCAAACTGGGCAGAAGTTGAAGACAGTTCAGAGTCGTTTGTGCGCCCATGTTACACCGAATGTTAATAAGAATACAAACGTTGTAACTTGGGTATTTATCCGAGGTTCAAGCGGGATGTTATCTTTGTAATATACTTCTTACTCTTTTTTATTTTCAAATCTGTCCTGTTACCATGTGTACGTTTCCAGTGAATAAAATGTGTAATAGCAATCAGGGCCGTGTGTTTCCAGTGCTCCTTTTAAATCTATTCCCAAACCCAAATGAAACACGAAGCGTGACATACATAACAACAGAATTTATTACACAATATTCAAGCGTGTAGATCCCTCATTATATAATATGAAAAGACTAGGAAGTCAAGAAACTACAGATAGTAAAATACAACGTTTTGAAACCGCTAAACACTAGCTTATGGCGCTTGCTTTAAGAAAGTGAAATTAGAATGAATCTGTTTCTTATAAGATGCACATCATTAATCAATTTCCGAACTTATCGTACCAAAAAAAAGCAACTTAGAAAAACTGCGAAATGTTTCTTTCCCGAACCCTGTTACAGGATTGAAAACTTAATTTACAATTAATACATCTAGAACTTCTTACTCTAAGAAGGTAAAATACAATGAATCCCCTTTCGCATAAAATGCTCACGATTCCTAACACGTCATGACAAGAACTTACAAAAACTACCTAATGTTTCTTTCCATAACCTTATTTTAAGATAAAAACTTAATTTATAATTGTTACATCTAGAACGTCTTTCCGCATGGTGTTAATCTATTTTGAACAAGTTGTAAGCGAATATTTGACAGTACATAACTCGCATTTCACAGTACAGCACCACACAAATTTACATCTGCACTTGACCTGTTTGTAATGTTCTTTGGTTTGAGCCCGCAAGTTACAAGATTGACAAAGAGATCTGCATTCCTTGGTGTGTCCAGCGTCACTTGTACAGGTTCTTCCCAGCATTCCAAGAGAGCCAGCAGTAGTGTTTCGTACGCAGTAGTCTGGGGACGAGTCTAAGTAAACAAGCTTCGTGGATTTCCTTGATAACGGTCTGTCCCGGCCTTCTTTCTCGTGAAGTTTGTTGTTTTTGAGTGACACTGGAACAGCTGTGAGGTATTTCTGCTTGAGCACTGATCCGACAACGGCAAACGGAGCCAGCTGCTTCCAGCAGGTTTTCAAGTTACAACTGCCAGTGACGCCATGACACTTGCATTCTTTTTTAAGGCTTCCTCGAACAACCTGTTTTAAACAAATAACAATCACTTTGTCAGACCATGATAGTTAAAACTGGCAAGACAAAAGTACTGCCGGGTAAAGTTTGCGCTCGAGTCAATCAATGCACAGGTCGTCGTGCATGGTTAATTAAACGACTTGGAAATTGTAAGATAGCGCAAACTGTAGTTGTACCAGGGAAGTCTTAGAAAATATGGTATGTCGCACTAGATTTGATGGATTCTTTTTAAAACGCTGACGGAGAAATTCCCTATGGACGACAAAATCACAGCTTCTTGCCCAACAAACATTTAATTTCCTAAGCATTATACCAAACAATATAAACAACGAAAATGAACTTAAAAAAATTGTTAGGCTAACAAGTTTTCAAAAATCCACAACTTCAAACCTTTGTCCATCCGGGCCTACTTTTTTAGGCAGTTCCTTCTGTTAGAATTTTGGCATAATTCGTAACATAGCTCCTTTAACTTTTTAAATCTTCTATCTCTTATGATTGGTCACGACACACGTTTGCCGATTTTATTGGAAGGATAAATAGTGTCGAGTCAGTTTACCTTTCTTCCCACTTGATTATTATGCAGGTTGAATGCTGTGCGAGCGTCGTTTCCTTTCTCTAGTCTGTCGATGAAGCGTCTCGTCTCCTTTTCTCCATATTTGGTGTTATCGCTGCATCCGCCCCATTCCCACTCACGGTCTCCTTGCAACTGTTTTCTCGTTTTCCCGCATCTACATCCGGGAATTCTATTGCGCGCGCATTGAAGAGTGATCTCGTGTGTAATGGCGGCGCTACTGATGGCGTGAAGAAAAGCGGTTTCCCGAGTGGCTGTAAAGATTTAAGGATGACAGCGGATCATTATACGTTTCTGGGAAACTGCCCACCTACCCCCCTCCTAGGCCAACATTAACACTTACCAGGAGCCGGCTCCTGCACTTACTTCTCACTTAAGGTAAAATGTTGGGGAGGGGTAGGTGGGCATTTTCCCAAAAACGTTTAATGATCCAGCAACATAGATCAATTGTTATCAGAGTTTCACCGAGAGTCTCTTTATGGCAACGGGCAGTCCTTGATGATGATCAGTTATGCAAGGCTCTGTTGTATTCTTGACACCAGCTAAGACTTCGCCTTCGCCTTTTTTGGAGGAATTGCTCTTTAAGCATAAGCTTATATCAGCTTTTATCCTGTGAGCCATTCGCGCTAAACCAGAATTATGTGTAAAACTGTTTAGTCAGACTAAGTTTTTGTCTTTCATAAAAGTTACCATTCAAACTTCCTCGAGAGAGAACAAATTTAACGGAAATTTAGAATACTTAACGTCGCACGTGAGTTTATAGTTTCTGCAGATAGTACTTTAAAAACCTTGAGCAGGAAGTCTCAGGAGCCCGTTCGAGCTCTGGTTGATTTTGAAGGTTGTTACATTATAAATATGTCAGATATCTTGATATTCCCAAGTTAGCCTCTTAGTTTTCTGTTTAGTTGTTACTAAAAGTTGTCAGTTTTCGAACCATATTCACTGGCTGTTGTCCTTATCTTAAACAACAAAATGTCTGATACTCACCCTGTGGCAAAGTGGTTTTAACAAAGATGGGCAACTGCTGAAACACATTCTTGTTGACCAGGGAACAGTTCCATATCTCTTTCTTAAACTGTCTCTGACATTCCTGTAATCCACGATGGCCTCCCTCTTTGACAATGCGCAGTAACAAAGGATAATTCTAGCAATAAAAAGAAGAGTTAAAGAGTTAGAAAAATATCGACACGAAATTATCTAAACTTTTTAAACTATATGTATACAGAATAATGAAATTCTTGGAGCAATTAAAAGTTGATTCGCGAAGGAATAAAACTATTAGAAAAGCTTTTGTAAGTTACAGGTCAGCCGTACGAATGATATACTATGATGCCACTAATGTTATGTCAGGAACCGAAAAACCAAATTACAAAGGTTAACCAAACCGTTCGGCAGAGTTGCAGCAATCTTAAGGAGGTGCTGTATGTTATCTCATTTCATTTCGACTTGCATCGTTAACCGACTTTGTATTGAAACATACCTTGTTTTGAAGGGTGTTACTTGAAGAGTCGCTGGATCTGAAACAATAACACAAAATAAAATTTAAGTTGTCAAGAATAATCGTAGACTCGCGGCAAATACTCTACTCTTTCGCTGGTCGAGCGTTGGATCTGACCATCAACTATAGTTGTAATATTTCCGTGAAAACTAGTTTGCTCTGAGCCTAAAATACTCCTCGACAACGTTATTTTTCTACATCTTTATGTTTCAACTTTAACTTTCCCACTCTTCGTAATTTAGTTTAATAAGCTTGGGAATACTGTCAAATACGGTATGTCAACGTTATCACAATTCTTTCATCAAACAAGTATTAGAACTAACTTTCAACTAGCGTGGTAATATTTCTGTGAAAACTTTATGTTCCAACTTTTACTGTGTTGTTCCTCGGAACTTAGTTACGTTTGAAAATTTTATGAAATTATAACTGTAATTTACCTGTGTCTTGGGGTAAGATTTAGGGCAGGAAGCGAGGCTCTCACCTTCCACGCCCGTAAATTGTCTCACTTGCTTTTAACGTAAAGTTAATAACTCCAAATTGACTAATTACGTATCATGGCTTGGCTTACGAAGTGTTGCTTTTGTGTCTTTCTGCCTAAAACTTTTACTTTCCTGTCGTGCGCAACTTAGTCCAGTACGCTTGGAATATTATTTGCTTGCCTCAGATTGTAGCGCGGAAATCAAGGCTGTCGCCTTCCACGCGCATCCTTTTTTGTAACTTGCTTCTAACATAAGGTTGATAAAATAAATTTAACTTACCTGCTTTTACAGAGTCCTTGATGTGTGAGAAGCAAAACGAAAAGAACCACAGAGAACAACATAGTAAGCTTCATACTGAACGTTTGATCTTCTTTGTTTGAGAGATGAAATCAACTGTTTACAAGTTTGTAAGATCTGTCTTTATATACCCGACGAACTTGTTGTTTGATAAAATCAATCACAAAAGGTTGATTAATTGAGCACGCGAACAAAAGAAAAGCAACTCGCGCGAAACGAGGTGCGAGTTAGTAGCATAAATTAGAGAGGTGAGATGTTTATTGACGTAATAACAGAGGTGAGACTTTTTTAAAACAATCAGATTGAAAACAAAGTTTTTGATCTAGTTTTTCATTTTTTCTCGCAAGTAATTTTGAAATGGTTCGCCTTTTAGTTCTACATGAGTCCAAAGAAACAGTTATTGTATTATTCAACCTGGTGTAAAACCGGATGTCTTAGACCGAAGTTCTTTTCTATCGTACATCTAAAAGTAGCAAAATATTCTCTCACATAAAGGAGAATGTTCGTTTCATCAGCTGTTCCGGAGCATGCACTAGCTGTTCGAATATCTTCTATGCGGTAATGAAGTCTTACAAGTCCGTTTACAATTCATTCTGTTTGTCCATCGAAATGTACCACACGCGCGCGATAGTTGAAAAATATTGAAATATTTCTGCGTATATTTGCGTAGATAGTTTTATCGACTGAGTTGGTAAAATCAATTGTCCACGGTGTTGAGACAACCTCGTCGGCGAGGCTTTTCCTTGAGTGAAAAGATTCAGTTTAATCTTTTATTTTATTTAAACGCCTTAATTTTCTTGACTTGATGACGTCCGAGCACGTCGAAACGTTGTACCATATTTTTTAACGTTTTTAAAATTTCTCAAAACGTTTTTAAGAAAACTTTTTTCCCAATCTTTTATAGCTAACTGATTTGATTTATGATGGGCAGTTTACTTAAATGTACTTTTTTGTGTTAGACGCATAACTTTTTTTTAAGAGCAAGTTTTTGTATGAAAAAATTTTCGAGAGGATTGATTAACTTAAACCCTCGGATGAGCTCGAAAATTTGTCTTATTATTCCAAAAACAACTTGCTTGAAAAGGGAAATTTGCGATTGGTAGTACAACAAGCAATATCCCTCCCTGATTACGATTAACCTGGCATTTTTTTCACCACAAAGCCTGTCCATTCATAGCGTACTCTCCAGTAGATCATTGTTAATGATGGCAAATAAAGAACTTGCTGTGGAACTTGCTGAAGAAGAAAAGCATTACTTTATTTTTGTCCACAATGAAAACAAATGGAAACACCGACGAATGCAGACCTAATATACGTTCCCTCATTGTCCTCTGACAAGTTAGACAGCAAGCCGTCTCTCCTTTTGTGAGGGGAGAACACGCGCGCTCGCGAGCGGCGGAACGTGGTCATTTTCGCATAGTCAGTTTCGTGTCTCGTGCGTTGAGTTCAACGGACGAAGAAAAAAGAGAGACTCTTCGTAGTCTACTAAGAAGTGGGCGAAATTCGCGAGCCCGCGTTAAAATTTCCACCCAAGAAAAGGAGGTATTTCTCGATTGAGCTCGTATTGTATGACGAGTAGTTTGATTTCAGTAAAATCATAGCGCGTGTGTCAGACCACTTAAGTTTAATTGTTTAAGTTTAATAGTTTAAGACACGCTTGACGGTTTGTTTGAGCCCACTCTTTTATCCAAGCAAGTGCTATCGTTTTTAAGTACTTTTGAGGCACGATTTTATGATATCGTTCCATGAAACAGCCAATTCCATCAAAACATCCCCGAAACAATACATTCTTTGGCGAGGATGTCATGCGAGGCAAGGTGCGAGATTATTTATTGTGCGCGAGGCGGGGTGCGAGATTTCGGCATTTTAGGGGATCTGAAAGACGGGTGAGACTTTTTACTAACAATAGCTTGTGGGCGAAGCCACTTAATTATTATCAATTCTTTGCCAGAGAAAAGTCTTAAGTTTTCACAGATACTATTGTTTTTCTCTTGATGAAAAATTTAGGAAATATTGTCAGTCATCAAGCACCCATAGCTTGCGTCGTACTAGAAGAAAAATACCACACGAAATGTGAAGATGCGAAAAACCATCAGCAAAGAACTTCTCTATAATTGACGTGCGTGGCCTTCTGGCAGAAAGTGTAAAAGACTAAGATTAATAAGTTCACATTTGTGCTAAAAACACGACAAGTGAAAATTTGTTAAACGATGTTTTTCTAAAAGTTGTCGTTGTGCCAGTCATCCCAATGATTCCATTTAAAAATAAGTTTGCATAAGCAGTTTTCTTGTCCTTTGGCCGTGAAAATTGTAACAATGATGTGTATAAGTAAACTTGGACTGAATTTTTATTTCAATATCTGCGTTGTTGTCACCTCCTTTATATTCACAGAAACATCCAAGTGCGTGTCCCAGGAATTAGTCTCAATTTGAGCGGAAAACGCAAATTTAATGCTTCCAGCTTGACTAGTCATTTCAAAGGGAATTTTCCTTGACAGCTTTAAGTTCTCAAAAACGGCTGAAATGTCCAATGTAAAACTTTCATAAGGGCATGCGTTTGCGACTTCGATGGCTAAACTTTGCCCTGAACTGTGATTTCGAGTTATCAAAACCAAACATTCGAAATCACCAATAGATTGGACTTTGGCGCTTTTGAATAAAAATGTAGTGTAATCAGCCCATGGAACTTTCTCTAATTTCGTGGTTCTATTCTCCCGGTCCTTTTCCTCTGAACAAATGCACAGTTTGGGTAGTACATCCTGGTCAGCGCATAGCGTGTATTTCCCAAACAGCGTCAGTCTATCGAAATGGATCAACTCCATTTCCAACGAATGATAATCAGCCACAGCCTTTGATTTCACTTCCAAGTGGATAACATCTTCATCCTGTTTTACGACGTTTCCCGCCCGAACATAAACGTCAAAAGTCGTGATTAGAGCCCCGTCTTCTCTCGAACCGCGTTCGCGAACATTTTCGAACCGCAAAGGTCGCAGTCTTTTGCAAGCGCCTAAAACAGGATATTGCTTCGCGGCGTTGCTCTTCGGATTTTTCGTGAACTGTGCTAATATCATGTTATTAAGTTCACCCACTGCGAACTCTACGAGGGAAATTTTTGAAGAATCGTTTGTCGTGGGACTGTCCCATCCTTCACATACGCATAGATTTGGTGTCCTAAGCTCGACGTCGTGACATGTTCGACCAGGCGATATGGGGGTAAATATCCCCGTCGAGTTAACAAATCTTGTTATCGGCCCAGCAAGTGACATAAAAGATCGATGCAAGTCGATCATGGTTACCAGTCTCCTTTGGTTCACTTCCAAAGCGTTCATAGCATCCTTGCCCAAAAGTCCTGCGACTTTCTTTGGCACTATTACGAATAGGCTTGGATGGAACATCTCAAAGCGACCTTCCAAGCTTGTATAAGTGTACTCGGTATACGTATTACCATGGTCCGCCAAAAGAATTGTTAGCGTGTCTTGATTGGTCGCCATAGTAGTAACGTAACGTGCTAGATCGGAGTCTAACGATTGTATTCTTCGCCCTTCATCGTCGTGAGCAACATTAAGGCTTGTGAAAGAGAACAACGGACGAGATTTCCTAGAAGTGCTGATCGTCGCTAGCAGGTCTGCTGTATATTTCAGAATGTAGTCGTGTTGTAATCTGCCATTGAAGCAGATTTGATCGGGACCGTTAAACGGGTTATCCACCCCATACGACCCTAGAACTTCACAGCTTGAATGTGTCAAACCTGTAAATTTTAAAAGTGAAAAAATGTTTTTATTATCTTTCGGCAAAACATCATAAGGGGCTTTGCTGAAAAGGAACGTTGATTTTTCTCATACATAAGCATTTTAGGCACGCGATATCTTAATAGGGCATCGTTTTATTGCAAGCGTTTGAGTTATATACCTTGCACTCACCCCGCTAGCCTGTCCACAGACGTATTTCCTTTCTACGCGCGAGCCAAGCAAGGATGCACCAACTCCTTGGCTGTGCGGTCAAACAATCTACCGCGGTTTTTATTTTCTTTCGCGTGCGCTCGCGCTCGACGATGTCTAGAGAGAAAAAAGGTCTGTGGTACAGGCTACGGTACAAGAGAACATTGATGACTACCAATTAGCACTTTTCTACTAAGCCACGCAGTCATCGGCTACGTCACAATTTTTTGTTGTGGTTTGTAACAATTGTGAGTTAAAAGATTACCCGTGTTGTCCACAGAGCTTTCTTTAAGTTTGCTGTGCAGTTCCTCCCAGTCATCCGCGGCCAGGTCATTCACTAGTCCCCAACCACCCGTCCAACATAGATCGTCTTGCCACAGGGTCTGGTATCCAGCAGTTTTGAATTGTCCAAAAAGCACTTCCGGTTTCACTGAAGGGGACCTCACCTCTGGGTCTAACTCTGGCAGTAGCTGACCAGTGAATAGCGCATGCTCATTGTGCGTCGTGTGTCCGTGCACGGCTTGAAACAGCTCAAAGTCAAACACTTTTGCTGAGAGTGCTCTCTGAGTCAGTGTCTTAAAAGTCTGGATTGTTTTGGGTAGAGAGCGGTAAAAGTGTGGTCTAGAGACGGAATCCAACAGTACAATGTTTACATTTATGGTATTTTTCGCTCTTTGTTTTGGTGCCTTTTCAGTCGTGATCTCTGCTGGAATGGTGATCAACTGCGAAAACAAACTCTGCTCATTCACTGCACTAAAGCATTTAACAAATACGAAGTTGAACTTGTTTTGGAAAGACTGAACTGCTATCCGCGGTAATTGTGTTTCTAGTTCTGAAACTTGTGAAAAGTTTCTAGCAGACCTCAAAAGCCCTTCTTCCGGATCTAACACAAAGACACCAAAAATCAACGAATCACTTTGAGATTTGCTATTCTTGTGAGTTTCAAATTTTCTGCATATTCGGCTGTCGCAGTTAGCTTTAAGTACTGTTCTCTTCTTAACAATTTTAGTGGTTAAAGAACAGATTTCGCCTTTCTCCTTGTTTGTCTTACATTCAGATAAAGAAGGGTCGTAAAAGTAAAGTCTTTCGGCAAGGCCGCAAGCATCGTCAGCAGCTTTATGTGGCGTGCAAGTGCCATAAGTATGCTTGTTCGACCTCGTGAGGAGCGTATCGTCTTTGCAGCGACCATGGCTTTGTTCTTTAGTCGCATTTGTTGAAATTAACGTCACCCGCGAGCTGCTCTCATAAGAGTCAGTTCTTTCTGCATCATCTGTTGTTACTAAACTTGGCTGTGAAACTGGTGGTGGATTTTTGCTATTCTTGTTTCGCTTTTCGTAGCCACCTAGCTTCCCTGGCCGACTGTTTGAGCCCTTGGCCTTTTGAAGATTAACATCAATGACTAGTGTAGCTAAACTCGCCATCTTGCCTGCATCCCTACACCTAATCAGTCGATCGTGCGGGAAACGTTCGCAGTTAAAGAGGTATAAATGTAAAATCGCCAAAGCAACCATTACCGAAAGGAAAACCCTTGTTTTTCGAAGTCGTATTGGGAATAGAAACAAACGTCTTATACCGTTTAGTCGAAAACACTCCATCCTTCACGCTCATATCCGCATCTACAGCAGTGTCATCTGTGATCCTCAAGGCGATGTTGAAGAAAGCTGAGCACTACAACTGTAGTCAAGTGTTTTGTCTGATCTGCAAACTTGTAGTAATAAACAAAGAATTAATATTTAATAAGATAATATTAATGCAATGAGTCCTGGTTTCATATTTGGCCCAGCATTTGGTCCTGAAAAAAACGTCTTAGTCTCAAAGAGTTTAAGCTGAAGTAGGTGTAGATGTAGATATGTTGTATATATTGTATTGTAGAATTCAGATATATTTTTTTTTGTGCAAAACCTTTAATGATTATATTAAATGCGACTTAACCGTTTAAACTGTCCAAAAGTCGAGTAGGAAACAACATGTCTAGAATAAAAGATATCGTCAATTGTGCTTTTATAAAAAGGTTCTTCTCCTTGGTTCTGCAAGTCAGTCACATTTTCAAAGGAACGCTACCAAGAAGTACTTTCCTGTGGTGCCGTTAAGTGTGCCATGGAGGGTAATTCTAAATTTGATTAAAATTAGTGAGCCATTGGCTGAAAAAAGTGTGGAAAATCAATGGAAAGTTACTGAACAGTAAACCGCTTTGGTACTGTTGTTTAGTACGTGCATTCTGTGATTCTAGCTAAATGGTTAGTGAGCAATATAAGGGTGGTTTAAAATATGTCGCCATTTAAATAAAAGTTACTGAGCAGTACTTTCGTGTTTAACGGTACTGTGGATTAGCAAGGTGGTACTACTTTTGAGTCTGTGGATGTGTGATTATTCAAAACGCTAACTGAGTAATTTTATCCTTTGAGTGCATGCACTGTTGTGAAAACCAAACGTGATCATTGGGCCCTGACATCCCGACATGTACAGCTATTGGCCAGTATTTCCTTACGAAACTGTTCATTGTGTTGTTTAACCTGTGAGTCTGTGAATGAAGTGTGAAAATTAATATGAACGAAAACACAAAATCATTGCAAATATTTCGAGTGATAGCTTACCTCCAAATTCAACCACTAGTGTAAGTGTTGTAACTGTGTAGTACTCCTGGTCATGCTTTATGTAGCCCGCGAAGCGCAGATGTATTTCCGGCCGACGACCGGAAATACGTCTGCGCTTCGCAGGCTATGCTTCATGTTGTTTAGTGTTGAAAACCACTCCTTGCATACCTTCCTTCAAGCCACAGTTGAAGAGGACAATTCAAAAACAAAAACCCTCACTTTCGAAATAATAGCAAGCGCCAAACGTTTCATGTTAAAAATAAGTTTTATTTGCATGAATATAAAAATTAAGGCTTCCCACTTACCCTCGGTTTCAAACACAGGCTTCAGGTATTAAACTCTGAAATTGCTTTACATAATAAAGTTGATTCGGATTGGTTGTATTGGGGGACTGAGGAATCCTATTATGTAGTTCAATGTCGAATCATATCTAATCTCTGTGTTTAAAGTACTCTACAATGTTTTTTCCGTGTTTGATATTGTTTATCAAAACATAGATGTAGTGTCTGTTTTTGTTTCCTGTTGTATAGCACGTCGTGGTGTTGGCTGAGGAAAGTACAAGTATTCTAGCTACAAATCGTTCCGAAGTTTACCTACAGTCGTGTTTATACGTTCAATTTCAAATACCGCTCGTTACTGCTTTGCCCGGGAAGGGGGGGACTCCGCATATGAAAGGGGTGGGGATGCCCGTCGGAAATTTTGAATTAAACCAAGCCCTAAAAGAGAATTAAATTAACTGCAAAAACCGTGGACGAAGATCCTGCTAGTTGTAAACGTTGGATCTCTAGAAAAGAGATCAAATCAGCCAAAATATAAAGAACCAAGAACGAGAAGTCCAAAGACTACTGCAAAGCTGTTTTTAAACAACGTGTATTGTTTTGATAACAATATTTCGGCTGGCCATACCAGCCTCCTTCAGAGTCATGGCCTTATCTATCAAATGCGACTCCCTGGCCTTACGAACTGAGTCACGTGAAGAATGAATTTGTGCACAATTCTGTCCACAACGGAAGGTGCCACTTGTCCATACATTACTAACGGCCTCACACGTTATACCTTTTACGCTACAGGTGAAACACGCTCCATCACTTCACACATTACTTGTAACACTAAAATTGTGATCTACATGGATCAATGTAACCGTTGTAATTTACAATATATAGGTGAAACTAAGCGACGTCTCAAGGACAGATTTAACGAACACAGACGTGCAGTAATGTATAGACAAGTGGCACCTTCCGTTGTGGACAGAATTGTGCAGTCGACAAAACTAACATTAAATCTAAACCCACTACTGTTTCTGAACACTTTCTCTCTCACTCCAACCATTGTCATACTGACATGCAGTTAATCCCACTAGAGAAAATTCATTCTTCACGTGACTCAGTTCGTAAGGCCAGGGAGTCGCATTTGATAGATAAGGCCATGACTCTTGAACCTCATGGCGTAAACCGTCGTGTCGAATTATTGTAATCCATATCCTTAGTATTTTTCCTTTCCAGTTTTTATGTTGTACGTCATTTCCGCCTCTCCCTTTTATTGCGACATTCTCCATTTATATAATATTGTGATTGCTACATAAGTTCAGTAACATCTGTAAACCTGAAGAAGGCTGGTATGGCCAGCCGAAATATTGTTATAAAAAACAATACACGTTGTTTTAAATAAGCTTTGCAGTAGTCTTTGGACTTCTCGTTCTTGGTTCCTAAAAGAAGACCATGTTAAAACACAGACAAATGAGAAAACTTGGATTGTATGAATGGAGTAAATAAAACGAATTAAAAATATACATATTAAATATATATATTTATATTTTATCGCGTGCAACTCTAAACGAGACCTTCACGGCTAAATATGATGGCGTTTTGCCCAGAACACCCTAAGTGAGACCCAAATCCGAAAAAATCCCTAAGCGGGACGACGAGCATCCCCAACCCTTTCATATGTGGGGTCTCCCCCCCCCCGGATGCTTTTTACTACTTTCATGAAGTTTATTAAATGAACACGCTCTCTTATTTGACTCCCAAAAGTCAATTAACATTTCGAAAATGACCCCCCTCAGGAGCTCCTACCCCCCCCCCCTGCAAAACGCCCCCTACCCCCTCCCAGGTAATAAACGACCAGTCCTTGAAGTAAGCAGCAACTCATTGCTTAATTATTTTTGAGGTCACACTTCACTTCAATTCAATTCGATATAACGTAATTCGTGGCCTTCGTAGCATTTTTGGTTTTCATTTATTGACTGTTTCATAGAATTCATCACGAGTTCTAGCATTTCGATGAGAATTTTAGTACATGTTCTCTCTTCTCTCTTTTTTAAAAAAATTATTTGTTTTCAAAAAGTTCAGAACGTCTGCACGTTTCTGTGGTAAAGTTGTTTTGAAGTCTGTTGGCGCTTCACTTCATTTAAAAACTTTTTAAAATGCATGTCATGACTTTTGACCGCTTAAGAGACTCTCGAGTTTTTGGCAACGAGCATGAATTTAATGCTTTCTAGTAGCTTAGCGTAGTAGAAAAGGAACTTTTGGGACCGTACGTTTCAAATCCTGAATAAACTGTCTTTAAGGTAGCCTGATTTCAGACGATTACTTCGAGTAAAAACTTTGATAAAATTGTTTTGAAATTTGCTTTCAAAAAGTTCAGACCGTCTGCACGTTCCTGCGGTAAAGTCGTTTTGAAATCTCTTGGCGCTTCACTTCCTTTAAAAACTTTTTAAAAAGTCGTGACTTCTGGCTGCTTAAGAGACTCTCGAGTTGTTAGCAACGAGCATGAACTTAATGCTTTCTAGTAGCTTAGCGTAGTAGAAATTAAGGAACTTTTGGGACCGTACTTTTCAAATCCTGAATAAACTGTCTTTAAGGTAGCCTGATTTCAGACGATTACTTCGAGTAAAAACTTTGATAAAATTGTTTTGAAATTTGCTTTCAAAAAGTTCAGACCGTCTGCACGTTCCTGCGGTAAAGTCGTTTTGAAATCTCTTGGCGCTTCACTTCCTTTAAAAACTTTTTAAAAAGTCGTGACTTCTGGCTGCTTAAGTGTCTCTCGAGTTGTTAGCAACGAGCATGAACTTAGTGCTTTCTAGTAGCTTAGCGTAGTAGACATTAAGGAACTTTTGGGACCGTACTTTTCAAATCCTGATTAAACTGTCTTTAAGGTACCCTGATTTCAGACGATTACTTCGAGTCTGTGGTAAAGTCATGACATTTTAAAAACTGTGAGAAAATTGTTTTGAAATCTCTTGGCGCTTCACTTCATTCAAAAACGTTTTAAAATGTCATGACTTCCGACCGCTTAAGAGACTCGCGAGTTTTTGGCAACAAACATGAACTTAATGCTTTCTAGTAACTTAGCGCAGTAGAAAAAGAACTTTTGGGACCGTACTGTCTTTAAGGTAGCCTGAATTTCACACGATTTATACTTTGAGTCGTTTTTACTCCCTCGGTAACTTAGGGAGTAAAAATGACTCGAAGTAATCGTCTGAAATTCAGGCCATGTTTAAGGCTATTTCACTGAATGATTGTCTCTCAGCGTAAAAGCATTTATTCTTCCAGAAATTGTACACCTTCAGTTACTATTTCAGCTAGTAAGTTAAACAGAATACCTCGTATTAAATATTCGATAAGTTGTGCGTGCAATCATTTCTTAACCCAGTGGAGAGTATTCTAATTTATATTTTTGATGAGTAAATATTAGGATACTTGAAAACTCTTTGAAGCAAAACATGTAACTCAAAATAGCTCGTGCGCATTCATACTATGTAGTAACAAATTCGGATATTCAAAGAGGAATGACACATTTTTTTTCTAGCTGATCTAGTGAGGTGTACAATTTCTCGAAGAATAAATGCTGTTACGTTGAAAGACAATTATTCAATGAAATCGCCTTCAGCTACTAGAAAGCATTAAGTTCATGCTCGTTGACAAAAACTCGAGGGTCTCTTAAGCCGTCAAAAGTCATGGAATTTTTAAAAGTGTTTAACTGAAGTACAACGTCAAGCGGTG